TGAGACCGCAGGGTCTGTTTTTTTTAGAAACGTCGACCAGTCGTGTGCTGCTCCCGGTCAGGTGCATAAAGCTACTGATGTTCACGAAAGTGGCGGAGTATTACTAGCTGCAAATGAGCATGAGGATGAGGCACTGGGGCCGCTATCCACAGGCGCTTCGATGCAGCTGTCGCATGGTGCGACTGAGATAGGCCGGGTCGCTGGTGTGGTTTCACCTGGGGAGCCTTTTTCTGCGTCATCGTTTCGCCCTGAAGCAATTCCCAGTGCTTGTAGCAGTCCTACTAGAAGACATCATGCTGACGCGACTTCTCTTGCTGTGACTGACAACTCGTTGTCCATGATGAGGGAGCACTTGCACGCTGGAACGACCCCCGTCAGAATCACAGCTCGCACTTGGAGGAAAATCCGCACCGCGAAAGCGTTTCAGCGGCGCTTTGTTAAGAATTCCGTGAGGGCGCTGCGAAAGATGAGTAAGCATAAAGAGCCACTGGCGAATAACAAAACAGAGGTGGTGGCGTCGATTGCTGGCAAAGATGGCTCCCATCTCCTCGGTGCTGCGGCAGCGGGAACAACCACTACAACGACGACAGAAGCAGAGTCGACGCGTCGTAGCGGCGAAGCGCATGGCGCAGATGCTAGTCGCCTTGACGAAGAGCGCAACGCGACTACCACAACTTCTACTACTACTACTTTTTTAGATCAGCGCGAGCGCGTCCTCGCGAACGGAGTTGCGCGCAGCAGGCTGCGAAAAACAAGTAGAGCTAGCTCATCTTCGCCACCGTGTGACGTTGCTCAGCGTGGTGCTGAACCTGAAGTGTCCTCGGTTTTGACGTCACCACGGACCAGTCGTGCTCGTGTTGATGTCGGCAGAGAAGATGGAGTTGGACTTGGAATTTGTGGAGGAGGGCCACGGGGAGCTGCAATGGCAAGGACGCAGCAAAACCGGATAAAGAAGAGACTGCGCAAGTTCTTGAAGGCGAACTGGATGAACGCGTGGTCTTACGAGGATCAATGTGCAAGGGAGCAAGCCGTTGCAGTTGGGCCCAGTTTGAGCTCAGTCACTAGCGACGCAATCATGAATGAGCGTGAAGCATCTCAACGTGACGAGCATGTTGTGGCGCGTCTCGATGCGGCAACAGCTTCTGCTGGTGCCAGATCTGGCGGACAACGACAAAGCGCTCCCCGGAATACTAGCGAAGCGTCCGTCGTGAAGATAGCAGCGAGTCAGAAGTTGAAGAAATCCAAGCGGCGGGAACCTATGAAACACCGAGACATGCGGAGCGTGATCGTCGCTGACCAGGAGGAGAAGAAAAGCATCTTGGCTTTTCTCAGATCTTCCTCCTCAGTCGCAGGACGGATGCGAAAAGGTTTCCGATCTTCGACTACTAGTAGTGAAGCGCAGGAGGATCGGGAGGCTCGCATTGGTCGAGCAGAAGGACTCCTCCGGAGCGGACCAAAAAAGGTCGGCGGCATCGCTATAGGAGTTTGGCTCGAATGGATGGAGGCCGGATTTCCTGATGCTCGTGCCTCCGCGTTAGATCAAATTACTGATACCACGAAGACGTCTCCGGCAGCTCGTGGTAAGAAGTCTAAGAAGGCTAGTAGGTCAAGGTCTCGGGCGAGAGCATCAGCTGCCAGCTCTTGTAGGAGTTTAGGGAGTCCTCCTCGGAGTTTTGTCAATCTTGATGCGAAGAACACGAAGAAAAACGCGCCTGGTCGAAGCAAGGCAGCATGTATTTTCAAAAGTGAAAGCTGCGTCGAAGTGAAAAGCTCTAGCGCTGATGCTTCGTCACCTGTTCTTCATCGCGGCGGCGCCGGTACCAGTGGGGGTTCCTGTGCGTCTCCTGCAGGTGCACACACGAAACCTCCTTCCAGATTGACCAAGGAGGTGGACGACGTGGGCTTTGTGGTGCAGCCACGGGACGATGGGATCGCAGCTAGATCTCATTATGAGACAACAGAGACGAGCCGTCATTCGGAAAAATTTGCTCAGGGTCCTTCCAAGAGGCTTCGTGGGTCCTCCACACCTACGGCGTCATCAAATGCGGACCAAGGTCAAGGCGGTTTGTTGTCTTCAACTTTGTCGTGCGCTCAACGTCAGGCAGTGGAAGTAGACGGCGCTGCTGTTGCTGAGCTGATGCCGTCTTCTTCTGCTGTTGTCGACGAAATGCATCGTCCTGGCGAGGAGAGCCACAAGTGCATGCTCAACAAGCCCATCGCAAGAACGCAAAAAGCTTTGAAAATGAAAGTGAACCTGCAAGAGCAAGCAGAGCAGATGGAGACGAGGTCGCGTGTTCTGCATGATCAGGGAGACCCTAGTATCAATGCGCCGATGCAAGCAGTTCAAGCTCGAGGAGCTCGCCACTTTTCATCTTGTTCTAGCTCGGCGACTAGTACTACGACTACAGCAGCGCAGCTGCCAGGACTTCGTCAGAACAAGATGGAGACTGAAACCGAAAGCGGGGCTTCTTATCCTCGTCAACCTCAACCTCTAGAGCGCGGCGGTGGCGCCTCGTCCGCTTCTACTGCTGGTCTGAGAAGCAGAAAGGATGATGATTCTGTTCTTGGTCGGTCCATATTTGCCGACCCAGATCCAGAAGTAGAGGCTGCTCGAGTTCGCGAGCGGTCGTTGCATGATGATCGTGAAGACGGCTTTGATGCAGTATCAGCGCAAGTAGATCACACTAGTCCGCGCTTGGTTCCGCTTTATCGAAGTCTGTGGAATTTAAAAAGAGGAGACTTCATCTCGAGCTACCACCCTTTGATGGCTAATGCTGGCGACTCCTACGAACTCTATATTGCCAGTCTGGAGTTTTCCACTTTTGATGACTGGAATTCCATAGAGAGCCACTTTGACGTTCGTGTCTGCTTGCATGAACGCATTCAGGCGAAGGAGCTGCGGACGAAAAAGAAGACAAACAAAGCAGCTACGGCAGAAGCGGCCGCCGAGTCCGGGAAGACTAAAGCAGAGATGGGGGCATTCTTCGATCCCTGGATGCTCGGCCCAAGAGAGGACGGCAAGGGCTGGGCACAACGCCGTCGTGATGATCGCTTCAGAGCATTGCGGGCTCACGTGCTCGATTCCGGTTTGCCCAGCACTTCAGAACTTGCAGGACCGGCAGCAGCGCTTGGCGTGGATAGTGCAGAGCGGATAGCAGCATGGGAAAAGTCGCGTAATCGACCTGGAGCAGCGGAAAGCAGTCTGGTGCGTGCATTACGAGAGAAGAAAGAGCAGGAGCGTGGCACGCCTTCTGGAGGCGGTAGTCCTTCGAGTGAGAGCTCAGATGGAAGTGCTTGGGACCCCGACGATGATAAGAACTGGTTCTTTGGTGACGTCTTAGGCACAGACGGAGTTTCTTCGAGACGCAACGACGGTGGGGACCTCGCAGACAGAATTGCGCTGCGAGCCCTTTACGAGTCCGGAATTCTACGCTCAGCTTCCGGTGATGAAAATGCTCAAGACCCTACAACAGGCTTGCCCTTGAGCGTCATCATCTCGAATAAAGCGGAGCAGTCGGCGTCAACATCATTAGGAATAGAAAAAGTAGCTGCTCCTGCTGCCTCGTCTACACCTGCGCAAGAAGAGTCTACTGAGGGCGGAGCAGCAGGCGCAGGAGAGTCCAGCGCCAGCCTTGATGTTGGTCTTGCAGTAGCTGGTGATGCAGCTGACACTAAAACAACAAGCCGGCTGTGGCTGAGCGGAAGCACTGCGCCTGAAGGTTCTGTACAGACTGCGAAAAACCGAGTAGCAGCCGCTGTTCGGCGTGTGCTTGGTTTGGACAATCCCAACGAAGAAAATCGTCTTGCAGGCAGTCGCAGAAAGAACGAGCGATCTCCAACGCTGGCTTCTATGGCGCCATCGGATTGGTTGCCAGTTTTTGGGAGTTGCGCATGGGGGATTGTGAATATGTTGAGCGATTGTGGTGACCGCATTAGGATTAAACCTGCTAAAGGCGCAGGCGCGTGTCCGCAAAGCGCAGTCTTTCATGAGATATTGGATTTTGATGCGGTACATGCGCGTGATGCTTTTCCTTGCCGCAACAAAAACCGCGAATTCACCAAGAATTGGCCAAGGACGGGACTGATGCCAGCGGCTATCGCACAGAGCTACGTTTGGTCTTGTAGGGTCCGTTGGATGTTACCGTGGTGGCACAGTCGGGCCCGGCCTTGCGTGAAAGCCATTCAGCAACGTATGGACTTTGTCGAGAAGTACAAAGCAGCGCTGGCGCCGGTTGCGAACTTCGCAAAGGAGGTACTACGGACATGCCACAACGTCACTCCACAAGAGAAGAAACGGTGGGAAAATGAAGTAGATAAACTTGCTGAGATCACTGGCAGCGTCGCGTCTCGTCTCTCTGATGTTCCCGACATGCGTCTCGCGCCAGTCGAAGTTTTTCATATTCCTCGCCAAATCTGCATCCCCGCTTTCTGTACGAATGTCCACGAGCATAAGAAAACAAATCCTAGTCGCACATCAGACAGAGGATCTTCTAGTAGAACTAGAAAGAGCCGCGCCAGCCGCTCAGAGTCAGATCCAGTCTCCTCTTCTCATCTGAACGTTGTAGCAGGTGGGCGCGAAGGTGAACAAGACCAAGATGACAGGAGGGAGGCTGTCGTGGCCCGAAGCGGCGCTGCTCAGGGCCTGCTAAGCGAGCAGGGCGGAGACGTATCGTCACCCGTTAGACGTGGCCGTGATGGTCGCAATCGTGGAGATCACCATCCAGCCTATTCAGCGTTCTCCTCGACGTCTACTTCTAGTATAAGCAGTTTCCTTTTCGATAGGGATGGACTTTGTGAAGGAAGCGCGCGTGTGGACCAGGAGCAGGAGCGATCCCATCCAGGGAAACCAAGAGACGCCCTCATTGATCGTCCACCTTTTTCAAATGCATGCAACAGCAGCGCAACAACCAGTAGCACCACCTCGGCAGGAGCGCGAGCAACTCCCGAAGTTTCCAACAATCTCAATTACTCTGGTGCCGCTGCGCATTCATCATCTTCGTCTATGAGTACGAATCAGCATCAAGGAGGTGTGGAGGAGCCGCGGCTGATCCCCCTTCTGATGCCCTCAGATGGAGCAGGATTGGTCTTCTCAGAAGAACAGGACTCATCTTCTAGTCGTGCTGGAGCGAGTAACAGTAGGTCTAGGGGCAACGCGCTTCTTCTGGGAACAGTCTTAGCTGGTGACGTGCTGGACACTATATATGAAGAAGCTGATGCAGATGCTGATGAGGAGGGCGACGAGCAGGAGAGCGCGCCCTCATCTGAGGACGACCTCGGGCACCTACCAGATCAGGAAGATGATCTTCTAGCGGACTGATCTCACCTATGGCGAGACACGGTTGCGCATGTCGATTTGCAGGAATGACTCAGCAGGAGAATTTAAGTGCACATAATGCAAAAAAGACGCTCAAGAGTCTCAAGAAGAGTCTTGAAGGAAATTCTTTCAAGATGATCAAGGCAAAAATCATTTCAAATTCATTTCAAACGCATTTCAAAAAGCCGCGTAGCGCATTAGTATCCGTTCAAAAGTGGGACGCTGTGAAATGCGTTTGAAATGAATTTGAAATGAGTTTTGAAATGAATTTTGGAGTCACGATTTTCTGGGATATTTTCTTGGCGCAGTCCGCACTAGATTCTGGCGAAAAGTGTGTCTGGAGAGGGTCGTTTTGGGATGCCAAAATTGGCATTTTGGACCGCTTAGAAAAGCAGCAAAAAAGTAAAAAAAGTTTTTAATTATTTGCTTGTGTCAGCACTAGAATCTTTCCAGGTAGGACGCATGATTTTTGATTCACATTCGAAGACCTTGATTCTGTTCCACGACTAGAAAAAACCGATTTTTTTTGTAGTTTTTTGTACATTTTTTCTTACATTTTGCGTCTTTTTTCCAATTTGTCGTGCATTTTGAGCACTTGCGTCTCATAATGAATAAAGACTGTAGTCGGCTGAGAGGCATTCTATAAGCGTTAGATTTGTACAAAAATGAAGATTGTAAGTGGGAACGAAAAGCGTGAGCATTTCATTTTTATCATCTGTCAGTTCTTGACGCTGGGCCTTAGTAGAACTACTGATAGAATACCGTTGAACAGCCTTCGTGGCGGCTGAGTAGATAGCTCCTGCAGCAATTTTGGCATTGTGCAGACAAATGGAGAAGCAGACTGCTCGACATAAGGATCGTCTCTGGTGTCACCTTTAAAAGAATCTCTTTGCCACGTCGATGCGCAGCATTTTATTTCCAGTTTTGGCCTGCAGCTCACTAGCGTGGTCTGTCTCTTTGCGTGTGTTGTTCTCCGTCTGACGTTGTGTTCTCATCGATTACTATTTGCTGCACTGCTCTCTGCTTCTACAACATATTGATGATGGCAGACGAAGAAGCGTGCTTTCCCAAAGAAGGTTAGCTAGTACATAGTCACTCAGTTCCAAGCTTCTACTGTGGCATGATCTTCTTGCTACGCTGGTCTTTTGACAAGTTGCAAATCTTCGGTTTGCTGGTAGGCAGCCTTCTCTCCTTTCGTCCCGTTCTATATGGAATTCAGAATATGCCATCATCTCAAAATGTGGACTTAGTTCTCTGGGACTCGTGTAGTTCCAAGTGCAGTCTATTTCTTGTGACTCATGTGCAAATGGCAGTTCAAAAAAAAAACAAATCTTCGCCAAAGTGGTAAGTCTGTAGGCAGTCACGCTCACGCACAAGGCTGGTGATTAATTGCTATTAGCTCTAGTCTTATGCATGCTTTTGCATCTTGTTTTGATGATCAATTATGAAACTCAGCGACATTTTCCTCACCACTTCACCGACATAGAGGAGACGAAAGTAGTTTGACACATTTCTAAGCTTATCAAGTCCAGCATCACTGATTCAGTTGGTCCATTGAATAGCGACGCGAATTTTGTTAATCTTCGAGGATGGCGTGAAGAGCCATCGAGTTGCAATCAATCGATGAGAAGCCAGCGTTGATCAAATTTGGCGACCTTCTTCGTAAAGCTTACTGCGAAAGTTGGAGAAGAAAAACTAGCAAAGTACTAGTAAATCGTAAAACTACAACGAGAACAGAGAGTAGCAGGGCAAGCTCTACACCATCCGCAGCGAAGATGCCGGAAGACAATTTTTTTCAACATGATGCGGACGAAATTGCATTCAGGACTCCTAATGCTAAGAGGAACAAAAATTCGAAGGATGACGAAGAAGAACTGCTGCAAACTCCGGCCTTGATGGAATTGGCTATGAACGCAGGAGTTGGAGAGGTATTGTGTTTGTTTATATTAGATCATGGATGAAAAGTATTGACTTTTGTTCTGCGTCAAACTTTGGCTGCGGCTACTATGTCTTTCCTTCTATTCTGTCTCATGAGCGCATGGTTATCAATTTCTGATCTACCTCGCACTATATCGCTTACCACATCACAGCCAGGACTATATTGAGCAGCCGCACGTCATTGCGCGAGTTAAGTTGGAATACCAAAACGAAAGAAACACTACCAGACTTTGCAAAAATTTGGCTTCCTGCCATGAGCTGGAGGCTACCTACACGGACAAGAGTCGTACTATCTTCTATATTTTGTAACTCTTCACGCAGCTACTTGCTTTGCAGTTCTTTTTTGATCTTCGGAAGATCCTCAACAGCTGCGAGGCGGAGCAGCACCCGCCTGCAGCGTTTGACGATTACCGGTCGGCGCAGCGCTAGCACTTTGCGTAGGTGCCAGGGGTGGGCGGGGCTTGTTTGCGTATTTTCCTTGTTCTTCATCATCTTGAAGAGGGGGCGCTCCGCTCTCGCGGGCAGCTGCAACCACGGGAGGAGCCTAGCGCGAGTTCGTTGCACGCTCCGAAGATCGTCATGGCTGCAGCGCCGGCGACGCCGAAGGCTAGCACCCGGGCCACCTGTGCAGTATCTTCAGAGCGGCGGCAGCGGATGGGCTCGCGCCTGTTGCATGCTGCGGCTCGGTGACTTCTTGGCCTCGTTCATCTACTTGGGCGCGCAGCTTTGCGCCAACATCTTCGAAGATGGCGCCGCCACGTGCTGGTGGCTACTGGGGCTGCCCCCGTCTGCTTACAACTGTGGGCCTCGGCTTGTTTGTGGGTCTCTCCCTCCTGGGCAGCATGATGACGGAAGTAGACAAGTAGCACCAGGGGCCAGGTGTCTCCGCAACTACAAGGAGGAGCACGCGGCAAGGAGTGGACACATCAGGACGAGCCAGCCCGGCGCGGAGCGTGGCGGAGATCAAAGAAGTGGGCGCCGCTTGTCGTGTCTTGTTGGCGGTGTGGGTCTTCGAGCAGAGGGCGGCGGTTGTGGTCCAACGGGAGAGCAGCGACTGCAGGCCACTGCTGCGAACAACTGAAGCCCAAGAAGATCCACTGGCTGGAGCCGCCCTTAGCTGTGGTCGGCGCAGTCTCTTCCTGACCGCTTCCGCCTAGTTCTTAATAAGCAAGAAGACAGCGACCGGCCAAGAAGAAGTTGCAGAAGTGGAAGCCGAAGCGGGGCACGCCGTCGACCTGTCCAAGCAGTTTCCTCGAAGCAGGCCAGAAGCTTCTGAGACGCCAGGAGAAGCCGCAGCGAGTGGCGCGGTGGCAGCTGTGGGCATCAACGAGGCGCCGCGCGGCTACTCCTTTTTAACTTGTTGTCGCGTGTGGATCTAGGTGATTAGCAGGGCTGAGGCTGCGGAATCTGTTCCAAAACCGGCCTGGGATGCATTGATGTAGTAAGCGCCTGGCCGCGGCTGCGGAGGCCACGAGGACGAGGTGGCGGCTGTGTGCAGCTTCTTGCGCGCGTGGTTGTAAGAGTAACTGACAAGATCGCCAAAAAATAAGAACTGAAGAACTCGAGCGAGGAGCAGCGCGGGGGGGCATTTTTCGTGACGGCGGGGGGGGGCATCGTCCTCAGCTGCGGCGCCGTCTGTCAGGTCGTGGCCGCCGCGGCGGCTGTAGTTATTTATATGCTGAGCCACTTCCGGAGGATGAGACGGCTGAGGGACGAGGAGCAGGGCCAGAGGTGGAGCGGGAGGCGGACGAGGAGGGGGGTGCGCCTCGTCTTTCCGCGCTTGTTCGCGTTTTTTCGTCCAGGAGGTGGTCGACGACCGTAGCACCACCACCAGCATGAATCATGGAGCAGGTGGAGGAGGCGGAAGATGAGCAGCAGCTGCGCTGCACGGCGGCGGGGCGGGTGGTGGAGCCGCAGGGGGCTGGCTTCGTCTTCTTGTTGTTCTTCTTGCGCCAGGAGCAGCTGCTCTCTGATGCATTAGCACACAGCCCAGAGGGGAACTAGCCTATTATGTACCACTAAGGGGGTTGCGCCGCTGCGGCCCGCGCCGCCCGCATCAGCTACAATTTTGGTCGTCGTGATGCTTTGCAAGTAGTACTAGAAAAAGAAGGAGAAGAAGAGCGCGCTAATATCATTTAGAATTTGACTGCTGTGGTCGTCTACTTCTTGTTTAGCAGGAGCTAGAAGACGCGGGGCGTGGCTTCTTGTGCCAGTCTGTCAGCGCGTGGCGTCGTCGTTTGTTCATGTTCTTCCTCTAGTATGTGCGGGGGCTTGGCGTTGTGGCCAGTTCGTGCTGTTGTAGAAGCAGGAGGAGGACGAGGCGGAGCCCCGCGATCGTCTTGCTCTGCTTCTCCGTGTGTTGATGATGTTGTAGAAGTAGTTGGGAAAGGTGGGCGAGGACAGCTATCTCGACGAGATCATGATGGCGCCAGCTCTTACGAGCTTGCTTTGGCAATTATTTTATTTTTAATTAGTAATATCATGATCCCAGTCGTGCCTGTGCTCCACCCTCTTCTTGTGTAGTAGTTAGTCCATGGTCTTCTAGCTCGTGTCCATCTACTTCTTCTCTTTCTTGATGTACTACAAGTAGTTGTTCCTCGTCGTAATCTACTTCCTGAAGAACTTTATGGACATGGTGACTCCTATTATAATTCCTATTGCAGTTGCGTTTTCACTGGTGTGGCATTATTTTACTCACCTCCACTACCTACAGCTGATACCCGCGCGTGCAATGTCTATCAACGCGTTCACACTTGGATTCTGCAGCTGCTCATATGGATGACGGGGAATGTGGGCAAAGTGCTCAACTGGGGAAACAGTGAGTGGAAGAACTTGGCCGTACACGGAGCGAAATTGATGAAGATTATGACTGGGGCCGGTGCGGTTTCTACTTTCTACGAAAATTTTGCAAACATGAACAGCGTCTGCTTGTTGGACGTACTTCTACTACTAGGCCCCCTTGCAATTCTAGTCGAAGTAGTAGGTTTGAGCTCATTTTCTATCGACGTTTGTTCTAATCATTACCAGGAGCTCCAAGAATATCTCTTAGAACAAGGCGGATGCCCTCGCAGGAATAGACTTCCTTTTTGCAGTTTTCCACTTCGTTTACCAAAATGAAAAACCCAGGCTGCCCTCACGCCGCGGATTCACGTTTTGCAGCGCGGCCTGGCTGGAGTCTTTTTCATGCGATTGGCGAAGCTGCACAATTATGGCTTGATGCATCGTACTCAGTATCATCATCTTGATGCTGGTGGTGTCGTTGTCCACCTGCTTACTTTCCTTGTTCGTTATGTTTAATGCTGGATCGTGGAGCTGCTGTAGCGAAGAACTCAAAGTCGATAACCTCGTAGCTACGAGCTGCATGCGATTCAGTTTTAGTATGATGTAGGGAAGGGGAAGTGGATCGAGATCGATGTTTAGCTCTTCTTTCAGCAGCTTATTTAGCTACCCCCAATCCTAGATATACTCATAGACCCAACAGCTACGGCGAATTATCACCATCTGTTCTTCTAACAAGCAACCTTGGACTTATGGGCGGACTCGCTGAGCGACTATCCGATCTGCAGGCAAAGGTCAGAAGCGTGCGAGTGGGTGGCCAAATTGGTACTACTAGCGGCAGTCTGTTCTTTGCTTGTGAATGATGGCGGATATTGTGATAGGCAGAAGACTAGAATCAAATGCTTAGGAGTAATAACCGCGTACGCATCTGAGTGCGGGCATTTTCTCTCTCGTTGCCTTCGTAAATACAAGTGGCCATATTTACGCAGGGCCAACATTCCTCAATTACTTTTTTCCTCTCGTAGGTTACTTCTCTGTCGCTCCGCGACTACTAGATCCTTAACTGTTAAAGATCTTTTTTATGATGGTTCTTCATCGCAATTCTCTCTCCTCTGCAGGCCGCGACGTATCTTCCGAAAAGCGATCGAAACTATGTGGAGTTTTATCAGGAGGGAGAGCGAGCTGCTAATGGAGACCAGGCACACATCAAAGATGGGCACAGAGTGCTTTGGTCGGCGATCAAGCCGGTACTTGTGCTCTTCTAGCTAGCTCTTACATCCAAGGTTATCTTTTTCTCATCTTGTTCGCCTACTTCCTTAAACCTAGACGCTCGCCTGTCGTCGATCGTCTACTTCGCCTGTGGTCGTGGATCGTCTGTGCCTGTCGTCGATCGTCTGCGCCTGTCGTCGATCGTCTGGGCCTGTCGTCGCTCGTCTGCGCTTGTCGTCGATCGTCTGCGCCTGTCGTCGATCGTCTGCGCCTGTCGTCGATCTTCTTCGCCTGCGGCGCCTGTCGTGGATCGTCTTCGGCGCCTGTCCTCGTCGGTCGTCCTCTGTGCCGCTTGATGGATGGGGGTCGCGTCGGTCGAGGCCTAGTCGATCGTCTGCGCCTGTCGTCGGTCGACGTCTAGTACTAGTGGCGCTGCGCCTGGGCTGTCGTCGATCGTCTGCGGCTGTCGTCGATCGTCTGCGCCTGTCGTCGATCGTCTTCGCCTGGTGTCGTCGATCGTCCTCTTCGGCGCTTGTCCTCGTCCTGCTCCCTTGCGCCTGGAGGTCGTGTCTCGTCGATGATCGTCTGCGCTTGTCCTCGTCGATCGTCTGGGCTTGTTGTGGTCGTCGGTCGTCTGCGCCTGTGTGTCCGTCGTCGGTCGTCTTCGCTTGTCGTCGATCTTCGTCCCCGTCTTCTTCGTCTTCCTCGCCTGTCGTCCCCGGCGGGCGTCGTGCTGGTCGATCTTCTGCTCCTTCGTCTGCGCCTGGTGGTGGTGGAGGTGTCGCCGATCGTCTGCGCCTGTCCTCGATCTTCGTCCGCGCCTGTCACGACCGTGTCGTACTTGTTGTAGTAAGTGCCCCTGTCGTCGATCGTCTTCGCCTCATCAGGACAGGCTGCGCTAGTGCCTAGACTACTGGTCGCCGGTCGTCTGCCCCTGCTGGTGTCGTCGATTTATTTTTTTATTTTGTCTGCGCTTGAGTCGCCGACCCTCGTCTTCTGTGCAGGAGCTTGTTGTTGTTGATGTTGTCGCCGATCGGTGGCGTCTGCGCCGGGTGATGTAGTGGTCGCCGATCATCGTCTGCGCCTGTCGTCGGTCTTCGTCGTCGGTCGTCGTCTGTCGTCGATCTACTTCGTCGCCGCCTGCTGTCGTCTTCTGGTGCTGTCGTCGGTCTGTCGTTGGCTTATTTCTGTCGTCTGCCTTCTGTCGTCTGTGTTGTTTGATGGTCTTCTTACAACTTCTTCGTGGTCTGTCGTGGTCTTGCCACTCCTGTCCACTTCTTCATCTGGTGCTGCCTTGTTCTGTCGTCTGCGCTCTGTCTCGTGGTCGCGTCTACTCTAGTAGCGGGCGGCGCAGTCTGCTTTTTGTGGCTGACGCGGGAGACTTCTACAAAAGAACAGATAGGAGGAGCTCTACCCATATGGCTGAGAACATGCCGCCAGGCCTTCCGCGGATGTTCCTCACTCAGATCTTCTTCGCCAGGCCCTCCACGGTGGACGCCCCTCAGATGATGACGCTGATCAGCATGACGACGATCGCCACGCCTTGCCCCGCGGATCATCCGACGGAGGTCTGTCGCCCGCGATGAATTATCACGATCATAATGCTCCTCCTTGTTGAAGCGGTCTGAGAGCCTCCACCGTCCTCGTGGTCGTCAGGTGCAGCCGCTGGCCCTCTCCCGCGGGCGGCGCCGGCCGAGGACGATGATCAACAACTACATGCTCCTCGGGGGCAGCTGCAGCAGGCGCTGGTCGCCAGGTCGTCGCCTCGTCCGCCCACCACGGGTGTGGCTGCTCTTGTAGTAGTAAGTTGTAGTTGTTCCTCGCCAGCTCGTCAGGCCTCCCGCGGACGACCATGATCGTGCCCGCCTTCTTCAGGCCAGGTCTCGTCCCGCGGTCGACCGTGGGCGATGTTCTTCACCTTCTCGCCCCTCTAGTACTTCAGAGGACCATGGCCAACACTCCAGGCCGCCCCTGGCTCGTCTCGTCGGTCGTCGGATCATGTTCTTCCCCGTCTACAGATCGTCCTCCAGGCTCGTCCTCCTGGGAGTCCCACGGACGATGACCACGCGCCTCAGCCGCGAACAACTGCTCGCCGGCCGCCAGGCCTCTCCTGGGTCTACTTGTAGCTTCCCAGATCATCTTCGCCAGGTGGGAGGTTATGGACCATCTTCATGCCCGTCCTCCACCTCGTCCTCCGATCTAGTACTTCACGCCATGGCGATGCCCGCTGTCCTCGATGGCGATCAGGTATCCCGCGGGTGATCATGTTGCTCTTCGTCAGATCATCATGATCGCCAGGCGACCTCCCTCCACGGATGTAGTACTGGCTGAAGTAGACCACGCCCCTCCGATCATGACGGACGGACGATCCTCGTCTCGCCAGTGGAGAGGACGAGGTGCTGGCTTGCTCCCACGTGGTCGGATGGCCGGTCTTCGGCATGATCTCGTCAGGCCTGCAGCTGCGGCCCCCGGTGTTGTTCGTCCTCAGATCGTCATCTTCAGGTCTCGTCCCGCGGACGACGACGGTGCTCGTCTTGCTTGTCCTCCTGCTCTTGGTCTTCGTGCGGATGGAGCTGCAGCTTGGATGGATGGCCGTCTTCATCATCGTCTTCATCTCCTTCGCCTTCTTCTTGTTCAGGTCCACCTCCACGGACGTGCTGGCTCATCTTCATCTTCCTCGGATCATGGCTCCTCAGAAAATGCTGACCATGCTCATCAGGGCTCCTCCCGCGGATGTTGTTCCTCAGATGACGATCGCCAGGCCCCTGCTCACGGATGAGGACGTCCTCCCTCAGATCGTCAGGCCTCGCCCACCCCTGGCCCCCGGATCATGATCGCCAGGCAGCCCCCCCTGGACTTTCTTGCCCCAAAATTTGAAATATTGAATAAGATGAAGTCGCCAGGCCGCATCGCCCCGCGGAAGATCTTGCTCCTCAGATGATGATCGCCGTCAGGCCTCGGGCGAGGACCACGTCGCCGCTCCCCGCCAGAAGGAGCAGCTCGGGCGCCAGTTCTTCTCCCGTGGTGGATCATGTTCTTCCTCAGCTCGTCTCGGAGACCGACGTCCGAAGTTCATCTTGTTCTTCATCCTCAGCCCATTACTTTGCTGATCATCAGGCCGCGGCGGCCTGCTGGCTCCCGGGGGCGGCGATGTTGTTCGCCCACCTCGTCGTCACTCAGATGATCACGACCTTCTTCCTCGTGCTGCCGCGTGGTCAGGTCGTCTCCCCCGGACCGAGGGTCTTCATGCTCCTCAGGTCGTCGGCCAGGCCTCCTCGCTCCGCGGATGTTGATCATGATGTCCCTCAGCTCCTGCTGCAGCTCGCCAGGCTTCGCACCACGGACGAGGACGTTTGTTCCCAGATGTTGACATCTAGTACTGCTCCCGTCTCCAGCGCCGCGTGCTGCTGGTAGTGGTGCAAGCTGCTCTCAGTGCTGCTAGTACTATTATTATTGGATGCCGCTCAGTAGAGCAGCTTCTTCATCTTCTTCAGGTGGGCTCGCTCACGTTCGCCGGATCATGGTCGTCCGGTCATCTTCTCGCCCTGCGGCTGGTTCCTCAGATCTTCGCCAGGTGGTCTCCCGCGGATGTTCTTCTGAGTCAGGTCGCCGAGGCTCGGCTTCCTGCGGATGCTCCTCAGAGAGGTCCACCTCGCCAGGCCACCTCCCCCGGATCATGGTCAGCATGTTGCCCTTCGTCCCCGCCAGCAGCTGCAGCTCGTCGGGCCTCGTCCCGCGGATCTTCATGGTCATGGCCATCATGCTCTTCATGACCACCTGCCACTTGTTCTGGAGGAGGTTTCCGCCCGCGGATGTAGTTCTTCCTCAGAATCGCCAGGCCTCCCACGGACGATCAGGTGGAGGCTCGTCATTGTTCACCTCAGACGAGGGAGGTCGGCAGGGCCCGCCCCCGCGGACCACGATGCTCGAGCAGAGACGGTGGTCGCCAGGCTTCCCGCGGATGGTCCTCAGGTCGTCAGGCCTTGCCCGCCCGCCGTTGATGGGTCGTCCCCCGCGGATCATGTTCCTCGGATCATGATCATGGTCGCCTGGTGGTGGCCTCCGCTCTACTCGGGTGCAGCTCCTGCTGCCGTTCTTCCTCGTGGTCGTCTTCAGGTGCTCCAGCGGGTGTTGTAGCTCTTCAGATCATGAGCATGACCATGCTCGCCAGGTCGGATGTGGCCTCCCCCGGATGTTCTTCTTCGCCAGCTGCTCATGCCTCCCGTGGTGGGCGACGTTCTTCTGATCATCTTCGGGTCTGGTCGTGGGTCGTCTCGCTCAGAAGGTCATCTCCCAGGGAGACCTCAGCTGCTCGCGGTCAGGCTTGTTGTAGTTGTAGGTCCTACGGATGTTTCTCAGGTCGTCAGGTGCCACCATGGAAGACGCTCCTCACGTCGTCAGTTCTTCACCTCTTGCGGTGGACAATGTTCCTCAGATGCTGATCGTCAGGCCTCCGCCCACCGACGTGGGTCGCCCCTCCTCCACCTCAGATCTTCAGCGCAACAAGCCTCCACCAGCGGACTTCCCTCAGATCGTCAGGTCTCCGACGGACCACGTCCCTCGTCACCAGTCAGATCGGCGTCTGTAGGTCTCCCCCGGACGTTCTTGATGTTGTAGCCCCTCGCCAGGTCGTCGCCAGGCCTCCGCTACCAGAGAGCTTCAGGAGATCGGCAGGTCTCGCCCCGGCCGGGGATCATGTCCCTCGGATCATGGTCGCCAGAATGACAGGTCTGGTGCCGCGGACGAGTCCTCAGATCTTCTGCAGGTGGAGGTCGCGGCATCATCTCTCTCAGGTCTCGCCCCGCCATGTTCTTGCAGTTCTTGATGGATGCTCCTGCTCAGATCTCAGGCCCTCTCCCGCGGACCACGCTGCTCATCTTGCTGAGTGGTGCTCAGATCGCCGGGCCAGGTGTCAGTATCTCAGGCCGCGGTCGCCAGGTCTCCGCCGGAGGTTCGTCCGCACACGGATGCAGCTGGCCCATCTTAGATGGGCGGGGCGACCAAGATAGACGCCGCCAGCATCATGAAGCCAGCTGGTCCTAGTAGAGGTGGCGTGTGTAGCGCTTAATAAGTAGTGCTAGAGGTCGCCAAAGCCTCAGACTCAAGCACTTGATGCCGGGCGCTGGGGATGCCCTACTTGCTCTTGTTGTTGTTCTACTTCTTCTACTTCTTTGGGTTCTTGATTATCGCACGCCTCCAGGAGCAGGTGGACGAGGAGGCGGCGCCGCGTTGCTCTTGATGTTCTACCTGTCCCGAATATGCTCTGCGCGTCCACTTATTGCTCCCCTAGACAGTACTAGTAGTAGTCCTTGCTCCTCGTCTAGAAGACGGCGAAGCCTGACTGTTGCCTTTCATCAACCAGCACGCAAGAGCTTGCTCGCCTGGAGGACGAGGCGGAGAACGAGACGAGGGCGAGCAGATGAAAGAACAACTTCAAAGCGGCCAGGAGTAGCCCCGCCGCTGTGGCGTGTAGTTGGCTAGCCTTATTGCCGTTCGGCTAGTTGTGCTGGCCGCGCAAGATTCTTACTAGAACATCGGCGCCGGCTAGTAGCTGGCCGCGGCGGGCGGGCGAGGGGGTGGGTGGCCTGCGAGCTGCAGCCGCGCCACGATCTGCAGCAGTTCTCCCGCGGTCGTTTCTTTTCGTCGGTATTGGTCTCGTCCCTTTGAGATGGATGGCCGTGGCCTTGTCGCTTGGGTCGTGATGTTGAGCTGCAGCAGGCGGGCGCGGCGCTAAAATTATAAAAAGTAGACGCTGAAGGAGACGCCGTCGCGTATGTAGATCATGAAGGCCATCAGCTGCATGCTGGAGCTGCTGGCCGAACAGGAAACAGCGCAGCCAGTCGCGGCGAGCAGGAGGGCGGGGGTCGTAGTTTGGAGGGCTTCGGACGGGGTTGCCTTGCTGCCAGGGGGATGATCATGAAGAGCCAAGCTCTGTTTCTTTTGGGGTTACTTCCTCGCGGCGGTTGCCTTTGGTTTTATTGCTGCAGATGACGAACACCAAGGGGGCGCACTGGATGGGGTAGCGATGTGATGTAGGAAGATGGACGCAGCTGGAGGCGGAGGCGCGGCGGCTGTGGAAGGTTTTTACTGCCTCCCGGGCGTCTTTGTTGGTAATATTTCCCGCAGCCTGCTAGTGCGCCGCACTAGAGGCCGAGGACAAGTAGCCAGGCTCTGCCACGTTTTTAGCACGGCAGGAGCTGCAGGCGGCCGCTGGACTGAAGAAGGCCGGACTTCTTAACGGGGACAAGCGTAGGAGAATCGTCTCAAAACAAGCGCCCAAGCTTGCCACGGTCAAGGTGTTGCCACAAGAAGAACAAGGACCGGGGGCCACGTTAGTCGCGGAGCTGCAAAGACAAGGAGAGGAGACGTCGAGGCGGAGCTTTCTCTGCGCTACTCTTTGGCTTCTCAGCGTGATGCTATACTTCTACAGCAAGGCGGCGGCAGTGCTGGGCGGCGCTCATGGTCTTGCCTGACTTGCGTGGCAGGCAAGTAGTATTAAAGCTGCAGCGGCCGCGTGGTCATCGAAAAAAAACCAAACAGGCCCGCGAAGTACAGGGAGCAGCAGGCGGCCGCGGAGGAGGACACGCAAGCAACAAGGAGCCGGATGGCGGGGCAGGTCTTCCTGCAGCAGCTGCAGGAGGAGGAGGGCTGCCGGGGCTTGTTCTGCGTGCTGCTGCTGCAGCTGGTAGTCTGAGGCCTAGGGCTGCTCTCGTGATCTTCATCCTTCCCAAGAATAAAGGGGCCTCGTCTGCTGCCTCGTCTTGTTGGTGCTACTTCTTCTCTTCTGGAAGAAGATGAACAAGACTGCGCCCGCCGACGAGTTGCACGCGGGGCGTGCTGGAGGGCGGTGCTGGGCAGGATTAACAATATACCACAACAGGAGGGCGCGCCGCTCCTAGGGGGGCAGGGCTTTCGTTTGCGTCGAAGAGCAGAGCGGGGGCGCTGCTGTTGGTGCGGGGGGTGGGCTTGCTTGTTCGTGGGACCATGTAGGAGGGCGAGCAGCCTGCCCCCCGGCGTCCTCGTCGTCGTGTTCTTGTGCTTCTAGCTGCAGCTGAGGAGCAGGTGGAGTGCCAAGAGGAGCTAGTTGTAGTAGTCATCTTCTGGCTGGCCGCGGGCACCAGGGGTCGCGGCTTGACTGCGTCTAGGTCTGTCAGATGACTTTCTTCATCTTGATGATGTTGCGAAAGACGCTGGTGATGTAGAAGTAGTCGCGGGCTTCTTATTTAGATACGCAGCGACCTGCTGCTGCTTGTAGAAGTTCCTCGGGCTGCGCTTGTTCTACAGCTACTTCTATTTCTATAAGTACTTGCTGTTACATCTAAAAATTGCAAAGATTTCTCCATCAGCTCTAGCGCTTCTTTTTCTAATATAATTATCAATATATTATTGAATAAAAAGAAGTAGAAATGTAGACTGTGACTCAGGGCCTAGCTCTATGTCTTTTCCAATAAAATGAGTTCTATTATTGAGTTGCGCTTGTGCGTCAGCTAGTTGCTATATGGTAAAGCTCGTCCTTAGTCTCATGATCGTGGGGTGGGCGCCTCTGTATTTATTTTGAAATTCTTCAACCTCTCTCCACAGTTGGCCGCAATGGCATACAACGCAGCGACGGACCAGCTAAATGGTAACAAGCTTTCCGAGTACCTGCAGGCGCGATTTGGTCATGCGAATCCGCGTCCCTCGGTGCCAAATTGGACCGGGTCAATGACTAAGTCCGCAGTTCTGATCGGGATGTGCTTATTTGTTCATCAATATCTGCGCAGCTGCCTGTTCGTTTTCCTTGGTACTATAATAATATTGCAACAATTGTGTTTAGCGTTGTTTATGGAACAATAAACTGGAGGCTCTTCTTGTAGCACATAGTCACTTGTGTGTGTATGCGCTACTACTAGAAGTTGTGCTGTGCCTGAATCCCAATCCTCGAGACCAAATCTGGTGTCTCTCTTGACTTGTTCTCATCTATCATTCATCCCTCCGCCCTCAGTGAAATGCGAGACGCAGTATTGGAATCTGTTAGAGGATTACTTTATCACCATGGACATCGCTCCTGATCTCGGCTTCTCCTTCTTGAAGGACTTAAAGACGAAGTGTCAGCGAGCCGCTGGGTTAATTTCACGTCTTCCGCCGATCAGATGCACTGGGCTCGAAACATTGAGCTTACGGCTTGTTCGTGTCTAAGAAGTTGCTTAGTTATCTGTAGCAGAGGCCTTTGCCTTACTGGGCTATTATTATTGATAAACTACTTACGGCTTCGGAGATCATGAACGAAAGAGGCACGAGAAGAAGTAGGCCCCGTTGATTTGGCGCCTCGTTATGCTTTTCGGTGACAGTGTACTTCTTTAGTAATAGCGACCTGCGGTCCTCTCCCGAATGTTTGTAACTTCTCCGCCTTGATGTTTAATAGGATGAAAGCGGCAGACTCCGTCGCAGTATAATCATCTTTAGACTAGTATCTACTTCCACTCAGTTCATAAGCAGGAGCATAGTAGCTACCTGACGTGTTTTGGTCATGATCTTCGTCGTCTCATTCTAAGAGTTTTGCGACTGGGTGCCATGCCAGAGATGCTTCCGATGTGCTTCTGGGCAGGATTTGGTCTGGGCGAGGCGCTGGGATTTAAAAAGAGTACTAACGACTACAAGTTCATGGATAAAGTTGGAATGGACGCGTGCGCGAGGTGCCAGCGCTGGATGGAGGCCATGTCCGCTACTTCGATTATCGACTACGACAGACGGGGCGCGAATGCGAAGCAGCACCACCTCATCATGGTACTTCACGTTCGTACTTCATCCAGTAGCTTCCAACTCCATGCGGATGATCATCATTTTTGTAACTTGGAGGACCAACCTTTTCCAGCAAGTAGCAGAGTCATCCTCTTCCGTTAGGAGAACAGCTATCACTTGTTCGTCGTTCTGTATAGTAGAAAACTCATATGGACGCTGTCGTATGGAAACTTATAGGATTTCCTCCACGACTACTCATCTACATTTCACTTTCAGTGGGGATATTTGGGCGTCACACCGTTGAAAGTCACGGAGTACATTGCTCCACAAAGTACCTCGTTTATTTTCGCTATGAAAATCATGCTGCTGGTGGCTTGCAGCTTTTATGACATGTTAACGATTTTGTGGATCATCGATACGGATTTTGCTTCGTTGGCGAATCATAACATCGAAGAACAGCAAACCCGTTGCATCCAGACGGCAGGCAAGCTGCAGGTTCTCTTGGAGCAACTCAAGGCCACTGGTGGAAACATTCCGGGAATCGTCGACGCGATTCTTGAGAACTGGTACTGTTTTGTCCTCTTGTTGTTTATTAACTTTAATATATGAATGCCAGAATGTCTCCAGCGTATTCAATCGCGAGTGCTCGCTGGCGGTGCTGATGTCGCTTGATGCGCTTGATCGAGAGGTGGCGCGCTTCTCTGATAACTGCTAGCGGACCGCGGTGGGCGCGACGGGGGGCCTGGGGGTGCTCTTTCGGGGCTTGCTTGCAGCTCTTAGCCGGCTGCAGCTTCGGCAGCTCCGCTGGAACTAGTACCAGCACAAAAGGCGGACCTGGAGGGGCGGGCACCCGATGAAGATGGGCGAGGGAGTCACGGGTCCCCATGCTCTTGCCCTCGTCGGCGTGTCGTGGTGCTAGTGGCGTTTCCAGTTGAGCAAGAAACGGCGAGGGAGGGCGGTCATCTGGAGGAGGGCGGCGTCGATGAACGGAGCAGGTAGCAGCTTTAGCTGTAGAAGATGGCGCCGAGGGGTGGAGGCAGTTGCGTAGTTGGCAACTACGAGGTCGGCTTTTCTCCTCGCCTCGGCGTCGTAGTGCTTGGCGGGCTCTTGCTTGCTCCACCGTGTTCGAGAAAGCCCACCCGCCTTGCAACCTTGGCGGGGTCGCGGGGCGGGCGGCAGCGCTCTCTTCATCGACTCGGCAAGCACGCGGGAACAGGTCGCGCGGGTGGTGTAGGTGCTGCGAGAAGAACTAGGGGCAGCGGCCTGCCTTGCTGGTGAATACTTCTCGCCAGGAGGTCGTCGCGGCAGAAGCATGAACAAGGTGGCCACTCAGGGCGTGTGGCCCTTTTAGTCTATTACAATCATGGCGCGGCGGGAGGAGGCTGAGGCCCCGGGGCCCCACCTCCGTTGAAGACCCCGGAAGAGACTACTAGCAAAATAACAAGGAGCACATCAGACCACGACCAGGCGGGGCGCCTCCACCTGCTCGCCCCTGGGTCGCGTGCAGTAGGGGCTTCTGTTTTGTTTCAGGATCATCTACAAGAACCGCCGCGCTGACTGGTGCCGCGGTCGTGGCCTGGGGTTGTTCTGGTGCTGCTCGCAGGTGCAGCAGGAGGGACGACGCCGAGGGGGCGGCCGCCTTCGCGCGTATTGTTCATGGGCAGCAGGCTAGATGACCGGCTACAAGCCGCGCCAGCAGGCTAGTGCGCAGGGGGTCGCTTCGCTTTTGTTGTTGTTCTTCGTCGATGAAGAAGATGCTGACTGATCATCGGCCAGCTACTTCTTCTTTTCGACGTTTTCGCGCGCGCCGAAGTTGATGCTGCGCCGCGGCGATGGCAGGAGGGGGCTCGGGCGTGCTGGTTGCAGCTGTTGATGATTTGGTGGGTGAAGACTGGCCGCGCCGGAAGAATCCCGCGGAAGTCGAGCGGCCGCGCAGGACGAGGGTGCTGTCTCTATTCATCGCTTGCCAGCCCCCTAAGGCTTCGCGCTGGCGTCTTGTTTCCTCTCTCTTAAAAACAGCGGCTACGGCATCGCTTTACTCATGATCTCGCAGCGAGGTCGTCGTGGGAGGTGTCGCGACTATTCGCAATAATATCGAGGCTACACCAAAATGGCCAAGACCATGAAGAAGATGAAGAACGGCAGCAACCGCGTGGCCGCGGGCGCTTTTTATTTTCCCAAGTTTTTAGTAGCGGGGCCGCGGCGTGGAGATCATGGCGATAGTCATCTTCACGATAAAGATGACTCCTGACGCGGAGCACCAGGCAGACCATGTTGACGCTGGAGACTTCGTTGTCGTGAATGGTCGCCACCCGGTGACGAGGCTGGGGACCCAGATCCCGAGGTGGAGTGCAGGCACCACGAAGCAACGAGGCCTCTTGGTAGCTGCCTCGCGTGCTGCTACTTGTAGGCGATGGAGGCAGTGGCAGCCGCGGAGCGAATCCACCGCAGGGCCATGCTGGCGAGGAATGCCAGGGATACGCCTCACGTTCATCTTCATCACTGGGACCAGAGCGAGCAGCGTGCTACACAGTCGCCCTTCGCGACCGCGTTGCCCTCGATGGAGGACGCGGAGCCTGCGGGGGTTCAGGTTTGGGAACTCCTGCGCGCTTTTCACCGTGCTGCAGAAAAGTTGCAACAAGTAGAGGCGAGCAAGAAGCTGCAAACGTTGCGAAGGCCGTGGCGGGGGCAGCGGCTTCATTGAGGATGGGCGAGATATATAACACTTGGAGCTTATTGCTCTCATCTTGGGCGGCCGCCAGGGTGGTGAATGCCCCGCGTGTGGTTATTTATTTTATGACCGGCGGGCCGCGGGTGGAGGGTTTTCGCGTAGTAGATGACAACTAGCACCAGGCAACTAGGCGCCAATAGCTGCCGCTAGCTGCTTGGTGCGAGGACAAGCAGAAGAGGAACTGGCTGCCAGCTCCTGCGACGTCAACTCCTGCTGGCGCCCCTGGGGCGCTAAGAGTGTATGCCTTACGAGAAGGTCGCGCGCGAATCTGGTGCCAGCACGGCGGACCACGATCGCCAAAATAAAGAAGAGGAAGAGGCCGCAGGTGGAGGGGGCCCTGGGGGGCTCACGAACTACAGCTGCAAGCGAGTGGGGCGAGCTGCTCGGGAGGTTGTAGGCGGGCGCGTCGGTCGTGACCCTCGAGCCGCAGCCGTCCCCACATGAAGACTAATACACACTGAAGAAGCAGACCCTACTGCCTGGCGCTGTTGTAGTTTGCTGCTGGTGGTTGTAGATGTTGTTGCTGTTGGTGATTGATGTTGAAGCAGGAGACGGGGGCGCCTGTCTTCCTCTTGCTCTGTTGTATAATCTGCGGCCTTGTTCTTGCTACTTGTTGGCGCAGCTGGTGGGGGCGGTGAAGTTGTTCTTGTAGCTCTTGGCCAGGTGTGAATAGGGTGGGCATGGCGCTGGCGTGTGCTTGTTCGTAGATGAGGAGCAGCAGCGAGATCACGTAGGCCCGGCGTTTCTAGTTGTAGGTGGGGGGCGGGGGCGCTTCTTGGTGGAGGAGGAGCTGACGCCAGCACTGTCGTGCAACTTCTACCGCAGCTGCGGCTAGCTGTAGCAGGTGGGCCACAGTTCCTGTCTCTTTACTAGTACTAGTGTCCTCCTCCTCGTCTTGTTGTAGTTGTTGTAGTTCTTTGCTAGTATTTTTCTTCTAGTTCTACTTGTAGAAGATGACGAGTAGCTCGTCGAGGTGGGGGGCGAGCGCGTGGCCGCGGTGGTCGGGGACCTCTGCTGGCGTCCACCTCGGGGGCTGCCCCTTGTTACTTGTTGTCCTTTGAAGGGCCACGGCTCCTCTTGGAGGTGTAGAAGTTGATGTTGTTGTTGGCTCGGACAGGCTGGTCGCCCTCGGCGAGTAGAGCCTTGTAGGTGGATCACGGGGGCCACGTCATCTGCTCCTCTAAGAATCATTATTAACTTTGGCACCAACCCACAGAACAACAAGAACCATCAAGATATTAATAATACTGGCAAAATAGGTAACCCTGAAAACCTTCTTCTTCATCAAGTAACTACAGTGGGCAAGGAGCTCCGGGAAATGTCTCCAATTTTTTACAGGCGCCGGTCCAAGGAGACTTTCTATCGCATCATCTGCGAAAAAGAGGAGGACGCCATGGGGCACTCCTTCGATGCGGCCACTATCCTGCAGTCGCAGGCCAAACGCTTCAGAGGATGGGACGAGCATGCATATTCGGAATTGCACCGCTCGATCCTCGGCAATGCGCCTCCAGCTGCTGCCCCTGGTGCAAACCTTCTTGCCGCCCGAGCGATCCAGAATGAGCTGGACGCTTTCAACGATCTCTAAGCAGCAGCTTGCGACGATCGCAAACTCAAACGTCGTGGACTTTTATGGAAAGGATGTCGTGTCATTCAGTAGACGGCTCTGGCTTCTCCGTTATTGCTTGATGTGCAGTAACTACTCTGCACTGGTATTTGTATGGTCCTCGAAGGATAAATGTCTCTCTTTCCTCTTTCTCCCCTTCCTTTGATGTTCTTAATCGTGCGCCCTCTTTCATATCATGACCGGTCTTACGATCGTGAGGCGGTGGGCGGATGCGATCGCAAATGTGGGCTTTGAGGTGGAGGAGTCGTGCCAGAGGTGGTGGCTGTTGTTGTTGTTTTTGTTTTATCCAGGCCTGCGGAGCAATTGAAGTATGACGAGCATCATCAACAGCAGAAATATAGTATTTGTTTGAATTTGCTTGCGTCTACCAGAACAAGAATGGAGGCGGTGGCTATTTGTTGCGGGTTCGTGGAAGGACATACTAAGTCTTCATATTCGTCCAAATTTTAAAGTAGTGCGTAAGCTGTGGAATGTAAGGGCAGTTGCGTGATCATTGATAGTCACCCTGATGGTTCTTCTGAGTTGTTGCAAAGCTACATGTTCTACACGATAATCAAAAAAGTTGCTTTCAATGCGGTAGCCTTAGCGTGATGATTATTATTTAAGCGTTGTGATTAGTTTCTGTGTCGTGTACTAGGAGGTCGTGATCTAAAAAAGTCTTCTCATGGTGACAGATAGAAGCACCGCTTAGACTTCGTTTTCTATAGGAGACTGATGGCGACAGGCGTTCACGCTGTCGAGTAAAAGCAAGCTCTTTCATATAGTTCAGGCACAGCCTACTTCTTTCATTTTCAAAAATATCGTGCCGCTGATTCAGACCAAATATTTACACTATCAAGATTCGCAATTTTGTGCCATTGTTCAAGTTTCTATAGCATCAAGTTCAAGGTGAAGCATGGCGTGGCGATCAGATCGGCAAACAGGAGTCTCCGTGTGCCATCTCCTCGTGCCAGAATTTACGTAGACCTTACTTCTTATTATGGTTGTTGTGTGTTGGTGTTTGAAGTACTATCACGCTGGAACAGGAGAGCAAGCAATTAGTCGAATATCTTATCTCTGGACAAGCGCCAGGCTTACTTTTGTGCGCTCGTATAAATATCCGTGAGCGCCCAGACAGATGCGCACGGGCTACGTAAGCACGCTTCTTCGTGGAATAAATACTTCAAAGAGCAGCAGGCCGCTTTTTTATCATTCTTGTTATGTTAAGCAATAGCATTCTTCTCATCGATGTTGTTTATTCAGATGGCATAAAGATCCACTTTGTCGATTTATATTTCCTCAATAATTTCGAAAATATTAATCCGTCCTTTCATCTACGATAGCTGGACTCCTACTCCCTAGCCTCCCAGCGGGCCATTGCTATTAAGTCTTGACTTTATGGCTGGTTTTGTTAGCATCGGGTCTTACGCCACCTAGCAGTCAACTGATGTGGTCGTGGGCGATGCTCCTAAAAACAAGAAACAGAACAGAAGAGAAAAATAGAGACACACAATCAAGCAAGCACTTCTAAGGACTTGAGCTTGCGCTTGATCTTTAGCCACTACTTGAGAAAAAGCGCTCGCCGTAAGAAATTAACGATACTAACGGTCAGTCTAAGCGCAGCATGCTGCTCTTGCTGCAGAGAAAAGCAACCAAGCGGATTTTTTGGAGAAGGCTCTCCTCTACTCGCAAAGCGGACTTGGAGTGACATCCATAAATCCAAGAGGCTACAGCGATGGATGACAGTAATTTTTTTAATCACGAGTAGACAAGTGGGAAAGGCAGTGGATCGATATGTCGCAACATGTGTCGAAGTTGAGTGTGCAAGGAGATATCTGAAGTAAGTCGTGCGTGAAGATATGACAACTCGCAACTTCGAGAGAGATCCCTTTGCGTGGAGCTAGAGAGGCAGACTACGATAACTAGTGCGCTTCATTTCGCTCCGCCTAGTTCATACGCAAGACGGACACGTCTGAAAGTCGAAAATTGTAGGGCGGCTGATGGAGAGTTATTCTACTACTTTTACTCTAAATGAATCACACTCAAGAAGCATCCACCTCCACCAACGAGCCTCATGGTCAACAAAGTAGAGGCCTTGAATTCTATAGCTTTTACAATGCTTAAGTAATAGTTTTGCGCAGTCGAATGGGCGTAGTGGCTGTCATTGTAGGAAGGTGTTATCGTGTAGAAGTAGATGAAGCTTATTCGCCTGGAAAAGATGGCAGCGAGCTGATGTTGTTTATTCTTCCCTCGACGATGTAAGTGAAAGTCGCAGGTCATAGGAAGCGTGCACTGCTCAGGAGCCTTGGTCTCCTCCTGAGTAGAACTGGCAGGCGAGCTCGTGGCTGGACGACTAGTACTCCAGACGCGCATCAGAAGAGACACTTCGGTGGAGGGCATTACTAGCGCAGGTGCTTGGTGCGCGTGCTGCTACGTTGCACAGCTGTGAGGTTAACGTTAAGGATACACGTGTGACACTGTTAACCTGTAACGAACATTTCCAGGGGGGTTCATCGATAATATCTAGCGTCGTTTCTAATCGTCTCCACTGTGATGGGCCGCTTTGTGAGCAACCTTGCGCCCGCCTTGTCGTAATTCAGTAGAGACCTTCATCTAACCACATGATGCTGAGCGGAAGCAAAGCACCAGACCGACCGAACGCGAACTCCGGACGTTGCGAGGAGGAGCCACGCTGCGAACTCCGCGGCTGCCGTTCTTCCTTAAGATGGTCAAGCATGAATGATCGCGAAGTGACTTTGGGTAAAGTATCTTCTTGCAGAGTTTGCAACTAAGTCAGTTGTGTGTGTCTGAATGTAGAACTAGAACGTTCATTGACAGCTCTTCTATTCAGGAGTTTTAGTTTTTTTGGGTGAAGGAGCCGTGTGCCTGAGGTAGAAGTGGTGGTCGGCTGTGGACGTTCCTAATGCTAATGTTGAGTCCTCTAATCATTGCCCATGCTTTGGATATTTCGGGTGGCTTCCGCCGCGCTTTTGAATCGTTGCGTGATCGCCTATCATGGATCTTATCGGCGGCGATATGTTGTATATGTTCTTGGCAAATGCAAACCTTGGCAGTCCAGTGGCACGCCAATGATCCTTGCCGAGCGACTCCTGCTAGTAGTACCTCGCGGCTGCGAGCTGTGAGACCTTCGGTTCATCAGTCCATGCATGAATGAAATCAGAATCACGGAGGGCTGCGCGAAGCATTTCTCATTGTTCAGCTGAAGAAGTGCCTGGCGGTGCAGTCGTGGCCCCTATTAGAAAAAAGGCCGATCTTGACGCTGAGGCTGTTCACTTTCCTACTGCAGATCGCTTATACTAGTTTAGCTATGCTATCATCTCTATGATCAACAGGAGGTCTGGCTGCTCGTAGGACGAAAGTACTAGACTGCGACTTTGTTTATCTCGTCTTTTTCTTGTAAGTTGTAACTGCTGGAGGATAAAGAAAACATGGCGCCGCAGTTTCGTGTAGGTTCTTAGTGGTGCTGCGCTTTGCGTCGAGGACAAGGCGTGCTGCTTGCCGGCGTCGGGTGCCGCCCTGGTCAAGCTTTGGAGGTGGTGGTGGGCAACAAGTAGCCGGCCACGAAGATAACCTTGGCGAGAACCTGCTGCCCATTTATTTATGCTGGTGCAAGCTCAGCTTGTTCCCTCTATCATGATTTTGGCAAAGGAGCGCGATCCGCCGTGGTAGGAGCAAGCAGAAAGAGATTGCATCCCCCGGCCCCCTCCCGCTGCGGATTCTTCTCTCCTTTGCCATCGAGATGCACACCGCGTGGCCCTCGTGGTAGTAGTTTGGCAGTAGGCAGACCGAGATGGCCAAGGAGCTATTCTCGCGTAGATGCTACTTCATCTGCTAAACGCAATTGGGCAAGTTGTGTTCTCTCTTGTTGTAGTTCTTGTTGTAGTAGATGAAAATGTCTCGCGTCTACCTCTCATAGTCGGTTGCTGGAGCGCGGCCGCGGCCATTGGTCTGCGCCAGTCGTGGTTGATGCTACGGGTCACTCCCACAACTCATGACGTCCCGCGTTCGTCGTCTACTTCTGGCTTCATCTGGTAGCTTTCGCTCAGTTGGGCGAGCCGTGATCTTGGAAGAGGTTCATGATCGTGCTGACGAGTGAAGACAGCCTGCGCGTTCTTGTGCTTGAGGCGGGCGCGTCGCTGCCGCTGCAGCTAGCTGTAGCCGGAGCAGGGCGCCACACCACGCGATCCCCACGGGGGCGCCAGTTGATTGCTACTCAGGCTCAGGCGTTGTCGCGGCAGAGGGTTCGATGACTGAAAGCGGAACGCGCTGCGACCGGAGAACGGGCACTATTTTCCATGCAAAAAAGAAACGACCACAGGACCAAGCTCGCCAGACTCAAAGACAAAACACAAAGAGACGGCCGCCCACCCCAAGGAGAGGACCTCCTAGAAATAACTTGCCAAGTCTGCAGCTAGCGGCTTCCAGTAGCCCTATAAATCGCGAGGAGAGTCTGCTTGCGTGGGCTCTTAGTAAAATCGTAGGAAAAACCAAAAAAATCCTAACTCTCGAACGGAGACCGGCACCCAAATAAAAAACCCAAAAAAACTGATAAAAACCTTAAAAAGGTCAAAACTCTGAACGGTTTCGGTAAAGAATAGGAAACGGTTCACAGGTCTAGGAACCTCGAGGCGGTTCGTTCTAAGAAAGGCCGCGCGTGGCGCTCGGGCCAGGCTGTTCCTGGTCGACAGGCGTGGGCAGTGGACAACTGGACCCAGGAACTTGGCTGCTTTAATTCAGTGGGGTGCCAGTCATTACTGGCGCTGCCATGGGCTTCCCGCAGTTAAATTGGCCAGGGCGGACGTCTCAACGTCCGCAGACATCTCGCGCGTGCAGAAGGCGAAGGGCGACGGGCTTGGTTTTTCTGAGCTCGGGCTGAAAGCTGTCGGCAGCGTTTAAGCTGAGGCCGAACCTCACAGAGCTTGCTTAGCAAGCTGGACTGTCTTGGTGAAGTTATGGCTTGGCTTTAGTGACTGTAGGCATTGGCCTCATGTGCTACACTTATGCGCACCGGACTAACTTAGTGAGCTACAGCGCGAGGGGCTTGCGCTATTTGTCTAGGCGCTCAGGACCCCCCTGGGGGTCTCTCGCTAATGTGTTTAGGCCCTAGGGGGTCTTGGAGTCTCGCCACCTTATCCGCTGGCGCAGTGGAATCGTTGACCAGTTTGGGGCCAATTTTAAAAGTTTGGGCGCCTTGTCTGTGGGTCTCTTTGCTTTGGTGGCTTCTTGTTAGACACTAGCGCCCCCGCGTCGTCTCTGTCTAACAGCTGCGACGCTCACATGCTGGCGCATTTGGAGGAGAGACGGGGCGAGAGATTGGCCGACGCATTGCGCAGGGGCTGGCGCCTAGATCTGAGGCGGATCGCAACAAATTTAGACACATTGTCTGCCTTATGTGTTTCGAGGAGGAAGACGGAAGGGCGTGCGGCTTTTTTTTTCCGGGGAAAGGTGTGGGGAATCTCGCGCAGAGCTTTCGCGTGGGTGGCGAACTTTTGGCGGGTTGCCTTTCTGTTGAGGGCGGTTCGCGGCAGACCGAAGCGAAACCGGCGCGCGGCGTTGCAGGTCTTGCGGCGCTTAAAGGTTCCAAAAACTTACACCGCGACCAAGGTGGGCGCGTGTGCAGAGAAACTGCCCGCCTGTGTGGTCCTTAGGTTGTCCGGCTCAGTGGCTCGCGTTTTATGTTATTGGTCGGCCATCTCTGTCTTATCAGCGGGCCGCCTCTATCGTGTTTTCTATTGTCATCGCTCTAGGTCTAGTGGTTCCATCGTTTCAGCTGTCATCGCTCTGGTGGTTGGCTTCTAGGCTTGGCGTGTTTCTTTTAGTTAGTTGCCAGGGTTGCTGGTTCTACTGTGTATGTGGCTGCTCTTCATAGCTCTGGCGGGCTCTAACACTAGGCGGCGTGGGCCTCCGGTCGTATTACTTTACGCGCCGCATGCTGTGGCCAGTCTTACACGCTCGAGAACAAGCATCAAAAGGGGAGGGCTGGCCGCCGCGCTTTCGCATGTGGAGAGAAGGGCCCCCGGCGAGCACTCAGCCAACCAGCGTGCCCGGCTTCTGAAGTGGTCAAACTGCGGGGGCTGCCGGCGAATCTGCAAACGCTGGGCGCCTTATTTCTACTTGATGTTGATGGCGCGGCCTTGTCTCACTTATATGGCCCCGGCGTCCTGACAAGTATGGCCGGGCGTTCTCGGGTAGTACTCTCCTGGGCTTAGCACTTGCGCCACCCTCATACTTGACAGATAACGCGCGCGCGCCTCCATGTAGGGCGGTGCTTGTACCTCGAGAAACTCGGGACGGCTTGCAGATGACGACCCCCAAGCGGTTCGAGAAAACTGAAAAGCAGGCCAGTGGCGCCGAAGGGGCTCGCCGCTGTAGTGGTGTCGAACAGGGCGGCGAGAGAACTGAGAGGCAGGGCAGTGCTGGCGCATGGGGCCACAAATGTAGCGGCGCCAAACTTGCTGCGTTCAACGACTTGGGTCTGGGTGGGCTTGTTGTATGTCCGTAAGCTAGGGGCAGGAAACTGACAGGCACAGGCCAACGGCCAAAAGCGACGAGGAAAGAACAGCGGGAGCGCGGTGACTGTCGAGCCATTTGGGAGCGTCTGGGTGTGTGTGGCGCAAGGCTTGGGGAGTGCGTGCTTGCTTTGTCACGCTGGCAACGTGTGGCGGCGGCAGCGTGGACGCGCCAGACAGAACAACTCGCGACCGCCTGCGCCTGCCTTCGTGGTTCTTGGCTTGGTGGCTCTCAACAACAGCAACAACAACGACGGACGACGCCGGTAGCGGTCTGGGTGGAGATTCTGTCGCACGCTGGGTAGCGCGTAGCCTGCTCTCGTTGGTTTGTACAGTAAGCACCGCCCGCGACGTCTGACACCTGCCCCATTGGGAACGGCTTGCCGCGTGAGTATGCGTGAAACCTGTAAGAAGTACCCACCACAACCGCCACGGGCTCCGCCGTGAAGTGTGGGGCAGGCGTGCGTGTAGCACGTTACTACCCAGGCGCCTTTATTGCGAAAGTGTGCGACCAGGTCCGGCCCAGGCTCGAAGGATAGCCCAACACGCTCAGGGCCCTCCAGAGTCCCACGGTGACAAGGTCGTGACGCAGTCCCCAAGATCTGGCGGGGGGCCGCCGACGACTGAGGCCCCAAGATTCAGGCCAAGATAGCGGCGCAGGTGTAGTCAGTCGATCAGTCTAATAGGCTCGGCACGCTTTGGGCGCTGATCATGCGGCGCGTCTATCTTGTGACTGACCCACCAAACACAAAGAGAGCCCCAAGGGCTCTGGGCTTCTTGCCTAGCTAACGCGGTGCGTGTCTATGTGTTCAGCCTCTGCATGTGCTTGGCCTTCTTGTCAGCGTCAGCACCAGCGTCCGCCAGTGATAGTGGCACCAGGGACAGGACCGGCTTGGAATCTTTGTGGGGTCCGTGCTTGAGATGTGAGGCCTGCCCATGTTCATGCGCTTAAGATTAAGTAGCGCGAAGGGCCGCGCTTGTGTCTAGTTGCTTCATGTAAACGCGGGCCCGCGCTGTCTCTGGTTGTCTGTCTCTGACAATCTGCAAGCGCAGTGAATTCTTGTGCTGTGATCTTGAGTAGATGCGCAGTAGAGTCCTCCGGCCTAAGTCTTGTCTCGCTTCCAATCCGGTCCCCCACGTTCTCAGCGCCTTAAGTTCTAAAAGCTGCATGCTTTACCGATAAAATTATCCGTGCTCTTATGGTGTTCCAAGTTCTTAACTTTCTAAGTTCGGGCATTGTGATCGCCTTGGGAGTCTAGTAATGACATAGATCCGCCTGGTATTATAATCGGCCCACGCTAGAAGTATGGCTGTGGCCTTGTAGTCTTATGGTGCTAAGCTCTAACGAGTAGAGACCTAAAGTCGGTCGGTGACATAGATCTGCCCCCGGTGCTCGTTATTGTTCAAAATAAAAGTCTGCATCTCTCTCCCTTCAAATTTGTAGTGCCATAAGTATCAAAAGCGACGCGCTTCCGCTCGTGTTTCCATTCAAATAATAGACTGACGACCATGCCCCTGGTGCTTGTCTGTGTTGTTTCAAAGCCTCCGCATCCGAGTCCAGAAGTTGCGCGGTCTTTCGCTCGTCATTGGATGGCCTTTCGCTGGTATCTCCATGGTGTTTCGATTGGTTCAAACTAGTCCGATCCGTGTGCTAGTACTGTCAAAGCATGCGCCACCTTTTTCGCCACTGATTTCCTTCCCCCTCAAGACCAAAACAACCCGACAGGGAAACAACACAAGCACGAACTTGAGCGACTTCGGTCAAACCTGCACTAGCTTAGCTTAGGCCTGCGCAAGTAACTTTTTACAATTACAAAATGCCCGGCCCGTTTTCTGTTCTCCTGCCCGCTGCTACGAATGCACCGGACTGACTTGTAGCCGGTTTCTCGAGAGACAACGCCGAGAGACCACTAAGCCACAGTATTACGAGATGCCACAAAGAGGCCCGCGAATAGAATCCGCGCGGTGTTTCGGTGTGGCGTGTAGTCTTGTCTTGTGTCTGGCTCTGACTCACGGAGGCTCCCACGCTGTTGGCCGCTGTGTTAAAGTGTGTTAGTGTTAGGCCATCACTCGCCTGGGCTACATAGCTCACGTAAGCACTCCGGCGCGCTGCTGTCTGGCCTTTGTGTTTTGGTTTGTTAGATTGTCACTGGTCTGGGCTACATAGCTCACATAAGCGCCGTGGCTTTTGTCTTTGGCTCTTCTCTTTTGTATGTGTAGGCACTTGCTTAGCACCTGCATAGCCAGCAAAATCGACGGCGGTGGCGTTCTGCATCTCGGTTACCACTCGGGCCGAGAGGACGCAGTCCGCCAAATATATAAGTGGCGCAACTTCCTTGAAAGGCGTGGCAGTCTGTAGCCTGAAAGGTGCCGCTGCGTCATTCGTGAACAACCGGGGCCCACGTGTCCCAGGTTGGGAGTCGGTCGGTCCAGTTGCATATTTAAGGGGGGGACTTCGTTCAACGTTTCTCCGCGAGAAACTTGCCAAGGCTTAGCAGTCTGCGTTCTTGTGGTCCAACCCTTACGCTTACCAAAAAGGACGCAGCAGCAGACTTCTTAATCGTGCGAGTATTAACTTAAATAAGTCATAAGTCTTGACTCCTCTCAAAAACCCTAAAAGATTTTCTGATGGATGCAGTAAGTCATACATTACTTCGCTCAAGATGATTTCTGTAGTAAGTCGCTTACAGATGAAGAATATGATTTTTTCAGTTAACTCTATCTTCCGCCGCATCAGGCTGTGCTAGAGCGTATTCACCGAGTTTCGACGATGATGTGCTACGAAATTAAGAGTTGAAGTTCTTCTTTTTCTTTGCCATTTTCCTAGTATCGGTCCCTAGTCACCGCCAGTAGTGTACTCTGCTTTTAAGTATGTATGACCAAAACAGGATAAACGCTATCCAATAATGGTTGGTTCGCTGACGACCCTGATCGCCAATGGCGAGGCCTTCGTTGCGCAGCGGGTGTCAGATAAAATTCATTGAATTTTTGAGAAAGTTTACAAGTTTTCGTCTTCTTGAATCGTCCTTCCTAAATCGGAGTACTCGCGTGCGTGGTTATCCGCACGTGGAAGTAATCACATGAACATGAATCGGAAGATTTTTTTTGAATTGCCTCGTGTAGAATAGGTTCTTCTTTCTGATATGATCTGGAAAACAACGCCGAACGAGATGGCTCTGCAGGAGCTTGGTGCTACAAAGCTCTTTCTGTTTCTTGTGTGCTCCACACAAGGTAAAATAGTTGTACGGTGGTTAAGACATCCGCGTCGCGATATCCTTGGACAGAAAGAAGGCTAGTGAGCACGGGGATTGTCTAGTGAGCGTGACTGTGCTATTGCTAGCACGAGAAGGTAGTCCTGCGTTCGACTGGAATGAGAGACACCGAGAGCGAATGACAGACTCTGCAAAGTTGCGATTTCTTGACTGATATCGTACTCGATTGATTCCATCCATTCTGGGTATCTATGTATAGGATGCTTATAATCATGATAGATTTCTAACTACCTCATCGAAGTGGGACAAGACTTGATCTAAGTTGGTAGTAATACATTTTCCACCAAGTAGACTATTATGTTGACGCCACGCGCAGCGTTAGCGCTGTGGCTTGCTGGCAGCGTCGATGCGCACACGATCGGTGACGTCCTCTTGACCGAAGAGAACTCAGAGGACAAGGCAAAAGTAGCGTCGTCTGAAGAGAACAAGATCGGAATCAAGCACAAATTTAGTGTCCAATTTGAAGCGACGAACATCGATGGGGGTGGAGATGCAGTTGCTGGGTCAAAGAAGGCGTCGGATGATCATGGGCAAAAATCAGAGGAGAAGGCAAGAACATCTGACGGACAGTCATCAGTGGATGATGGAAAAGCGGGAACAAAATCATCAGCTGCCGCGAAAGGGGAGGAGAAATCAAGAACATCTTCATCAAGCGGAGAAGTAGCGGAAGGAAGGTTATCTTCGACACTAGATGACGGAAACAAACAGGCAGGAACAAAATCATCAGCTTCAGCAGAGTCATCGAAGTCTTCACCTTCATCATCATCAGCAGCAGAAAAGCCATCATCATCTTCTTCAACATCCAAGGTTGTGGCGAGTGAGGCGATCAGGAAGCATTTGGCTGCTCACGACAACAAGCTGCAAGGGGCGACGAGAGATGACATCGCCGCTGCAGTGCATAAAAGATCTGCACATAAAAAAAGGTCCTCGGAGGCGAAGAAACATGAGCAGATGGATGATGTCTCGAAGCCGACCAGTGGGTATGAGTCATCGACAGCAGATGATCAACAGAAAGCAGCATCAACCGAGAACGGCGTCAAACAGGACACTGCGGGTGCCAAGGCAGAGAAATTATGAAACGAGAACGATGATGATTCTTTTCTGTTTAGATAGTCTTATCAGCAATCATTTGGGATGCACTGATGATGATCTTATTCAGCACCTTGACCTTCATTTCTAACGACATCTGGCGAACCCACGGTGGTAAATCCGGCGAACGTGATCAGTTTAAACTTAGAGGGCAGTGGCTCAGTTGCGGAGAAGAAGGAACAGGGCGAAAAGGCGAGAAAGGCAGACGAGATGAAGCTGGAAAGCGAAAAAATAGATTAAGACGATGCTCTTCGCCGAAGTCTAATTATTGGAATTTGCTTGCTACAAGCATTGCGACAAGCCCAATCATGGAGAGACTTTCATTTCCTAAGAATTCTGCAGTGCAGTAGTTCTTCTGAGTTTACATTTACTTTTCTTCGACATGAAAACAGGCTCACTTTGTACATCGAACATTTCCACCACCTCTAAACAAAAGCAGAGCAAAAAGTCGAGAGCGGCGCTCAGATGAAGGCAGAGAGGAAGGCGGGTCGTGCGAGGATGGAAGCAGCTGGCCTAAAAGTTGCCCAAGAAAGAGAAGCTGAAGAGCTTAGTGGGCTCTCAGAGGAAGACCTAAAGTTGGAGATGGACGACGAGGACGAGGATGAGGTTATGAAGAGTAATATTTTCGACACTTCTACTACAATCACTTGGGTTATTAATATGATTGAAGGGTGTGACTGTGAAGAGTAAAATATTTTTCGTTGTACCACTTACTATATAGCACTACTAGATACAACTTGCCACGAGTCCGCTTTTCAACCCACTAATACTAAAGAGAACGAGAAGTTCATCATCATCATCATCTCCTCGCGTCCTTTCCCACTTCATAAAGAACGAATTTAGCAAGGAGCAAGATGAGGAGGACGAGGAGGACGACATCGATGCGGAAAATCTAGAGATTACGCCTGCCGAAGCAGAGCTGCTAGAGCAGAAGGAAGAGGCTAATCGGATAGCAAGTTACGTCTAGATGAGTGTGAGAATTCAATCAGGTCGACCACAGCAATTTAATCAGATCATTGCAGGCCCTTTATAGATTTTTAGAATGCTAGGGCTATCATAGAATTTTTGTCACTCTGATAGCCGTTCTCGGTTTTACTTCTTTCATTTCTGAGAAGCAGCAGAGAAAAAGGCTGGTGGTAGTGGTGGCAAGAAATCAAAGTCGTCAAAAAAATCCAAGGCCTCCTCAACGAATAAGGAAAAGGGGGACGAGGATGCAACACGGCACAGTGTGGGAGAAAAAACAGACGACGATACGGGAAAGCCAGTGAAAAAGCATGTAGCAACTTTAAGGGAGCTTACGACTTACTTAAATGAGTGGTTTGTTTCCGCAGGGCATTTCTCCCTAGGTACTAAGTACTGCTTCGAGGCTGATCATGAGAAAAACCATTGAAATGAATCATCGAAGATATTAGACTCACTATGAATATGACTATGTTGCTCTAATCCCTCGTCGATAGAGCCATTATGACTATGTTGCTCTAATCCCTGACGATGCAGCAGATGGGGAGCCGGAAAGTGGTGACAACAAGGCAGTCACCGAAGACGCTCGTGCTGCTACGAAAAGGAAGTCGAAGAAACCAAAAGGCCAGTACAGAGTGGCCGTACACGACGATGAGGATGAAGAAGGAGAAAATGCACCTAAGGAGGTGAACCTGCAAGAAAGGCTGCGTGAAGGCTTGACGGGTCTGTCGAATGAAGAACGGATCTTATGGCTTCTTCGAATGATCTTCGCAGTTATCACCGTGTGCGGCATAATGATCCTCTTCTCAGTTCTCACCGTGTGTGGTAGCCCCGCCAAGGCATCCTAGCCTGTCCCATGTGCCATTTTCAGAGGCGTCTTCATCTACTTCAGAAGTACATCTCGGACGAGCGCTCTCTTGTTGAGGTTAAGGAGCGAAATCTTGATGAGTTCTAAGGATCAAAATGATGAAGGGCCGTGAACACGCGATGTTGCAAGAGATGGCTGATCCGGCACATGATGAGGAGACCGCACAAGAAAGAAAGCTTCGACGAGCCAGGGAGCACTACGGTACTGGACTCTAAGATGTAGATGATCTACTGGATGTTACGTAGAAGTACAACTACACAAGACTGAAAGATAGTTAGTTGTGCAACTTCTAAGAATGAACATGGCAAGGTGCTTACTTCACGTATGAACAGCAACAAGAAACTGAGTCTTGTACGTACAGCAACAAGATTGAGCATAACCCACTTAATATACCGCATGACTGGGTACACTACTCATCCACACATCAGCAATTGGTAGCGCGAAATTCGGTTTGCATACTGACCTCGATGAGAACGATCATGAGGTTCTCCGAGTAAAAGCAGAGACTCACATAGAGAACAAGGAGAGACGGACTAAGCTTAAGGCAGGTACTATATGAAAGAGAGGTCGCCAAAACAATTTAGATAAAAAGTGAGGATGCTGCATGGAATAATTCGTGTATATCCAAGTAGAGCATCAACAACGTCATTGGTAGAGAATCTCCGTACTAGGCGTCATTGGTCTATTTGGTAGAGGATCTCTGTACTACCTAGTTGTTTATATGCTTCTGTAGAGAAGGGGGGACCCTGCATTTGGAGCTGCGCCTTCTAAAAAGCACGTTCAAGACGTCATGAAACTGTCACCAGAGGAGAGGGAGAAGAAGGCCCGCACGGGAGTGCTTGTCCGATTGCCTGAGCTCTCAACTCAACATTATGATGAACAAGCATAGAAGAGAAAGAAATCATCTATACAACATGAAATATGTTGTAGAGATCCAAAACCAACCGGTTAGTTTTTACCTCTAAAACTTAGGCTTATCCCATGCAGCAATATTTATAATATGTTGTATCTCTAACTTCCTATCCTATCCTCCCTGCATAACAGAAATCTGCACCTTCTAAGAAAGTGTTAGGCCTGTTGTATCTCTAACTTCCTATCCTATCCTGCCTTCATAACAGAAATCTGTACCTTCTAAGTGTTAGGCCTGATCTTAGACGACCACCACGCTTACACGAGAGACGAACACGATATGCTGTGGGAGCAGTACAGGGATGAGGTGCACGCTCATCAGCAGAAAGAACACGAGCACCGAGAGAAGCAATTTCTGGAGACTGGGAAAGAAATATGAAGCGGCGGGAATTATAGAAAGATAGCACATTGCGTCGTAGGACAATTCCGAACCGACTAACATCATCATCAGCACATTGCATCCCACAAAGCAGATGGTGCTAATGGCTGACCATGTAGGTACACGACACGAACTACAAGTAGTTTGGCAGTAAACCTAAACGCTTGATGTGGAATTCAGTTTCAGACTTCTCATTCTCTCCTCTCATCCTCCTTTCATTTTCTATCCGCCACGAGCACGGCGTGACGTATTTGGTGCAGAAATACATGGACGGGAAGGAGCGGTGGAAGAAGGCGCAAGAGCGACTCCATCAAAAGCGATATGCCAAACCAAAGAAAGTTAAGATGCGCCACCAGTCTGGGTAATGATCACCGGTGTTGGAGTAAGTAGGCGGCTGTAGTTTAGTATTTAGCCTGTTGTATGTAGTCGTCGCAGGTCTACATAGAATTTAAATCGGCTTCTAATTCTTAGTCCGGTACACTACAACAACTACCTCGTAGTCGGGTACACTATAACAATACTCTCCCTTTCCTCTAAGAGAAAGTCTTGGGCAGAGCGTTACGCTAAGAGGAAGGCAGCAGAAGCTGCTGAGAGAAAAGCCAAGGGGTTGCCGGAGGAGGAGGACGAAGAAGAGGAAGTAGATGTATCTCTATTTAAGGCTACCTCCGTTGAACCATCCTCAGCACCATCCCTGGCTCTTTTTTTCTTGAAAATGAAGCCAAGGATGCGCCCACAGATGCCGACGCAGTAGCTCTAATCTATCGGCTGCTGATCATCAAAAGAAGTCCTCATCTTCTTCGAGTAGTTCTAGTGGTGGTAGTGAAAAGGAAAAGGACAAGAAAACTACAGCAGAAGAAGAAAACGATGAGCTAGACGCCCTAGATGACGGGGGGGATCAGGATGACGATTTGGACGACCTGGATGAAGATAACGATAACATCAAGAACAACGCCAAGAAAAAAGACACAGGTGGTCGCCCTAAGGGTTCTTTAAAGAAAAAAGACAAAGCTAGCACTTCTTCTAACAAGGACGTTGCAACATCATCGGCATCCACATCGCCCCACCAGAACAAGAAGAAAGCTAGTACTCCAAGAAAGGATGAAGAAGAAGATGACGACCTTGATGAACTCGATGCCGACGACGAGGAAGACAGGCGCCTTGCACAGGAGAAGATGGAGGAGAAAAAAAAGGAGGTTCAAGCAGTGAAAAGGGATGCGAAGCTGCAAGGCACGAGACTGACGAAGGAGGAAAGGAAGGCACTAGACGCCAGAGAGCGAGAACTAGAGGCAGAGGGAGAGGAAATAAATCGAGATCTGATCAACATGCAAGAGAGCAACGAGAACGACGACCTCAAGGCAGGAAGAGGAAAGGAGCGGCACAAAGATTCTCAGAGAGTTAAGACTGTCAATGTCTCATGTGTAACTACGATAGCATGTTTGTGACTTGTCCTTCATTCTCTAGTAGGTCATCCGTCTCGCATAACAGTTGAGAAGAGCAGCATTGCTTTTATCCTACTAGCTACGGACGTAAAATTTCGATTTCAATTCACTCTACCCTTGTGCGTGTCTTTCCCACCTCGGTCCTCTAACACGAGTAAGAAGAAAGCAGACGTTGGGGCTGTATCTCTCGCTACCGTTGAAGATCACGACGAGCAGTTTTCTGGCAACGTGGAGGTGCCAACTGTAATATTGCTAGTATCCATACTAGATTTAGTTTTGCGTGTCGTGATGACAATGACAAAATAGAGAGTTAGAAGATCATTTCGACAAAATACAACACATACCATGGAAATTATTACAAACGCTTTCGCCACTACCTTCTTCCACTAGGTCGGTACTATTCGCCGCTCGAAGAGGGGTCTGAAGGGATTGCGGTCACGGCCTCCGGTTTTCGTACAGACTGGGGCATCCGATCACAGAAACGACGTCCGGGATCATGATCTTCTAGTAACCGAGGTGGGCGAAAACGTAGATGCTACTGCGGAGGAGACTTCTAGTACTGAGTCAGACGATGATGGTAGGACTAGCGCAGAAGAGCAGTCATCTTCAGGTAGTTCAGAGACTAGTAGCACGAAAACTATCGACGGAGAGATCAGGAAGACGGTGCGTGCAATGCGAAGGGGTGCTGCTCGTTCTGGAGCGACTACAGAAGCACTTGCGTCCTCTCTGACGAGTGAAGGGGGTCTCAGTCGCGTCGTTGCTCCATCGTTTACCGACGATGCGTCATCGGTCGAAAATGAGGACCATATGACCCACCTGCAGTTCCGAGTGGCCCCTAGAGGTGAAGAGCTCCGACGAGGTCCTACCACTACTCCTACTTCCTCTTCCAATGAACAAAAAGAGGCCACAGTGTCCTCCTCTCTCATCAAAGAAGAACAGTCCTCGGAGAAGAAAGCAGAGGTGGAACATCATCGAATAGAGAACAAAGAGGACCAGCATCAAGGGACTCTTCATCTGCATGGCCATTTCTACGGACCAGAGGGCGGTCACGAAATCCGACATGCCTTCCGCCCGAGCGGTCAGGTATTCTTAGAATTAGAGGATACCATACTCCGCTTCTCCTTCTGTATTATCAGCAACCGCTATATACTCTTTCATGATTATCTGATAGAGATAGAAAAGCCCCTACTTGTAGACTTTTTGCTACTTGATGCGAGTAAAAGTAAGTATGATCATATTTCGATTTGTCTCAGAATGGAGGAAGATAATTGTCTCATAATGGGTCCTTCCTTCATATTGATATTGATCATTCTGTCTATTCGCAACATATTCATCTATTACCCGATGATCCCAGGGCGTCGGAGGTCCGGATATCTCACTGATCAATAAAGCGATGTCTACAACGTCTGGGGAGAAGTCTGAGGCGAGTGCAGAGGACACGTCAGCCAGCAGCTCCTCCTCCGAAGCCTCTAACTCGGAGAAGATATTAGCAGCTGGACAACAGACACCACAGTTATGTTCTTTTGCTTTTAATCAGAAAATGCGCCTCAACATCCATCGATCATCTTCTCTCTTCTGGTAATATCCTTGAGTGTAATATCCTTGAGTCGGTCCACACATAGTTTTTTTTTTGAGGTACTTACAAGGGACACAAGGCTACCGAAATCAAGATGCCGCCGGTATTAATGCAAGCATACATCTCTAACCCAAGGATCGCCAGGAGCGGCGGTCGTGATGACAAGTAACTGGTACCCTGGAGACCAGGCGGCAAAAGGCAGTGTCTTCTGCCAGGGCGTGCTCACAAAAAACAGCTTCCATTATGGCTTTTCTTAAAGTTAAATGTACCGATAATTTTCCATCTTGAGAAGCTGCATTTTAATACAAGGTCGCGACTTTTCTTGAAGAGGGCACACCTGTACTAGAGGGAAAAGCAGCCGCTCTATGTATTCTCCAAGATATGCTATTCCGGATGGACCATCTGTCTACTTCGTGAGCTCTAACAGTCACAGACGGTCTGGGTCAACCGAACTGAGGAGCTGTGCGTGGGTGCCATGCGATACAACAACGGACCAAGGGCTTGCGAGTAGATATCTTTTATCCCTAGATGAACACTTTGGAGTTTGTAATGATGGTGAATGACGGTGAAAGCGATGGGCGGGGTTCGCGGTGCAATGAGTGCGCGGCAGGACTACGATAACCCACGAAGGGCCTCGACTTTGGAAGGACCCCCCTACAAGCAAGCGACACCGCGCCACATGTTAATTGGCGCAGCCTTCGACCCTTGTTGAAATTTCACAAGCCACACAGACTGCGCCATCTTTCAAGCGCCGCGCCGACTAGGCGTCTCCCAAAAATTCCTGGGGAGCCCGTGGGGATCGGTGTGGTGCTAATAGGCCAGCGAGCATCCTGCTGAGGGAGTGCCCGCGCTGTGGGCGAAGCTCGTGGTGGGGTGTGTGCTGCAAAGCGTCCGCGTGATCAAGGGGGGAGACGCGCCTGTGTGACGCAGCTGGAGGCTGCAAGGGTTGCGGCGAACAACAGGAAAGGCACAGCACGCAAGGCTCGGCCGCTTGCGTGTCCTATTGCGGGCCGCCTTGGTCTTGGTGTCATGGCGCAGCTCGCAGCCTGCCAGGGGACGCGTGCTGCCTGGCAGACTGGGGGCTGCCGTGTGCAGCTTGGCGGGGGGATCTGCGTCGGGGTGAAGCTGGTGGGGATATGCATGGAACTGGAGGCGCCAGGATTTTGGGCAGAACGATGTCGGCTGGCGGTGTTGTTGTTGTAGCATCTTTGTCTTTCGGTGGATCGGCTCTGTTTGATGGGAAAGAACCGAATCGGGAAGAGGGGGCGGAGGGGTGGCAAAGGATGTGGGCTCGCCTCCTCCCCCACCCCTTCCACCTTTGGAGCCGGAGGCTGAAACATTGACGCCAGAGGCTGAGGAGTGAGGAGTGATGACACCAGACGCGCGCGCAACTCCGTCCAGGGCAGTGCGCTGCCAGCTTATCTACGTCTGCCGGGGGTGTCTCCGCTGTCGGGCCCGTGGAGGCTGCCCAAGTTTGTCGGAGGGAGTGGCGGAGCCAGTGCGTTGGAATCTGTCGGAAGAGGTCGCATCCGTGTGGGGCAGGATGTTGCTTGGCACATGGGCTTGAACGGAGGCGGACTGCTGAAGGCAAGGAGGCGCCCCGCGCTCGTCTGGCTGTGTAGCTGTAGGCTGATGGGGTGCGGGCCGGTTTTCGCGCCGTCCTGGGTCTAATGCTCTACCGCTTGTGCCAGCCATCGGCTGGCCTGGCCGTTCTATCTGGTGAAGGGCGCCGGGCTCACGCGTGGCGCGGGCGCTTACAGCTGGCGCACCTGGCTAGCTAGTGGGGCTGGCATTGGCAGGCATGTGGAAGAAGTTGGCCAAACGCTGCACGGAGGCAACAGAGCACGCGCCCACGCGTGAGCCTGTTGGGCAGGTCATTGCCTGGAATGGGTCGGCCGGCAGAATGACGGCGGAGGTGCTCCTTCGTTTTGGGGTCTTGGCTTATGTGTCGTCGCTGCGATAACTATCACACGCGGCGCAGAGGCTTGGCCACTTCTGTACTGAAGTGGGTGAGTGCGCTAGTCAGGTAAGGGGGGCCGCTCATGATCATGGGGGAGCCGTCAGCCGCTTGGTGAAAGATGGAAGCAGCCTGGCCTTGTGGTAAAGGTGGGCCTGGGCTTGCTTATGGCCTACATTGGTCGGCGTGGAGACTGAGCGCGTAGGACTATCCTGGAGAAACTCTACGCAACTGGACACGAGACGCCGGCGATGAACGTGACAGCGGCGGCCCAGTTCGGGGAGCTTGCTACCATGAAGCTAGGCCTGAGCCTTGTATGTAGGCGCGTCCTCTCAGCTCTGCAACGGAGTGCCGCCCATCATGACACGACTAGAGGCGATAGGAATTGGCGAGCAAGTTCGGCACGGTATCAGGCGGAAGGACTGGGTGAGGAGGCTCATGGGCCCACACATGCCCAGGCTCGTCCTCGTTGCTTTCCACTCGTTTCTGCAAGTAGATGCGGACGCAACCAAAGCAAGCGGAGCAAAGCAATGGCGGCCCCAAACCAAAAAGCGAAACACTGCGCAGCAGGGTACTGGATGCGCGCCGCCGGGTGGTGGGCAAAATGGCCGCGCTTTCAATAGCTTAGCGAGCTGACGCCGTCAGCGCCGTGCAGAAGTCATGGCATTTTCGGGCTACGTGCGTGAGCTGAAGTCGCTGCGTCGGCAGGAGGCGCTGGGCTCTTTTCGTATTTTCTGAAGGGCCCTCACGTTCTCAGTTACACCGAGCGCCGCCGCTCTATTCGGGGCCTGGTGCCTTAGGAGGAACCGCGACGCGCCTGCATTTTTTCGCTCCTCGCGTTCGGCGTCAAGTTTCTAAAGACAAGGGACGCCACGCGCTGGCGGCTTTGTTCAATGGCTTGGCGCTTTTGCTCTTTGATTAACTCGAATTTAATTAGTCCAAGTAATTAGCTAGAGTGGTGACCAAGCAGAAAGCTGTGACGACGTTAGTTACAACAAAAGTGGGCGGGATTGGGGGGGGAAACACATCGCCAGCAGCAGGGGCCAGACGTGAAGCAACTGGCTCAAAAAAGTCGAAGAAGGAGCGCAACAGCGTCCGGAGCTTGTTGGAAAGAGGAACCAAGCCAGAGCGGCAGGGACGGGGGCCACTTCCAAGCAACGCCCCGCAAGTTGGGGCATCTCTGTAGCGCTATCCCCTCTGGAAGCTTGTTAGTGCCGAAAGAATCAGCGAAGTGGCTACCAAGTTGCAAGCGTCTGCCACTCGCTCCAAAGAACTGCGGCAAAGGACTTAGCCCGACCGCCAGCCGCCTGACCATGCACTTGCGTCATTCACATCGGCGGCGCTCGAAGCCGTTGACCCACTCCCACGACGGCCCTGAGGGCTGCCTGGTTAGTTTGGACATGCCACGGCTCGCAGTCGTCGACGTTGTAACATAACTGGGAGGGCCCGCCCCGATGCTGGTCTGATGATTTTGCTCGCACGTGATTAGCGCCCTCGGGGCGCTTCTTGCTCTCACTCGGGCTGAAACTTGCGCCAGGCGGGTGCCACAACTGACCCCACACTTGCCGCGGTGGATTTTTATCGGGTAGGCGCACATAGCGGCAGGTGACGCGGGGACGTTGGTTCTGGTTTCTCACGGGGGGGATGTGCGCAGGGCTTGCCTCTTTCTTTCTTGCTTGATCAATCACGCCGAAACAGACCATCTCTAGCTCGGCACTTTTGGCATCTCCGCTTTGCTTGAATTGAGCTCGAGGACATTTATGCCCCTGAAGATCAACGTGAACGCACTTTACGTTTACTTTTTTGAACGTGAGGGCATTCTTGTATGAATGTAAGTGTAACGAATGGCTTGATCATCAGGTACGACCCTGTATCGTCAATCTGTCGACCGATTTTAGACGCTTGCTATGCAAGTCAGGCCACCTACGCTTGCGAAGCCTGGGCGCACTGCCAGAAGAACGCCATTGGTGGATGCACGCCTGTGCTGGAGCCAGGTCTCATCCAAAAAATGGAAGAGACGGCGGTCGCATACAGTCAAGTAGGAACAGCCCTCGGGGATACCCTAGACGCAATCAGAGAGGCCATGGCATCGAGTCAAGGCGTCGGCGCACAGGTGCCACGTTAGCTGCAGACGAGTATTTGTGGGGGAAATTGTACTTAAGTTAGAACACAGTAAAAGTACTTTTCAGATAGAAACACGTTGATGTGAGATTGTAGCTGAAGGTCGTTTGGCTATGTATTAGGAGGTGACAGTAAAGGTCATTTTTCAGTTTATACTAAATTTTTTTGTCGTTGTTTTCTTGAGAGACTGAGCAAGAGCACTATAGATACGAATGAAACATTTTGAATTGAGCAGAACAAAGAGCATGCTGGAACTTGAGTATCGAATATGAGGAAACTACAACTTGTATCAGAAACCATGTTGAAAGCTCGAGAAGTTTATTTAGAAGTGATAGTGAACTGACAAGCGAACGACTTAAAAGTGTCTTAGAATTATACGTCTGCACGCAGCAGCCACCCAGGCTACTAGTGACGTTGTATCATCGGCTTGCATGATGAAAACTTGTTGTACATAAAATATCAAATACATCCTCATAATTTATTGTACATAAAATACGGACATTCTCGACTCGTAAATGGTCAAGGTCATTCCCGATTCCAAGAAACTGTTGTTCCACACAACCTGAATTGCGGGCTCAATAAGATTAAACATTTGAATTTTGCCGAAGCCTTTGACCCAAGGTCAAAGCCCTCGCTCTCGATGCACGTGTCAACATGACTCATTTATGATTGTGGTGTGTTGAAGTGTATGTCATACAACTACTCAACAAGTAGGTGTAGGTGATGGAACAAACATAGCTTTACGCGTGCCCGCGCTGAAGCGTTCGTGACAGACAAGTCCCCTATCGAGACCCGAGACGCAATCTGCTCATGAAGAACGCCACGACAACTGGTTACGATATCATCTGGGCGCGACCCCTTTTCATTATGATCAAGTTGTGCTGGTACAGCCTCTTCAGAAGCTGATGAATACATCTTCGTCCCAGAGAGGACACAGAGCACACGCTCCTCTTACGAAGACGGTCATCGTGTGAATCATGCGGGCAGAATTCGAAGACGATGAAAGTGGAGGCTTTTGGATTAGTGTCGGTCCGAAAAAGCACCCGGTGAAAAGCAAGTGCTGCGGCCAATTCAAGAAATTCGGTTAGAGATTTTCAATAAGAGACAGGAGCGAGCTGAATTATGTTCATTACCATGTCTTGGACTTGATTCTCTCTTCATCGATTTCTTGAGAACATTGGAATATATGAGAGCGATGACAAGCGAGTGGTGAGGGGTGTGCCTGACAGGCTATTTTTGGCTGTTTCCTGAATTGGAGGCGTCCTCGAAGGTATGACTACGTTGCGGTCGATTAGTACAACGATGCCTGGCCGGCGCACAGCAGTTGCGTTTTTGCTGCTACTAACGAGTCAGTGCGCTTTGCGTGTGGCGGGGGCAAAGGATATATGGCATAATCTGTAGAAGTGGGCACTACTTTTGCTCTTGCATAGTCACACATATTGCTAGCACATAAGTAGCCATGAATCCTAATGGGTTGTAGTTGTACTCTTCATGTTCACTTCATCTCCCTGTCATTCCCATTACCAGTAGCATTCATTCCCAGCATGTATCTCTCAATTTTTCTCTATCACGTTCCCACAATTTTTCGCTTTCATGTCCCGCTGCAGAGAAGCGGCGATACCTCATTTTGGGCGGCACGGGGATTCGGAGTTACCCGACGACGGAGATGTTTCTGCAGAAAGGTCATGATGTGGTGTTGCTAAACCGCGGAATTCCTTATTGGGACGTGCATGAGCGACTGTTGAAGCCTGGAAAAGTGACGCACTGGAAATGCGACAGAGAGGAAAAGTTGCAAAACTGCAAACCTCTCATCGACGACCTGGGGACGTTCGAGGCCTGCATCGATTTTTCCTCTCGGAAATGGGAAGGCATCGATAACGCGAGGACGTATCTGAACGACAAGTGTGGCTTCTACATCTTCGTGTCGTCGTTCAAAGTGTACGATGTCAGTGGAGCGATCCCGAAGCTGACGAAAAAGTTCATGCATAATATTATGGCCCGGCAGGAGGATCAATAACAGGAACAGTCAAAAGCCTAACAAGAATCCAAAAACAGGCTAGACTAGCGACTAGCGGGTAGACAACGCCTGGGAAATCTCAGGCAGATCGCCGAGTAGATTCAAATCATCAATATTGAGACTCTGCACTATAGTTCATTTTTTTTCCCGCAGGCTCGTTGGTAGTCTCTGCGTCTTCCTACTTCGGATTCGAGGAAAGTCACAATCTCGTAACTTAGAGCTTGGGATGAAGCTAATGACTCCAGTTAGAGCTCATCATCCTCTGTCTAAGAAAAAGGGCATCAAAGAAGACATGATGAGGAGACCCAGCAAGGCCGTTTCACCTCTGGAGCGACACGAAATTATAGCCGCAAACCCAATCGCAGACGCGACCTTTCAGGTGGAAGAGTACGGCAGTGTGACAGTAAGGAGTTCGTTGATATAGAGAAAGACTCATTTCCGGAGAATAGGTTCGGCACGGTAGACTAGAAGTACTACTATCTAAGGATGCGAATGAATGAAAAAGGTTCAACACGACAAACTTCGAATAAAGTTCATCCGTGCTGAAATGTAAGTTGATCACAGAAACACTATCGCCCTACACTACTCCTATAAATATATGGGGAACATCTCTTAATTACTACAAACAATATCGCCCTCGGACAACTAGTAGCACTACTAGCCGTCCGATTTAGTTTTAGATGGAGAAGAGACATCTTGTTGATTGGTTTGATGTGATGTTGCATTAGCCCACTTCATAAAGCGGGGCTTGAGAAGAATTACAATAGCCACAACGGATGGCCATACGCGATTCTTAGGGTAGGGAATATGCTAGGCGGCAGAGAGGCGATAATGCGGTTGTGGTTTCTGCAACTGTGGCTTCATGGCCATCAGACACTAGGTATCGAAAGGCTTATAATAGATCACTACTTCGTAAGATGGATGATGGATTGTATCTTTAATATTTCATGAATTTTGATGTTGGGTAGACTAGTAGTACTGATACCGATGCTTCTACGCATGGAAAGTTGTCAGGGACAGGTTCAATACTTGTTCTAGAATACTTCTGAAGGTACAACTTGTGCTTACTCTCTTCAGTTGTGTGCCATGATCCCCTTGCTTTTATGGTGATGCTGATTCCACTCATCACAGGTATGCCCATGCACACGACGTCGACCTTGCCTATGAGTTTCACCTACTCCTACGACATTGCACAAGCCGTTGCGAAGATAGTCACAATGACGCGCAACGAAACGCTCAAGGAAGAGGTAATAACTGCGTGCCCAAGGAAAATGATGAAATGAGTACGTTTCATTATTTGTCTCGAGGAATCACTTCCACAATACTACATGCTAATAGTCGACTGTGATTTATCTAAAATTTTTCATTCTTTCTCAGAGACAAAATCAACATCCACTTTGTCTTTGCCTTAGTTCCCAGCATGCGCACCACGTGAACCAGATAACCGGTGAAGCCTTCAACATCGCATGCGAGGAGATTAAAGATCAGTACAGTTTGTATTACGCGATTGGCGACGTCATAGGGCTGCCGAAAATAGAGCACATAACGAATCCGAACCGCACAGAGAGCATTGTGATGTTCCCGGAGAACAAGGAAGGGCATACCATGAACATCGAAAAAGCGAAACAAGTGTTGAAATTTATGCTGGTTTTGACGATAAATAGGTTCGTTGAACTTAGAGTTGAACTTAGAGTTGAACTTAGAGTTGAACTTAGAGTTGTACTTACGTAGTTGTTAGTTAGTAATATTTCGTGGACGTGGACCATGGAGTCGTGTGGCTAGTCACCTATACCATAGTTCTACAGGTCGATACTGCTAGACGGATTTTTCCACCCTCTCCCCCTCTCCTTCTTCCTTTCATCGTAATCAAGCCGACGAATCTGGAGAAGGCCATACGGGAAAGCGCTAGGTTCTATGAGCAGGCGATGAAGGGAGAAAAGTGGGCGATTCAACGCAAGATTGTTCTAGGACACATCGCAAGCATGATGGGCACCAGAAGACTAGTAGATTGGGTGGAAAAACGGTTCCTAGAGAAGAAGGGGTTGTATGACGAATACGATGAGGAAGAATATGAGGAAGAACTTGAGGAGAAATTTAGGAGGGTAGAATTGTGAGGAGTCCAAGTCCTATGTATAGTACTTGATGATTTCACAAGACTAACAGACAGCTGATGCATTCACAACTGTCCAAAAACCGGTGACCAGTTTCTACATCGCAACGGTGAACAGTTGAGATGTAAGACGCATCACGCAATGACAATTGAGCGGAAAACGCGTTGTGGGGGTTAAAAATCCATTGGTGTTCGTTTGCAGCAGGAAGAGCACGGATCGTCGTGGCCGTGCCGCAGCAGTGAGATGGTTTATGTTGCGGTTCAATGGCGTGCTCGGGGAAATCAGCTGCGAACTCCAGGATGTTCAATTTTTTTTGACGATCCTAGGGAGTATGCGTGATAACGGCTGGTGCATGTCGTAAAAGATTAAGATGACTATCAGGCTTCCACGATAATTTTTGGAGATCATGCACTGCAAAAGACGATCAGTGGTGCGCTTTGTTTCGTCCCAATCAAATGAAACTTTGCTTTATGCTTTTCTACTTGTAAGAATTTGGGCAAATATAAGGAGCATCTGGCACTTACTTAGTACAGACCTACTTACAGGACTAAACAACTACTTAGAGCATCACAAAAATGATGACGAACACTGAAAAGGGAAACGCTCGAAAGGGACCGCCACCTCTTCGGGTGAAAGGCGCTGCCCCACAGCGCATTTCGGTGACCCCCAACTGGAAACCGCGAAGAAAGGGTTGTTGTGCCCGTACGGCGTGTCTCCTGGGGAACAAGGAGACGGTGAGACACTGCTTGCGCTGGTCGGAGAGGTTTAATATTTGGCATCTTCGTGGTCCAGCACAAGAGGGAGTAGCAGTACCAGAGCCAGAGCCACCACCTGCGTACTTCGCAAATCGGATGCGAACTGCAAAATACACCGTGTGGACCTTTCTCCCTGCTACACTGTGGAACACATTTCGCCAACCTGCAAATATTATGCTCTTGGATCATCCGGAATGAAATATTGCAGCATCCATTTTTATGTAGTACTACTGAAGTGGGGCACTTCTAAGGGAAGGTAACCTCGTACCTCTTTTGAAAAAATGTGCCTTCATCAACGGATCTTCACAAAAGTAGCCTAGTGATGAGCTAGTAGCACCCAAGAATGAAGATGATCTACCAGTAAATGACAGCGTTAATAGCGTATACTTTCTGCTGATCTGCGTCTTGCAGATCATCCCGGAAATTTCGCCTACCGGAGGGATAGCGACACAGGCTCTGCCACTGAGCATTATTGTGCTCCTCGAGGTTATCAAGGCCTTTATTGAGACCTGGAGGCGAACGAGAGCAGATGACTCGGAAAATACGAAGAAGTGTTGGAGACTGACTACGAACAAAACCTCGTCCGGTGCTGACCACTGCCTCCAACCTGAATCTTCATCAAGTACTGGTGAAGTCGATAACTCAGATGTTTCTGTTGATTTGGAGGAAATAGAGTGGCAGCACTTAGGTGTCGGCGACATAATCGAACTTCACCCTGGCGATGAAGTGCCTGCAGATTGCATCCTTTTTGGAGCAGGGAAAGATGACAAACGACCGGAAATTGTCTACGTAGAGACCGCCAACCTTGACGGAGAGGCGAATTGGAAGCCCAAGCGTGCTGTGCAGCTAAGTAGTGCAGAAGTTGGTGGGAATGAAAACCTGAATGGACGAGAGGAGCACACTCCTGTTGCTTTCGCACAGCGTCTAGTTCGACAGCTCCGCAGTGTGGAAGTAGAGGCGCCAAGCTCCGACCTCTACCGGTTCCATGCTACGTTTTGGCACGATAGTGGTGGCTCTGGTGTTCAGAGAGAAGGGTTGTCGGTAGACAATTTGCTTTTGCGTGGAACCAGTCTACGTGAGGAGGTAGACGACGTGGAGCGTAGACGACGCACGCAAGAGACGCAAACGTCGACGCTGTGTCGCAATTCGCGAAACACCCAAGCATCGCGAAGACGTTCTGCAGTATCATCTTCTAGTAGAATATCCTCCAGTCATACTGTGCGTGCGAGAGAGAGTCCGTGCACTTCGACATCAAGTTGTAAGCATGCCGACTTAATAACTGGTGATGTTATGACGAAGAACACGACCAACGACAGAAGCTCCTCTAAGTCCTCGCACACGCATGCTAAATCGCATTACGCACTCATAGTATATACCGGTAAAGACACCAGAGCTGCAAGGAACGCATTCTGCGCAGACCTGAGGAAATTCTCATTCTTCGACGAGTGGGTGGACTGGATCATGCTGCGTTGTGTACTCTTGGAAGTTGCTTTCTGCTTTGGAATGGCTCTGTGGAACCACTGGTGTAGTACTTCAATGATAAATCATGAACAACAAGGATTACAATCCTCGAATCCAGCACCAGCGCAACAAGGGCGATCTTCCTCGCGTTGGTTCTATCGTCCTTTGGTCGACATCATCGTATACGACTTGCCTACGAAACATTTTCCGGAGACCTTGCAGCAAAACGCGTTTGGCCGTGGAGTTTTTGTGCTACTGACGGAGATTCTGCCAGTGGCACTAACCTGGGTCACATTGTGTAATAACTTCGTACCGATCTCTCTTGTGGTCATGCTCGAGGTGGGGCGAAACGTCCAGCGACTCTACATAGTATGGGATAAAGAGTTTTGGACATTCTATTTTCCACGAGAAGTAGAGGAGACGGATTCTGACGAGGAGAAAGAGACGATACATTCGACTTCGGATTCCGAAGCCTCCAGTGACCACAATTCTCTTGCTAGCAAGGGAAATAGGCGAAGCTTAACAGGACTGAAACTCGAGGAGATTGATCATCAGCAACTGGAGAGCGAGTCCCTACTACTAGAAAGCAAATCAGCACAGTTCTTGAGCTCCAACAACGCGGAAGGGAACAACGGGGAATGTGAGACTCCATCTCAGCGTCATCCTACGTCATCTAGCACAAGTACAACATCAACATCAGACTCTGAAGGTGCTCCTGAGATGCAAGATGCTGCCGACGATGCGGTAGTACTAGGAGACGTGGCTGCGCCACGTGTACACGCTAACAATCTTCTAGAGGAGCTAGGCCATGTAACCCACGTCGTGACGGACAAGACAGGTACCCTGACGGCAAATGAGATGCGGTTTCATAGCTTAGCAAATGCTCAAGGGGAAATATTATTCACAACTTCTACAGCATCAAATAATAGTCCTCGTCATCCTGTACTTGGAAATCCAAATCTCGAGAGAGTGGAGACCGCTTCTGAGACCTCTTCTGAGGCCTCTTCAGATGGACGTGGGAGGTCCACTTCGTCGTCAGACTCGTCTGCGAGATCGAGTCGTGCCCGTGAATCGTGCCGAAATGGGGCTAACAACGCAGAGGCCGAGAATGACATCAAGCAAGCGGGTAAAAAAGCATCGGCGGTCGATAGTACTATGCGTTGCGGTCTGCCTGAGCCCGAAGTAACGGTAGTAACTGGCATAGAAGATAGGCTGCCGCAGTTTTTCACCACCTCTTCTACAACATCAAGCCTAGAAAGCTTTACATGGACAGCGCTGGCTCTCTGCCACACGTGTCGGCGGACTGGTGGTCAAAATGGTGTCCTTTCTTCAGCAAGTCCCGAGGAAATTGCACTCGTGAACGCCAGTAGTGACTACGGCGCTATACACTACGCGGAGTTTCTAGAGGCTGAACAAGCTTTCGTACTCCAGAGGCAAAACGGCGACGAGGAGGACTGTCGTGTAGAAGTGCCACTGCTTGGAATTTGCGACTTTTCCTCAGAGCGGAAGCGCATGAGCGTCATCGTTCGCTGTCCCCAAAGTAAACGACTAGTGCTCTTCTCCAAGGGTGCTGACAGCGTCATGCTGGATTTGGCTAGAGCATCATGTGAAGCGGTGTCGACGGACAACGACGAACAGAGAATAGCGGATTCTGTTCTTGATTTCAGCCGCGTCGGGCTTCGGACGCTGGTGCTTGGCTACAAGCTCCTGACGGAAGAGGAATTTCGCGATTGGAAACGAAAGAAAGACATAGAGATGGCCACAAATTCCAATTATAGGAGGAACTCGGAGAAAAACGACGACGATACGACTTTTAAAGTATCTACTGGGAAAATGAAGCCAGAGGCGAGCGCCCTGACTGAAGATGATGAAAAGGAACTGATGTTGAAAAGCGACAGCACTTCCGGCAATAGTTCTTGTTCTGCTGCAGACGCACAGCTCGAACGGGGTTTGCATCTTCTCGGCTGCGTCGCGATCGAAGACGCATTGGCTGTTGGTGTGCCTGAAACCATTGCCGCGTTGTATCGTGCCAAGATACCTGTTTGGGTCTGCACAGGCGATAAAACAGAGACAGCGGTGGCTGTCGCTCGTAGTTGCGGCATTGTCGAAGCTGATTGGGAAGGGGTTTTTCTGACCAGTGGGGCGGATATAGAAAGCGATACATGCAATACGGTAGTATCAAAGGATCGTAATGATCCTGATCGAGACCGTTTTGCTGTGATAACCGGAGACCTTTTTGCGGACATAATCGCAGGAAGAGTAGAACGCCGTGCTGATCCCAATATGAAGACCACAGAGTCGGAACAAGGGGAAGACCACGAGGTAGAAGACCAAGCCTCTACCACCGTTCGCGCTGTGAAAAACCTGAAAGATTGTTTGCGATCGTGCAGCTCAGTAATTTGCTGTCGTGTGTCGCCGAGCCAGAAGCGCGACTTGGTCCGATTCCTAGAGAGGGATCTCGACTCACGGCCTCCTTTGTCGATCTCGTATCCGAATGCGAAGCAAAGGAGGAGAACAAATTTTGTGCTCGCTATTGGGGACGGGGCAAACGATTGCGGCATGCTGCGCGAGGCTACTGTTAGTGTGGGCCTCTTTGGGAAAGAGGGGTCAACGGCCGCACGACTGGGAGATTTCGCGGTTGGACATTTTGCCTGTCTTCAACGACTTATCTTCGTGCATGGACGTGAGGCGCATCGGAAAAATACCGTCTTGCTCGTATACATTATGGCCATTGGAAGTTATCCGCAGTAAATAGTACAATAGTACTAGTACAGTAAAGAGTACATAGTATAGTATAAATAGTAAATAAAAATAGTACAACTGTTAGTTGTTGTAGTGAGTAGATCCTTTCCTTTCGTTTCTTTCCTTCAACGTTTACCTCTTTTCTAAGTACTACCATCTATCCTGACTCGATCCCATACCATTCATCCACACTCCCTCGAATTACTATTCATTCTGACTCTCTCATACCATTGGTTTACAAAAACGCGGTTTGTACGTTGCCATTCGTTTTTTATGGCCTTTTCTCGTGTCGTGGGGAGGGTGTGCAGTACGTCCCGCCACTCCTGTATGCGCTCTACAATTGCGTCTACGCGTGCTTTCCCATCCTCTTCTACTGCGTTTTCGATCGAGGCGCAGACAGCCTAGACACGCTGGTGACACAGAATGCACAGAGTTACGAACAGTGCCGAACGCCGGAGGCTGCTGGAAGGGCGGAGTCTCGTCCTGAAGAGGCTCGTGGCTCTGCTAGTACATGTTCGATTGACCAGGGTACATCGACAAGAGCACTCGATGACAACCTAAAGAACAAGCGTGATCTGTTCGCAGCTGATCCACCCTGCACAGGTTACTTAAATCCGGGTCGAGTCGGTCGGTCGCTTCTTCTAGGATGCTATCATGCTCTTCTGGTGCATGTCTTCGCTTTTGACAGCTCACTGCTTGACTCGCCTAGCTTGCACCTAACAGAGCGCGCCTTATTTGCATACTTTCTGATGATCCTGGTTGCGAATGCAGAACTCTTGTGGCAGCTCTCGCGGATCGAGCTGGCAACGATTATCGGTGTAGCAGTAGGCACACTGTTGTACCTTCCAGCGACACTCCTCGCCACTACACGGACTGCAAACCAATGGGATTATTTTGGAATGCACGTTGCTGCGGGAACAAGTAGTACAACTACAACGAGGACGAGCTATTCCCGTCACCACGGCACAAGTGAGGCGCAGTCATTTTTACAAAGCAGGACATCAAGTGCAGAAGAGCTCCAACAGGGTATTCGTGTTGAAGTCGAAATGGCGCCTTTTCCTGCCTTATCATCTGGGACGACTCAAAGTCGAAATTTCTACAACAAGATTTTGCGAGAGGTTGAGTCCGCTGATGCAAGGAGATTACTTTTTGGGGATGAACGTGACACGCACCAACTTCTTCTCTCAACTTTGCTTTGCCTTGTGTTAGCGTTACTACCTGGTATGTGCGGGCTTTCTCATCATAAAATGTACTCATCTGCTTTGTTGTAAATTGGAATTTGGAATGATCATATTTTGACTCCATTATCAAAGACAACTAGGGAGTACTTCAAAATCCACATACTTAATGATTCAGGGACCACACACAATTGGCAAGATGCTGCTCCTCTGCAAGGCCAAGGATCCTCCGATGATCTGCGAGTGCTCTGAAAGATGTCACTACCCTGCCACAGACATCACGGTTCCAAGAAATTCTCCGGATCCGTGTATAACGAACGCAGATCAACAAGAAAGAACCAAGTAGAGGACAATAAAGGAATTCATAACCCTCTCTGCTGTGATAGTACCATGTTATTTTTGCGGCACAACGACGTAGTGATTTCTTTCCCTGCTTGGAGTTGCAGCTCCCACGAAGATGACGCCATGAGCCCTCTCATGTCATTTAGATTTTGAAAAAATAGAGATGATTTTCTTTGGAGACCAGGAGTGGAAACCGAGAGAGTTTTTAGACAAACAAGAATCCTTTTGTAGTTATCTCTAGTAGAGCGGCGTAGAAATTACCATGAGAGATGGATACGGCTAAAAAATAGATCCTAATCCCTTCATTAGCTACGGATATTCCCCTTCCATCCCTCTAAATAAACCTAGAAAATCCGAGACCGCGCCCATACCCATAGCAGATAACTCGACCCACTCAATTACTTCTAAAAACCACACTAGTAGCTCCTAGTGGAACAAAAGATTTAAAGTTTTGTATCGCACTCATCGCTTTTGTTCATAAGCCTGTAGTTTGCGAACTTTTAAGCGTGTAGTTTTTCTTTTCAGCTCAAATTGAGTCTTACTAATAAATACAACTTCCTTCGTATCTCATCTTCCTTCAGTAGCAAACAGTAGACGGAAGGACAAGCACAAAAATGGTCAGTACAGTGTTTACCCCGTCCTCTCGTGGAGGTGACTCTGCGGGATTGCCCAGTCCGCGAGACATAGACTGCAGCTCTAGTTCGCTGCGATTTCGCTCAGGATGCTCCGACAAGATTTTCGACGAAGTATTTTGAGTTAATTTTGGAGTTTGAGATTTTGAAATAGTTGATGGCTCTGCTGAGGACTAAGTAGTTTTACCTCGGTCACCAGTGACGTAATTGACTCGGGCGACTGTAGGCTGTAGTCTTGTAGTTCATAGGCATAGGAATAGGACATCTCACCAAGAGAATCACCTTCCACTCACTCATCTCACCCAGACCCACTCCAGTACGACTAGTACAAATAATCTTCTATCAAGAACTACAGATCGGCACCGTGCACTCATCTGCGGTCGATGGGTTGTTGACAGATTTTTACCAAATTACGATGGCATATGCCTACTGGAAAGCAGGCAAGCATGAGGAGACAGCGGTCTTCGACGCTTACTTCCGAAAATGCCCGTTCAAAGGCGAATATACGATATGCGCTGGTATTTTTGGAATACACCAAATCACTGACAATTGTTGGGAGTAACACCTGACTCGCGTTAGGCAATTGCAATTCATCATTTTAGTCCTTGAGTCAAGAATGTTTCTCTAATACATTTACATCCAAATCTTTTTTCCAATAGTTTGATGGACCACGTGGTGGCTACGTTCTTCGCCCCTTGCCTGATCGAGCCACCTCGTTGTTACAAGGCAAGGGGCGAAGAACGTAACCACCACGTGTCTCGGATTTGGCAGTGTGTGTTCTCAGCGCGTAGGTTTCTGCCTCCTCGTTGCGGGTGTAAGTACCTCTATCAGCTTCCTTGCGCCTTGCCTTGTACTTCAGGCATCAACGAGGTGGTTCGCTTCTTGGGCACATATTACGTTCTTCGCCCCTTCAGGTATCAACGAGGTGGTTCGCTTTTTGAACACTTTTGGCTACACGCCAAATCAGATACAGTATCTGAAAAAACAGATGCCGACTGCAGAGCCTGAATTCTTCGACTTTTTAGAACAATTAGACTGCCGCGATCTCACAGTGCATGGTATGCGGGAAGGCGAAATCGTGTTTCCGAGTCAACCCCTTTTGCGACTAGAGGGTCCGCTCATTTTGTGTCAGTTGCTCGAAACGACAGTCTTGAACTTGCTGAACTTAAGGCTTCCCCTAATCCTTCTTCGGAAGCATCCTGAAGCTGTTCCACGAGGAGAAGGGAGCATCTCAGGATGGATCTCAAGATGGATAAGGGTGGTCTCTAATGAACTATCCGTCGCTTATAGCTACCAACGCAGCCAGGTATCGGCAGGCCGCAACGAGTAGCCGAGAAAAGAAAAAACCCACCCTCATCGAGATGGGAACAAGAAGAGCACAGGGTCCAGATGGGGCTTTGTCAGCGGCAAGATACTCATATTATGCTGAAAACTGCACTAGTTGCAATTAGTGAAAGGACAAGATTAGAAGAGGGGATAGCTTTTTCTTTACCGGATTGTAGGGGAAGAAGATGAGCATGACGTCGGTTATTATTGCCACAGGGCTCCTCCAGCCTCCTTGTTTTGTAAAGTGTACTTAAGTTATTCTTTGATCTTCTAGTATCGAATCTGTTTCTGTGTAATCTAATTTAGTCTTGGCGGTTTCGATGCGACCAGTTGTGTAAAAGCCGGTCACGTTTTCGGCATACCAATAAAGGGCACGCACGCTCATGCCTTTGTCACGAGCTTCAGTGGCTTGGACAATCTCAAGTTATGATGAACTATATGCCTTGATGTTGTCCGCGTTGATGAAAATTTCAGAGTTCTTACATCCGTCCAGTCGAGGAAGTTTTAAGATTGGCATGAACAAGATGAACGAACTCGTTCTACTCATGCGACGTGTTTCTCTACCTTGCTTTCCCATCATCTTCTCCTATTCTAACTCCCAAAATGACGAACTGCGGACAATTAGGGCCTAAGTTTGTGTCGGACGTGCTGGAATACAGGCTAAGGACGGGTGCCATGGCGACAAATGACGGAGAGCTGGCAGCGTTTATTAGCTACGCAATCAGCTTCCCAAAGAGCTTGCTCGCTTTAGTGGACACCTATGTTAAGGCTTCATCCACTCATGGTAGTCCATCCCTGGTCTTGTAAGGGTCCCTCAAGTAGAACCGTAAGTGCAACAAGGGTGAGGGATCCCTTCGCCTAAAGAGATGAATTGGGGAAGGCTCTAATTAGGATACGCTCTACAGCGGCGTCCCAAACTTCCTCTGTGTGGCGCTAGCCCTCCTAGACAGAGGATTCACGCCGGTCGGAGTCCGGCTAGACTCAGGGGATTTGGCATATTTGAGTACTACACGCAAAGTTGACCACTGAGTGATAGAGGATTTGGCATATTTGAGGACTACTGATTAAGTTGACCACTCAGTGATAGAGGATTATCACTAGAGTAGATTGTAGGTGGATTGGCTACTGACTGATGCCAGAAGATCATGAAAATTTTTGGTATAATAAGTGCGTTCCAGCCTCATCCAATTCCAAACTTGTTGTACTATTTGCTAACCTGTGTCAGACACTAAAATTTACAATTTTTAACTTTAATGTCTTTCATCCCTCCACTCTACTCAGGCAAAGAAGCGAAGAATATGTTTCGGGAGGTGGCAAATGACACGGCTCTAGTGACCGATCCGGAGATCAAGAAGCAAATGGAGAATTTGAAAGTTTGCGCAAGCAACGACATCAATTAAGGCCACATTGATGCATCCTCCACACCATCCTTGTCCTCGTTTTCAAGTACTCGAAAACTGAAAATATGCGAGTACTAGCTAGCTGAAATAACCGAGTATCTTCTGAGAAGATTACTCTCTGGGATACTCGCTTATTTCAGTTTTTCAACCGAGTATCTGAGAAGATTACCCTCTGGGATACTCGCTTATTTCAGTTTTTCGAGTAGGAAAAGCGGGCCAGGATGCGACGGGGGATCCTATTGCGGTACCTCTAAATCAATGAAGCAACGCTTCAGTCTTTGAACGAGCAGGGCCACGGCATCGACATCTACGGCATCGGAACAAACCTCGTCACTTGCCAGGCACAGCCAGCGTTGGGAATGGTCTTTTTTTTGTCCTACAAGATGTTGAACAAGTAGGGGGTTTAGGAGTCATCTACAGTTGTTCTTATAGGTAAGGCTAGAAGAAATCCATCTTCACAGGCATCCTGAGGCCGTTTTCAAGGGGAAAAAGGTCCTCGGATGCGTCTCAAGATGTTGGATTTCTCTTAGTTCTGATATAGCTACTTAGTTGTTGTTGTTTCTATATAACGATAGTTGGCGTTCCTTAAGAGTCAAACTGTTACCTCAAGTCGAGCCTACTACTCTAGAAGACTTTTTTGATGTTTGGACACCAATCGTGACATGAAATCAAGTCCTACTTCAACAAAATCAATTTCAGGTGTACAAGCTAGTGGAACTGAACGGCGAACCTAGGATGAAGCTGTCACAGGAGTTTACGAAAGTCTCTGTTCCCTCCAAGAAAAAGATTTATCGACTGTATTCGAGCAAAGATGAGCCCCTCATTGATTTAATTTACGGCTTCCCCTAATGCATCTTCGGAAGCATCTTGAGGCTGTGCCATGAGCAGCAACAAGATGCGTCTCACGATGGATAAGGGTGAGCGCTAATGAATGCAGCAAGAAAGCGAGCCAGCACCCGTAGCCGGACGAAAAACATTCTGTCGCCATTTGTTCGATGAAACCAAGAGATGCTACGTACTTACTAAAGATATCTAAGGCGTCGAAGTTGAAATTTGTTACAACAAAAGCGTTTTTAACGTTAAGCTTAACCCTCTGAAGATGCTTAGGTAGTATGAAGAAAATTCATGTCGTCGGAAATCAAAATACAGGTGACCCCCACACGAGTTGAGGAATTGCTAGTGCAGGTTTGGGGTGAGCAACCTGTGAGACCGATGTCCCTTAGTGAAGCGCGAACTTTCTCCCTCGAACGCTTAGCAAAATTCCGCCAGGATATTCTGCGACCCCTCTTATGACTTGGAGAACAAGATTCAGGCTAGGTTGTTGCTATTGCAAATACCTCTTGTTAGGCACATTCATTCATTCATTCATTGAAGAGGGCTTTCGTCATTTTTTTTTTCCATAGGACTACATGCTGCCTCCCATTCGTCACGTGGACTCGGTATCGCTTCAGTCACCTCTAGTTGCTGTCCACAAAATATTAATCTTCATCATCTTGTTCTCGTGACGACCTGGTCCTCAACCTCATTCACACTATAATCAATGTCCAAAGTCGTCCCACTTTACTTAGTTGTAGATCCTCGTCGCTCCTCCTCATCCTCATTCCCTGTACAAGATGAATTAGAAGATGAAGATGAATTAGAAGATGAACCGCACCGCTTCGCCATTCCAAACTTTGCGTGAGATCCATCGTGTGTAACATCTATGACGCCCTTGAGGTAGTCTGCGCTGAATTTTGTGCGAGATCAATTGTATTGTATGATAATCCTCATCCTCATCTTCTAATCTGGAACCCGACACCGTACAAGCTGGCGGTTTCGGATCCTTTCTTCCAGTTTTTCAAGAGCATGTGGCAGCAGAGCGCACCTGTCAAGGAACTTGCTTGAGCCGCTGAATTTCCAATGGTCACGTGTGCTGAATTTCCAATGGTGAGGTTTCAATCTGGAACTCCATTCCTTGGTGCTGAATTTTGCCGGCTTTTCACTTGTTGTGTACAACCAAGTAGGTTCTTCTTGTTCTCCTTGTGTACTTAATTGTGTATAAAGACGTGCAGCGATTTCTGCTACATATTTTATAAATATGATGTGGGGAGCGGTACTTTTACCGTCTTCAATCTAGCACTGTGACTTTCCTCTTTCTCTCTAGAAATTAGACAGGGCCCCGAGTCAGTAATTACTGTATAAATACAGGTACGGGTACGGCACCTATTGTTCAACCAACCTATTCAACTTGATGATGAACAACCATAATCTGGCAACAATAGAATAGCGCAGAAAATTATATGCGCCGATGCTATTGTTGAGATTTGTTCCCCATTCAAACTATATATTCAACAAACTATTGCTATTGTTCATTCAAACTGAAATTTAAATTTATATTTTCCAAGCATGTACTAGTTGATGTGAGTACAATGTGACTCTACCCGTGCTTGCAACTCTTCTATTTTCAAGAGTGTCGATACTTTGTCATTGACTACTTGGAACTGACGTGATCTAAGACACACGATTCAGGTAATCATTGGTTACCTTGATCATGGTGCTACAGGTCCCCTCCGAGTGATCGTCATTCATTGTCACTTCATTTATATTATGAGGATTCAGGGTGGCATCGCATAGTCTAGGGGCTGGCATGCTTGCCAGTGATAGACTCCATGGAATGGAAAATCTGCATGAGTTGTCAGAGTGTCCTGAACGATAGGATGGAATTTTGCACAGTGACTTTACGGGAGAAGAGGTACAGCTCACAGTGATCAACATGATATCATGTGGAGGTTCCGTACGAGAGTTCTTCTAGAGCGATTCACCTTGGTCGGACTATGATCTGTTCATTGAGGTATGATAGGGGCTGCAGTAGGCAAAGTCGGCGCGCATACGCATCCCTTCGTAGGAAAGACTGTTGCTGCTAGCGTTGCTGGTGGCAGCGTGAATGAATGAAATGAGGAAATAATAGGAATATTCCGATTGACGTACTCTGACAACAACTCTGTTCTCGAGCGACAAGAAAAACTGCTCTTAATGTCATACTCTGACTCTGTTCTTGAGCGATGAGTAAAAACGGCTGTAAGTCTCTGTGCGCTAGAATCTTCAAGGTAAAAGTCTAAAAATGAGGTTGAGGTGCTAATCAGAGGACTGAGAGCATGTGCAGTTCGCCCGTCAGATTCAAACTGTACTACTGGCATCTTCAACGACGCGGCCCCCGTCAGACTATGTGTGATGTGGAACTATATTGGCTCGCCTGTGCCTGTCTGACTGCGGATACCTATATGTACGTAGAATTGCGAGCACCCGCAGCTTGAAAAGACATGTACTTACTTCTAGTGAAAAAAAAAAAATTCTTAGATTAGTTTTAGTCCCTCCAATTAATATCAATCTCAATTCATCTTGAGAAGCAGCTTGAAAAGAGCCGCTCAGTGGCTTGATTGGCGCACCTTATGAAAATTTCTTGGCGTCGGAAGTAGAAGTAGATGTTGATCTACGTGATGCTCTCACGCTTGCATCAACGTCAGCGGTCTTATTAGATCATTTGAGCGAACAGAAATAGAATACTCAATGTCATCATTCCATGCATTTAAGCAAAGTAAAGAGGAGAGTAGATAGGCACCAAAACCAATGTGCAGCTGAGAAAAGATTGGATTGGTAACTTAGGTAGGAGTTGATGCAAGCTCTTGAATGCAATAAAAGTCCTGAGAATAGCGTATTGATGAAAATGACTGTGTTTGAGGTCGATGATTTGTTTATATTTTTTACAAGCATAGTTGTATACCCTAAAAAATTCACTTCTTGACCGTGCGTGCCAAAGAGCCGGGGGGAAGGGAAGCCTCTTATTGAGATTAGGTATAGTTGTCTAGGCGCGCGTAATCATAGACCGTTGGTCCGACGTCGTACAGTGCCAAGGAATTTTTACCAGACGTTGTAGGTACCCGGTTCATCTGGTAATTTTTCTAGGCGGTGCCCAATCGACCAACCTGAACGATTACTAGATGGACGTGGAAGGCTACTACTCACCACAATATAGAAGATTGATAAGAAAATTAACCAGTCAATCAAGGCAGGCACTAAAAAAATGGAGAAAGAAAATTAACCGATTATTAAAGGCTTCAAAGCTTGCACTAAGAGTGTATATAATGAAGCAGTAGTCGCGGTTAATTTTCCATCGTCTTATTCCTCATCTGAGTCTAATTATAGATAAGAAAAATGAGAACTGACTTGCGTTTCTACCCTGTAGATTGACCTACTACTAGACTCGTGGCCGCCTGACAAAGTGGAGTGTCTTGACCGAGTCTAAAACGAATTATAGGAATAGAGAAGACGTTATTATCTACAGGAAGGAGCAGAGGCACATCAAAGTCTAAGAATTACAGGAAGTTGTATTGACTTCAAGAGCCAGGCTGCTATCTTCTTAAGTTGTAAAAGAATGTTGTTAGTGAGCCTGACCTGTTTTTTTGTTGGTTTCTCCTATCAGGCAATACGAAATTCAAATATATTAAGTTCCAAAGCCTCATTTTTTCGCGCAAGAATCTAGTGTGATACCCTAAAAAAATGTGGGTTGGTTCCAGTGGAATACTTCGAACTATCAGTCTGAGTAGTTGTGCCTAGGTTGTTGTGTAACTAATTTTTTGTGGATTTTAGTCTGATCATTTTTATTGAAATATTTTCAAATGTATGGCATGTAAGTATTGAGAGGTGGAAGATTTGACATGAAATTCTAAAACCTAACAAGAAAGCATGGATTATTATTTTCCAAAGGCATACCTATTTTTAGGCAACAAGAATCAAATACTATCTTCCAGATTAGAACAAATTTGAGCCCATATTGATTAAAAAAACCAAACACGTACACCTCGCGATGGCAACTTCTACCTAAAAAGTTGCCATCCCTCTCGTTGGGTATCGACGTGTGTTCCAGTGCTATTACAGCAGCTTCCTCATTGCGTTGCATGAGAACTAGAACTACTACCACATTAGAAAGAGCACTCCCACCGTAACAGAAGGATTTCCTGTCTTGGCGCTGAGTAGAAGAAGGACTACTACTCAAAGGAGTCGCCGGCGCCACCTTACTAGGAGCATTTCCTATCGTCCGCGCGGTCGCAGAGGCAGAGTTGTGCACCGATATTCGCAACAAGAACACCGAGGAGATGTACGATCAACTCTCCTCAATTCCGTATACGGTGCGCGTGGGTGCCGCGCGGGAGGAACCTGAGTCATGAATGATGCAGATCCTGCACCGTGTACAAGCAAGAAAGAATACAACAACGATATCGAAATGCGAGAGTAAGATCACGAAGAAGAGGACCATGGTAAACAAGTACAAGATCATGTTCAGAATCCTTTCACCCAAGAACAAGATTGTTGGAAGACAAGGGAGGATTTACAAGAGCTCACCGATCTAGTGGCTGGTTCCAAGAACCCAGGTCCGCCATAAGAGTAATCGATGACGATCGCCCCTTATTCGCAACACTAAGTAGTTTTTATCCTAGTAACTAAGGTAATTGAGAATTAAACCACGTCAATAAATGTCAATCTCTCATCTTCTTGAACACGACTTTGTAATCTTGAAGCAGGCATTTTTTTCGCAAGTTCATAACTTGTAGTGTAATCGGACGCCGCCAAAGTTAGTGTCTGTGCTTTATTACACTCGCTTACAGGAGGTCGTGTTGTTTTTATTTACTAATCTTATTATAGGAGCCGCTGGGTGTCCGTGTCCTCATTGTACGTGTGTTTGTAAGAACAACTAAGACAGTACGAGAAGGTATCGACAGGATGTCTGGCGAGAAGAAAGCAGCCAACGGGGGAAAAGAGAGTGGGGCCCGACATGGTGCCGAACAGATGATGGAAGAGATGCGGCAGGGGCTAAGTTATGAGCAAACGTACTACAACCAGGTCAATGCGTAATTTCTCATAGCGAGAATTGTTGTATTTCGTTGCAGAAAAAGATTTGTAGGTAGATGAGCATGAGTGTGCATTTATATGTGCATGTCACTGTAGTCAGTCCTCTGTCGTGAAGTATGTGGTCTGTGCATGTTATTCGTTTCCTTCATACTCTGAATGGCAATCCCGACGCGGGCATGCGATTTGACTTTGCGGGAGGTAAAACTCTTACAGGTGGAGATGGGTGGCGCACAAACGGGCCAGCCTGTTTTGCACGCAATGCACCAGGAGCTTCATCTAGTAGCTCCAAGAGCAGTGGCAGTGCGGACGCAGGAGATGCGAAACCAACTTCGATTCGTTATTGGAGTTACTATATTATCAGGCGTGGCGAGAGTAAAAGCAAGGAAGATGCGAACCAGGCTTCTAAGACCCCGTTCGGAAGTAGTAAAAAGACCACTAGTAAAGCTTCGGGAGCTCGCGACAGGGCTTTAAAGAAGCTCAACAAGGCTCAGAAGGAGGGGAACAAATCAACATCCGCACTTTCTGCTTCTCGAGGAGACAATCATCTCGAAGTAGATCAAGCGGAGTCTTCGGAAAAATTCGCTTTAATTAAGGGTTACCACATCACATTCCTCATTACTTAGCATCCAGCTTGGCCTTTTTTCAAGTAGAAAATAGGTCAAGGATGTTCTGAAGAATGTAATACGGCAATCTTTAACTTTATGGACGAATTGGCTGAGTGGCTCGTAAGTTGTTACCGAATGCGCGTGCATGACGATCTTCAGTGGTGCGGTGGCTACATGCGAGGTCCCTACGCGCCGTGGCGCACTGCGGCGACTGTCTGTGCAGATTTCCTACTCTTTGTGAAACTCGTCGTCAAACGCGAAGCTTTGCCTCGCTCCTTCGATTTCGACTTTGACCGATTTCTCGATCGCGCTGCTGACCTGCTACCCTTGCGGTTTCAAAAGGAGCATGCCAAAGTCAGGTATATTTGTTGTGATGTCGCGGACGTTCTGAAAGTAGTTTGTAGTTCTTCAATTCGAGGAAAAATTGTTCTTCGTGTCCTAAACGATATGGTGATGATGTCCTAATAGTCAAAAGTGTCCGAATAGTGCTATCGATCTTGCTGAGGTATGATCTGAACCTGGTTGTTGAAACTCTGAATTTATTTGGTCCAAATACTAGGGTTCAAATAATCTACAGGTATGGTTATGAAAATGTTTCTAATCTACAGGTATGGTGATGAAAACGTTTTTTCTGCGGATATCCCGTCATTGCGACTTCTTGCTGAAAAGATATACGGCGTCTCCATAGCGTGGTATCAGACTGAGGGCATGCGATACTTAAGGCTACCGCTGAGGCATCCTCCGAAGCATCCTTGATTGTCTTCTTTTTCAAATACTCAAATAAGGGCGCCAGGGATGCATCCAAGGATGCCAATGCGGTAGCTCTAAGATTCGTAACCACTGCAGATGTAGGCCCCGGCTACCGCGATGCCATCCATGACTACTCCGAAAGGCAGGGCTACAGTCTACGAGAGGCCAGTTGCAAAGACGTTGCGGAACTCTTTCATGAAGCGCGTGCGCAGGTCGCACACTCCTTGAATTTATGGAACGAAGAAGGTTGCATCATTGAGGCTCCTTCGAGTTTAGAGAAAAAAATAGGTACTTAAAAAGCACCGAAGTGAGAGTATGAGACACGAAAGGGTCCAAGATCAAAATGAAAGCTAATGTATGAGAAGTTAGTTTATAATATAAGTCGTAGAAAAAGAAATCAACATAGAAATCTTCATAAAAAGCTGGCGTCGAAGCGGTAGTAGCTGGTGTTCCCGGTGGCAAAGCAGTCGCTCGCACAGTGTCTCGTGACGCCGACGCCTTTTTCGCAGACATCGGCGGCGTTGACCGCTGGCGCTCGTTTCTGCATAGGAAGTTGCAGGTTTCGCTGCAGCTGCACCCGCACCCCCTTGCAGTGGTGCCTGGCGTGACCAAGCGGCAGACCAGTGTCCAGATACACGGTCTAGCATCTGATTCTGGAAAAAGAATTAACGGAGCCTACGGAACGCTGCACACCAAAGGTGTCATAGTTAAGGCTACATACTACTCAATGTCAATATCTGCTTGTTCACCTTGTGTAAAACTGAGTAGGTACTATTCTGAGTGACGTCTCATCCTTTGATTTCCTACTAAAGGGGAACAAAGAGATCATGATCAAGCGGAAGGAAGGCAACTCGCTCGTCAGCCACCGATAGTGATCTGATTGCCTAGCTTTAACATAGACGGCGGCGAAGACCAGCGGTTGATGGTTTCGCTCAGCACGGGAGACACGAAATCCGTGAAGACGAAGAATCTTCGGCTTATCATTGACTCGGTCGACATGGACGGCCAGAACACCAGCGGCTTCTCCGCGATGATCCGTAACCGATTTGAGCAGAACACGCGCTCAGTAGAAGTGCAGCGCGCTGTTGCTTTGGTTAAGGTCACAGGTTTTTGTTTCCCTTCTATTCTCGGCATGCATCTTGTTGCCCTTTTGCTTCCCTTCTATTCTTTTCATGGGAAGAAAAGGGGTCGAGATGACGGGCCGAGATGAATAAAAGCCGACTCTAATTTGGAGGTCGAGAAGCAAAGACGACGCCTCAGAGAACGCCAAGCAGTCGCAAGGGACGATCCCGAAGAAGAGGCTATGGTTGCTCGCGCCGCACAAAGATATCGTGCCGCACATGAGATCTTCGTTGCCGCAGGCCCTTTTTTAGGCAAGAATATTACTCGTGATACGTGGTCTTCTAGTAATGCGAAGGTCGTGGGAGCGGTTGGAGGAGGTGGTCCAGGTTCAGAATACGAGGAATGGCAAGAAAAAATCACGGAGGTTTTAGAAATGTGTGATTCCATTTTGGAGAAAAAAGTTCCAGGAGTCAAAGACAAGAAGAAAAAGGACAAGAAGAACACCGCTCTTGGTGCTAGAATCTCCGAAAAGCTGCAAAAGGTTGATCGTGAAGATCACGTTGATCCTGACTTCGATTATGAAGAAGAAATTGATGTAGAAGTGTTACAGCGACGCTCCCCGAATATCGTGACCCTCGTCGAACAACTTCAAGCACAATGCAGGCACTCGCTGCTGACCGCAGACGAAGATCTGACAGAACAGGAGGTGGAAGATGACGACGATGCTGAAGACTTAGTTGTGCAACAGCAGCACGAGGTGGAAGAAGAAGAACAGCAACAGGAGGCTGCAGATCCAGATGATCATCTTGAGTTCCACGATGCAATATCTCCCGCCAAGTCCTCCTCGCTTGCAGAAGAGGTTCCTGGCCGCGACCGTTTCTCGCCAGAAGATTTCACGGACGCGCAACAAGAGCTGTGGGAGAAGATTCTTGAAGAACAATCGAAGATCGTTGGTGAGCAATCTCCGTCTTCGCAGACGGCATCTTCTCCGTCTGAAGGGAGCACGAGGACCAGCTTCAAATTCTATCTGATAGACAAAACGAAAACCACGACTACTGCTGCAGCTAGTGCGGTGGTGGCGGACGAGAGCAGCGACTCTGTGAAGCCTGAGGAAAGCACCTACACGACTACTAAGAAGCCGGCGAGCAAATCAACGACAGCGCCAAGAGCGGTATCTCCTCGCGTCGAAACTGCAGGTACTGGCAAGATTCTGTGTCCAGATTGTAACGAAACGTGGACTGGCGGAAAGAGCGAGCTGAAACGTCACCGCGCCAAGGTTTGCAGTATGCGCTTGGTGCGTTGTCCGAACTTGGGGTGCAGCGCGAAAAAGAAGCAAGTTCCGTTTTGCGAGTTGAAGAACCATTTGGAGTTTGAATGTGCGGGGAGAAACGTATCGTGCGAGATGTGCCAACTTCCGGTTCGCGCCTCAGAACTGAGCGTTCACCAACGCGACCACTGCGAAGAGCGCGCCGTCAAGTGCAATCAAGCCTCCATGGGCTGCAATTGGACCGGGCCGTACCGATTTCAGGCAGCACACGAGACTATTTGTCCTTACGTGTCGTACGACTGTGTCTGGTGCTTTCAGCGAATGCCGCAACACGAAATGGCACATCATGAGTGTCGTGCGGTCAACGGCGACAAAGAAGAGTGCGGTCTCTGTTCACGCACGTTCGCTGACCTGCTCTCGGACAACGTCGTTCCGGCTATTCTGGTTCGGGACAGTTTCCGTTCCTGCAAGTGCAAGCAGACGCATATCTGCACCGCTTGCGCTCAGACGTGGGTCGATCAGTCACGTAGCAATTCGAATAGCACGACACCTGATCCAGACAGCACAGAGGATGGCGAAATCCTCGCGAAGTGTCCCTACTGTCAAATGGGATATAATGGCGTTTCGGGCCTCGCGCGGCATCTCGTTCTCACGTGTGCTCACAGCCACATCAACAAGGATAGAAAAGGCAACACTATTAACATTAAGGGTTGAAACATTTCATTTTTACAAGCCTTCTCTACTTGAGATTGCTACTAAAAAATGAAATGTTTCAACCTTTAATAACAAAATGAACCAACTACAGGTTGCAGCTTCAGCAGTAGCTTCTCCTTCGTCGTCAGAAAAGTTTGCACCTGCAACGAGAGGACGACGCAATGACCAACATGAAAATAAACTTAAACAAAAGGAAGACCTTGACCTACTCCTACAAGAACAAGCTCAGCAGGCTCAGGAGCAACAGAAAAAACTTCTCCAACAAGCTCAACAAGCTGAAGAGCGAGCTGCACAACAACAAGAGAGAGAACGTCTACGCCGCATGCAAGAAGTTCCCTTACCAGAACAGGCACGGCCCAACACGGTCCATTGGGTGTCCCCGCTAGAGATCCGCTTCGCCCACGACTCTGTTCATCCCGAGTTCAAGGACTGCGACGACTACCGCACTGGCGTACATCTTCGGAATCAGGGAATCCTAGACTCTCTCCAGGAAGTGTTGGAGAGTGATCGAAGAGGAGAACTGCCGAGAACGCTGGACTGCCTCGAGGTCTGCTGGGATCCTCGTGGAGTCGATGGAGGAGGAGGATGTAGTGCTGCATTTGGATCGAGCTCGAGCATCGTCCAAGGGCGCGACATGATGTTTGTGGCGGGCACAGGAAATAGGAGGTTAGCAATGTGGCGCTTGCTAGCGATTTACCGACCCGAGCGATGGCGCCGCATCAAAGTCAAATTTATCGATGCCAGGAGAGCCTGGCAACGGTCAGAGAGCTTCCGGAAAAAGTGGAGCACGCCATGTAACGGTCGCTGGGTAGAGATCCGCCACGTGCTGTCATCCAACAGTGCGAAGCTGTGCTATCTTCCTGCTGTGGTAGGAATGTCGAAGAGGGGAGACGAGGACTTTGATTTCGAGAATGAAAAAGACGTCATGGAAAAAGATCCGGGAGTGCGCTGGCCTGACGCTGTCAGACTGATGTTGAAAGACTCTTCGCATTCATACTAGCTTATTGGACATACCTGTAGCTCTTGTTCAAGATGAGACTGTATTGATGATGAAGATGATGCCCATGCTCGGGGTTTACAACATTGCAGACGAAAGTAAAAGCCTCCATTTGAATTGGCAATATCTAGGATGGGTCCTCTGTAGAACCATACTACAGATGAAATATTCGATTCTTATCGTGATATTGATATTGTGTCTTTGTTTTTAGAGGTTGTTGCCGAATCTGAATGATGTATGACAATAATTCCAATTTTTGTGAGCTGACATTTGGATTGGCCCGACATTTGGATTGGCCCGATTCCGTTTTCTTCTTGCGTGTCGTCATTTCGTTCCGAATGTTGACAAACCATTAGCTACTACATTCATTTTTTCCCAAGATACGATTTCTTTATCCCGGCAACGCCATGCGGGTCATTTCTAGTACCATCGCAATATTGTTGAAGATTCATGGCACTAGGGCACCACAGAGCTGACGAGACTGGCGGGTCGCAAGCGGCGGCAATCAGGATGCAAACTACTGCGACGTTGCTTCCCTCTCGCCAGGAATCCGGTGGATGATCGAGTTGCTGAATTCGAGTTTTCTTGTACAATCGTATTGATGATCGCCCCCACAGTTGATCCAAGATCTCCACGACCATGATCAAGCATTCGCCATGATCAACCATTCGTATTGCAATTCTTTTCTCATAGTTTCTCCTTTAAAGTAAAGGCTATGTACAGTGCTGGTGTGATCATTTTCGTAAATTTTGAAATCATACGTTACCAAGGACATATGTAGGCAGCGTGAGAGCTTTGATCATGAGACTATCAAAAATAAGCAGCGGCGCATTAGACACTGGGCAACTCGTGACATTTTTATGGAGTACAGCATGATCATAAATGATTTATAATGTACTTCATCTCGAATGAAGGTGGTCGTGGAAGTTTCGACCAGTAGGTACAACTATCAAAGATAGCGAGCGTCGAAAATGACGACCAAGAATGAAGATACAGCACTTGCAGCCCTTGTAGATCGCGTGAAGCGCGATCTTCAAGGAGCTGCCGCGAGTGGGCAGACGGCTACTGTTAAAGAAATAGTGGACAAGCTCGAAAAGGACCATGGAATCAAAACAAACACTCATGCAGTCAAGCGCATCCTAAAAGCTTTGCCTCAAGATGTTTCCAAAACGACTCCTTCTAGGACTGCAACAGGAGAAAGAGTGTCATCATCATCATCTTCTACCACAAATAAGACTGATACGAAGAAAATGGAGTTCAGACCGAATTTGCGTGCACGAAGACAACAAGAGTCAGACTTGAGGCATGCTGTAACTTGTCTTAGTTATTAATAAGAAGCATCTCTGGCCGCTTCATTAAGTTATATACAAACACGCAAAACATTAGGAGGCATTTAATTTATTTACGCAAATAAAGATGCTTTTCAAAGAGCTTTCTTGAGTTGTCACGTGGTTCGAAATGAATGAATGAATGAATTCAAAATGACAACTATCGGCACTAAGATCGTCTACCTCTAACAGACGGTGTGGATGGCTTACTGCAAATAGGTACTATTGTGCAACTGCAAGGATTTGTAGGTCCAGCTCGGGACCGCAATGGACTCCTGGGTGTCATTACATCGCGTCCAGGGGAACGTGGTAGGGTAGAAGAGTCTATCGATTGGGACGCTCCGCAGATGTCCCATTGGAAAACCCAGTATATGGTGTATGTGCCAAACTTAAGGCTGCATTATACTAATTATACTAAATGATCCTCCAACTACATTTCTATTTGTATTAGTTGTACTGCAAGGTGGGAGCCCTCAACCTCAAGAAGCTTAGTATCCAAGGTGGAATAACAAGTATTCATGAGGGATCGCAAGGATATTAAGTTCCCTAGTTGTCCAGTACGTAGTATTTATGTTGATAATGATTATCGATAAGAAAATACTTAGTGCTCTGACAGCTACTATGTATCATATGTATCATACTATGATAATCATAGGAAAGGTGGATGTTGAGCATTGTAGTGGTTCTTGTACAACGAAGTAGATCCTCTTCTAACAGCCAACGTTCCGTGTCCGCGGACGGGGCGACCAGGCTTCGCGTTCAATATGCTTCCGGTTGCGCGACGCGATCTCCGCGTTGTCGATCTCAGCTTCAACGACATCAGTGCCAACCCAAGTGACGAATTTTTCGAAGTGTGGCCAACAGCTTTTGAAACCAACGCTCTCCATCGCAAGATACTAGAGAAAGCTAATCTACTGAAGGTGAACCCTACTTCTTGCACGTACAAGAAGAGCAATTCTGCTGAAGCAGGAGTTGTAGGCGTCGAGACAGGAGCTTCTGCTGGCATGCCGTTGTCTTCCGAGCATCCCACTGAGCATGCAACGGATTCAAAAGTAATAACAGCTTCCACTTCATCTTGTTTCACTTCCTCTTCAGAGCAGAAAAAGGTAGGTGATGTGGTCGACGACAAAAGTATACTAGATCCATTGCAAGATCGGAAATTTGAGAACCCTTTGCTGCTGACGGGCTTGACAACGCGCATCGTCGCCAAGGTAGAAAATCCCGGCAAGGACAGGAACATTGACGGAGCCCTGATAAAAGTGCCAGCACCTCCACAGCCCCTGGAATGTTCTCAACTACCAGTTACACCACTTTACTTAAGGCTTCTCCTAATCCATCTTTCTTGTTTTTGAAAGATATTGATATCCTGAAGAGTCTGTTTTTCAGGGAGAAAAAGCGCCCAGGATGCCTCTTGCAGATGGACTAGGGCGAGCTCGAATCTACGGCTTGCCGGAAAATATTGCAGAACTCGTCCGAAAACTGAATGCGCCGAAGCTGAGCGTCCGCGATGGTTTCGTGGCTGGCAAGAAGGAGTTTGATATCAAGCACTTTCTGAAGAATCCCCAGTTTTACGATAAATTAAGGCTACTGTGGAAGCTGCATCCTCAATGAATGATATTCGTACGTCCTTGGCTGCTCTTGTTCTAGTACCTGAAAAACAAGACGGCAAGGAATCTACGTACCAGGGATGCGCCTAAGGTACAACTAGCTCCAAATAGAACGTCGACCAGACGTCCTTGGAGCAATCCCGTGAACGTGGGCGCTTACAGCAAGAAGTCCCTGGAGAAAAAGTCCCACGCAAAGGATCTGCGGATCTGGTTCGATCTGGACGACGTGAACTCACCGCCAAATGAGTACGCAACCCACGCTTTCAACGGCTATCTCCATATTGACTGCCCGGAGTTGCTATTCGGTCCCCAAATTAAGGGCACCGCCAACCTACCCTTCACAGCATCTTTTAGCCAATTTTTACTCGAGAAGTGCTGAAATATATTCTAAAAGATGGGTTGCCGGTACCTCTAACCAAAATGGTCGTTTTCGCGGTTGCGTCGTGGTGGAACGCTGTGCGCCTATACACCGAGTAGACATGAGCCAGGAAGAGCGCGTAACGGACGAAGACGCCGGAATAATGGCAGAGGAGCTCGAGGAATTTTGTATGGCTCTTTTAATCTCTACTAGTTAGAAGTACTGAATCATAACTGCCAAGTAGGTACTTGCTCGAAAACTAAAATTATGACCTGGTCGTTTATCATGATTCTAGTTCTACCATGTGACTTTGAGAGTCTATCTTCTTGTAGTCATTGCTCGTATTGCTTTTATATGTGTATTTCTTACAAGAAGTATAAAAATGTCATCGATGATGTTGTTCGCTACCTTCGTCACATGACATTCTTCTTGTTTCATACTGCACGGCGACGGGGTAGAAGCGGTGTGCAGCTCGAAAGTGGTGGAGGAAGGCGAAAAAAGTAGTTCCGCAAGCAAGCGCGGACCGCAGACTAAGATCGAAGAAATGAACTGGAACCTAGCAGATGACACGGGTCCATACGTGTTGGATGAGGTCACGGGTCGAGTCCGTCCTCGCGACGAGGACCCGAATAGTGGAGGCATTCAAGACATGCCTGAGGAGACGATGATGATTTTGGAAGGAGCCAAGATCGAAAAGCACACCTATGAGCCGGAGATCGTCGACGAGTGTCTCGATGACAATTACGGCTTCCTCTGATCCATCTCAGTAGGGATCCCTCAAGCATATGCACCCCAGTGCAAGGGAGACGCCGACGCATACCCTTGAGGGGTTTCCACAGGGATGGACTGGCGAGAGGTCTAAGACAAACAGTACAAAGATGGGGAGAAGGAACGAGTCGAGTACAAATACGAAACACGAAAAACACTACGTTATTAAGGCTCATCATGTTCATGCGGAGTGTAATTGCAATTCATCTTCTTCACAGACACCGGGTATTACTTTGTCATTCTTGTCTCGGTATGCTCAGTTTCCTCCACCTTGGATTCTGAAAACAATATGTATGTCCAGTGAAGATTCGGCAACGGCAACCTATCCTATCCTATCCTAAACAAGATGAGATTACTGCTCATATTTCGCGAGAAGCTCTTCTAATTTTCTGGAAAAAAGTTGTTGGAAGAAGGCGCAGCCCGTAAACTGGGGATTCAACAAATTCAGGAGACGCTGTGGCACTACTGGTGCGAATATCACGGGCTCGAACAAGACGGCTATACACGCAAAACGCGATCCTGGATGGAAGAAGTGAAGGGCAGTGACTTGCCTCCTGGTCAACATTCATTTAAGGGTTGAAACATTTCATATTTCTACGCATGATTTGGCACATTTCAAGAAGAAACGTGTCAAATATGTAGGGCAAATATGAATTGTTTCAACCTTTAATTCATTCTCAAATTATATTAAAAACGCAAAGACGAAAATGAACATGAAGGACATCAACAACTGCACGAGGAAGATGATGAATAAGCAGATTCAGGAGCACAGGAATAAAGTTAAAGGAGCGCCTTCGATAGAGGAAGATGAGAACAAGGACCTTCTTCGTGATCCTGCAAATTTTGAGACGGAGAAGCTGGTTAGGATTCATAGTCTCGAGTCCGCAACGGAACAGAACGGAAAAATTGCAATGTTGGGGCTATACGATGAGACCAAGGGCCGATGGAGCGTGTTTCTTACGGACGAGCAGGAGAGGGAGCTGTCCTTGAAGCCAAAGAACCTTGAACTTCTGAGTAAGAACGAAGTACGCGCCCGACAGTTTTTGCAGCCAGGGAGAAAGGTGCGCGCCCACGGCCTCGAGGGTGCAAAGCATTTGAACGGAAAAGTCGGGACCTTGGGCGCTTTTGACCGACAAAAATCACGTTGGGCTGTAACATTTGACGATGTCGATGATGACAAGACGACTGAAAAACAAGAAGAGCAGGACGGACACGGAGGAGGCACTAGAGGTGCTACAACGAGAGCGCAAGGAAAAAAGAAAGCACCACCACTGGCAATCAGGTTTGGAAACCTCGCAATGCTAGAAGAAGACATATTGCGATTAGAGGAAGAAGAAAAGATGGTTGACGCGATCTTTGGTCGAGATCCAGAAAAAAAACCCTATCTGCACTTCGACATTAGCGACTGGGGAAAGAAATTGCTAGACATGTCTCGATTTGGCGGTCAACCCATGATTTCTCTCTCCCGGTTCTCCCTGATGCGACGACATTCCACACATTACGGGCGGAGAGTTACTTATACATAGATACAGTACCGTCCTGGTCTTCAGACACACATCTAGGTAAAGGGTACGTCTGTTGAAGCATGTAAGTACTACTCGAGATGTTGTAATAATTTCTTATACCCACGAAAGCGCATCTCCCCTGCATCACAGAGTACGTGCACTTGAGCAAGACGTTGTATACATAGCTACAGCTTTTCGTCTTCAAATTTCGGATGTCGGTCAGTTGCTGAAGGAGAAGGTGCAGTCTGTGGTTGAGAACTGTGCGCCTACGACCGGAAGGAGAGGCAGGCCAGACCCGACTGCGCTAGCGAACGGCTACCTGAGGTTTTGGTGCCGCGAGTTTGGCTCATGTGGCGTTCAATCGAGCCACACCCGAACCCGATGGATGGGTGTGCAGCCGTCCACACCCTATCTTCATGGTAGAGATGCTTTTAAGGCGGGTTGAAACATTTCATTTTTGCAAGCTATCTTCATCACTTAGTTGAAAGGCGATCCAAAAATGAAATGTTTCAAGCTCTAATGCTCTGGACATCTACATGGAGCAGGATCGGATACGACAATACACGACCTCAGATGGCCCTGTTCCCGCGCATACACGCATTTCGGAAGCTGACGCGAAGGCAATGCCGCATTTTATCATTTGAGAAGGCCCTCTTCTCACGCTTACCAGGCATTTGGGATGCTGGACGACCACAGCATTTGCTTCATCAACTAGAGGGCTATCAGTTCTTGTCTCTATTTGCGTTGGAGAACGAGCTGCAGCTGGACTAGCTGCTGCTAAGGACCTGTTTTTGTTTTTGCCTAAACAAGAGGTAGTGAAAAGCTTCATCGTTTCTCCATCCACGAATTGTCGCAATTGTACTAGAAACGGTAATGACAATGTCAGGAGCAGGACCTCCACTTGCCTACTACGGCGATACTGCGTTGTCAGGCAACGAATCAAGGAAGATTCCAGATTGACTGGATTTGGAACTGACGGAACGAGTGTGGTCCTTATTGATCACCTTGGTCCTGGATGGGGAGGGGGACGGCCCTCTTCTATAATAGTCAAAGACCTTGATTGACAACCTTATTTATAATAGGACAGATGATGATAATTCTTTTCGAAGTTCAAGGAGAAAATAAGCGGCCGAGGCAGTGGCATGGGGAGAACCTTACAGTTGAAGCCACTAGAGTTCATAGAGAACTACGTGTTGAGTTTTGCGTGTACATAGTTGTGCTGGAGCAGAGAAAGACTAATGGTAATGCCTTGATTTCAAGAGCAAAAGAAAGGTGAAGATGCACCTCCGAGAGTAGCTAGGCTTGTAGTTGTAAGCTTTCCTTTTACGATGATGAAAATGAGTTGTTGGAAATCAAAATCATGTGAGAACTTAAGAGGTGACGACTGGAGTAGATGCAGGTTGCAAGCACAACCTCATGGTGGTACTTTGCTTGGACTCAGTCGATCCTAATCTATTGACAAGGCTGCACAAGATAAGGAAAGGAGTTTAGTCATGTGTAAATGCTCTAGCAAATGGAATGAAGAGCGAAGAAGTGAGCGATGCGTTACCATTATCAATTGCCGAGGTTGCTGCGACATAGAGCCATTCTTTTTAATTAGAGCTGCGCCGAGACATTGCGCGTCTAGCATGCGCCGGTTGACAACTACTATCACCACTACTACTCCTCTTTCTCATGATTCTGTTTCTGGAAGACGTTAGTTTACTTTAGAAGCTTGCGTTTTAAGCCATAATCATCATGTTCTTGTTCTACTCAGATCGTCTCTCACGACTTCAGGTCTTAAAGACACTTTGTGCGACCTGGTTCTGCTGCCACTTGGTGCTTTGCTATTCGTACAGAACTGATACAATAGAGACACAGGCAGAGTCGTCGGCAGAAGCGAAAGCAGAAATTCCAACCAAATACGCAGATTTGTTTGATGAGGACGATGATATGGACGAAGGAACGCAGCCACTATCGCCCAATCCAGCTCCTTCAACTTCGTTCTTAAGAGTCATTACACTCATTCGAAATACACGTAGAGAAGATGTCACTTTATTAAGATTGTACTCGCAGCAGAGCCATAATGAAATGAGAATGGCTTCACCATATTTCTATCCTACACTCTACATACGAGAAATGTAAAAGTCCGGCTATCATTCTTTTTCTTATACTTAGTACTAGTAGAGTCGTGTAGTTTTAGTACTGGTGCAGCGTACTGGCAATCTCGTGGACGCTCTAATTTCTCGAAAGAAAAACCGGTTTTTCCTTTGCGTTTTTGTACCTGTTACGGGGAAAAGCAAGAAAGATGTGGAGTTATCCCATGTGCAAATGGAGACCTGTTATGGAAACATGAACGTCTTGCAATCTTACTCTCACTGATTGTACTTCTCAATTTTCAGTATGTGTACATGTAGTTGTAGTCCATGCGCTACCACCATACGTGTAAGTATCTGTAGAGGAGTAAAAGGGACAAAAGGTCTAGGCTGATGTCGTTGCGTAAAATCTTATGGAGACACTGTTCTAAGCATCGATGCGCCACGGCCGATCAGACGCGCGCGCTTTCTTCGTAGGTGATGTGCTGTCTGAGAAGCATAGATCTCGCACGATCTCCATCGTCGGCGACGACGAACTATTAAGTCTCTCAGCATAAAATCATTTGTCGCAACGATCATTTTCTTCTGTTTCCTCTTTGGGATAATTCTGGAGAACAGAATTGAAAGGAAGAACAGAACTCAGACAATTGCTTACGCTTGGTTCGAGCTCACTCTAAGACTACCTTATCCCCAATTACCAGTGCGGACGTTCAAGATGTGGACCTACCTAGGCATCGGGGATCTTCACCTAGGAGCAGGTATGTTGGAAAACAATGTAAGTTTAAAATAAAAAGGTATCTATGTGAAGAAAGTCGTACAACTTCTGAAGAGGAGGTCGTCATGTGGGAGGTCGTCCTGTGAATTTTTGTTCTCGAGAAGCTGAAATGAGCTTCTTATTCTAAGCTGCATCAGGAGTCGGGCTCGGGAGCGAGGAACTACGGGGAGGATCGAAGTAGGCACTACAATAGGACAGGCATATTGCGACGCCGCAGGCCTGATGGTAGAGGGTCCGCAGCAGACTACGCCCCTCCATCGGCAACAGTTCTCGAGCGAGAACATCGAACAAATAAAGGCGTGTCGCGGAGGACCGACGTCCTTGCAGAAGAGTCAGCAGCTGGTGTGCGAATGAACGTGCGGCCGGTGCGCAATGGTCGGCGGGCCGGCGCAAGCTATCCACAACAGAATGCCGACACAGGAGCCACGTCGAATACTCCCTCTTCAGCAGCAGACTTCGCGGTCGACATTGAAGACCGGTTCCTGTGGCCTACGTGGTGGAATGCAGACTTGGAAGAAGCAACATCTACTCGACGTGGCAATCCTGGTTTACCCGAAGACGTTGACGAAGATGGGGCTGCAGATGATGGATCTTCACGAGATTCTCAGCATCATGCTGAAGATGACGTAACGCTAGAGGATATCGATCTTTCAAATCAGTATGAGGGACTGGTTCCTCACACTGCCTACGACACACAGCGGCAGCATTTCTGGAGTCCACCTTTCTCAGAGCAGGTATCGTGCGACTACTACATGAAAGCCGATCCGGACAGCTACGTTAACGTTCCTCAAGTGATTGAGCGCCTTCAGTGCTTCCCGAAGAAGCGCAAAGCCTATCTCGGCGTCGTGCACGCGGTGGCGCCTACAGAAGACACTTATGGGCCATACTAAATTTGAAATGTAGAAGTTACAGTGATCTTCCGGAATAATGTTGGCCATTTATCACCAATAGGTGGCCAAACGGGAATTACCGAAAGGATGAGCATGTGAGTAGGTTCTTAAACGTCTACTTTGTCTAAGACACCGCGCTCTTCTTTGGTCACGGTGGCTCCGGTTATATGATCACCAAGTCACTGCTCCCGCTTGCGGCGAAATGGTCTGTCATTTGCCTTAGCGAACTGATCAAATTAAGCAGGACGTAATTTGCTTCACATTTCGTTGCAATTGATGTGTATGTGATACAAAAAAAATTTGTGTCTGAGAACTTTTGGAAGCAGATAGCAGTGAAGACATAGCTCTTAACGTTTTGGTTCTTGCACTTGCTGGAAGCACCAGCCCCATTGCTTTTCATACGCAAGTACCTCCCGGTCTGATCTCATCTAATCGCTTCCTCAGACGGCGTGGGAATGGAAGACGTCCTCTTCAGTCGCTGCCTTCGGGATCATGGCAATATTGGTGTGGAGTCGTATGGACACACTTATACCGAGTTCATCCTGAACTTCCACCAAGCCCAGCGTTATATTTTTTATGCTTTCGATTGCGAGAACCTCCTTCGAGTTCGAGAACTAAATAAGCGAGTTATAAGCTTAGTGTTGGAGCTTAGTTTTGGATATGCGACTCACTTAACATGCACTTGATTTGGCGACAGTCTATGTGACTGGAGTCTTGGCCCGGTGCAGCATATATCCGGGCAATATACCCTTCGGGGTATAAGAGTTATATACCGAGTTCATCCTGAACTTCCACCAAGCCCAGCGTTATATTTTTTATGCTTTCGATTACCCAAGTAGTGGCATTGGAGAATAAGCGTTTGACTTTGAGGACCGAAATAGAGCCTAAGCCTCACAAACCTGCTTCATCCCCATAGTTGTTCTCAGAACACACATATCCTTTGCTTCTAATCCCCAAACGGCACGCGGCTGATGCATGGGGTGGATCTGATCCCGCCTCCGCTCCATAAATGCACCCTCGTCGCCCATCCAATCGAGCGCTCTGAAGATTTGCGGCTTGCTCACACGCGTGTAAAACATTTCGAGCTTATGTCTACTGCTGGTGCTGGGTCAGGGGGTGGTACTTTTATGTTCAAGAACATCTAAATCAGTATCTTCAAGTTCAAGAGTGTTGGACAACGTGTAGTAAGATACTCTTCAAGAACATTGTGAATGTAGTTTTTGTTCCAGACAGACAGGAACAGGATGAATGAGTGAGACTCGCCACATGACCTCAACCTCAACAAAGGGTGTAGTGCCAAGAAAAAAATAGCTACTTCTTACTTATCCTGCACCAACCTACAGCTACAAGGAAGTACAACAGGTGCGCATGATACACCTGGAGGCGAGGCTTCTTTACCATCGATTCGAGCTATGGCGCCGCCCCATATCCGTATACCCAGAGGCGGATGCAAACTGCAACCTTTTACAATATCTACGCAGGCAGAGGTGCGTATTTCGAAGGGAGAGGAGTCCATGTTCGTCTGGAATCATGACCAGATGCGACACCTCTATAAGTGCTTTCGCGGAAGCAGAAAAAGATGTATGAAGTCGACGTTGACATTGATGTACCTCGTCTCGATGAATGCCACGCTATTAAGTACGACTCGACTAATTCTGTCCGTGGACGTGGTAGATTTCTTGTAGAAGGTTCAGTTGTAGTCGCGTTCAGTGTTTCTGATTCCGCACCTAGATGCTACTTAGAAGGACTTGTAAAAACAAACCTAAAGGGTTCTTTCCGGTTCTATGAGCGCATCCTCTTTTCATCTGCTATCGTTGCCGTGATGAGGCGATCGTGGATGAGCGATATTATGGGTTAAAAGCCGCGCCGTACGGAGACGAGTCAGCGCACGAGTGCAAGGATGCCTGCTGCGAATCACTAGCTTGTGCCATGTGGTTGTACCGAGAAAACGACGGCTGTTGGCTGGGCCACCAAGAGGTTGCCGAGAAAGGCAAGTCGGTGTATGAACCTGGCTGGATTGGCGGGATAAAGGTGTTGCAACGCTTTGCCCAACCAGTGGAGCTTGCTCAACGTGTTCGCGCGAGCGTCCGATATTATGTTCAATAGTACTTCTTGTTGAACTTGTGAATTATTCATACTTACTTCTGGGCGTTCATGTCAGTCTTTCGTTCACCACGAAAGTTATTGTGTATGATGATTCTGATGAGATGATGATCATCGTCCGCGTTCTCGTTAATATGATCATTCTTGTCAATTCACATAAACCTTCCCACTTCTTCTTCTAAGCCTTTTCCCTAGCAGCCCAGGACGCCTTATTGGACTGCTATGGGCACAGCGATGCATTACGGACGTTTGTGGAGCGGTCACTGGACTTCGGCACAGAGCCCAACAGTGACGGACACTTCGATAGACAGCTGTGGGCAAAATTTTCACAACTTCTCACTTTCGAGTCGTCTTCATGCGTCGCACCACAGAACGTGGTGGCGGAACTTTTAGCTGCTTTTGGAAGTGGGAGAAAACACGACAATAGATCATTACAAGGTGGAAGCCCAGATACCGAAAAAAATCTGGATCGCGCGAGATACTCCTCTTCGAACAAGTGTCAATACGGAAATTAAATCGGTGTTCAAACTATCATGCTAGTAATTGGAGGTGCACTGAAGAGAAGGTGCTTGAGGTCGACTATGAAACACAAAATTGTTGACGTGGGAGGTTCGTGTCTGGAAGACGACCAGAGTATGTAGGCTTTGTACTCACGACTCGACTGTGAAGAGACGCGAACGATACTAGCAGAATATAGAGCCTCTACGAATTTGCGAAATTCAAAGATGTGAGTCAAGTCCAAAAGGAGCATGATCTTGATCATGAATATAGTTAACACCGTCCTTGTGTGTAAGTCTGTTGGAACGTGATTATTATACATAGGTAAAAACAATTTCATCTTCCAAAGTAAAAAACTAGCTGCGCGTTCTCGAAAATGTCTTTTTCTCAGTCGAATATGGAAAACCACTCACCCACAGTGGTCGTGGTCGGAGCAGGGGTTGCAGGACTGGTCGCGGCAAAGACGCTGCTAGAGCAGGCGCGCAAAGACCACGCGACGATTCAAGTGCGGGTGGTCGAAGCGGCACCTGTCGTTGGTGGTCGTGTACAGACAGATGAGGTATTTTTAGAACAAGACCCTGACCACGAGAACCACAGGGAAGTACTGTCAGACCACGTCTCTACGGTCATCATGAACGATGATAACAGGGACAACTGCATGCAGAACCACAAGAACGACATCAGGGAGCGGAGCAATACAAAACCAGCTGCCGCCCCTTTCCTACTCGATCATGGCTTCCAGGTCCTGTTAACCGCTTACCCCGAAGTTCGGCGCCAGTTAGACCTGAAATCTCTAGGTGTAAAAGGCTTCGGACAGGGTGCGGTACTAGCATCATCATCCTCTAGTAGATCTTCTTTGAGCACAATCGCCAATCCCTTGACGTACCCACGTGGATTTTTAGGAACAGCAAGGACGATACTCTTCCGCTGGGGCCTGTGGCAGACGATGACTGACGTGTGGAAGCTAAGTTCACGCTTGATTTGCCGTTTCTGGCTCTGTGCGAGTCCCTACGAAGCGGATGGCATGACGATTCGAGGATATACTGCTAATAACCATGGAGCTGAAGATACCTCTATCCCCACCAGTAGTTCTAAGAGAAGCTCAAGTGCACTCCTTGGAAGATATTCTACCAGTGACTTTCTTTCGAAGAAATATCTTGGCCTCTCAACGCTCTTCGTGCAGGATTTCTTGCGGCCTTTTTTCGAAGCGATCTACGTATCCCCACTAGAAGCTCAAAATGCAGCAATATTTTCCTTCGTATTGCGCATGTTAGCGTTCGGATCGGCGAGTCTACCGCAGCGTGGCATTCGCGGAGTGCCGGAGCAACTTCTACAGCAAATTACATCAAGTCACGATGGCTGTCTTGATCTGCAACTGAACACCCGCGTGAGAGCTATGCGACACCGGAGCCTCCTTTTGTCGCCAGGTAGATGGGAATTGGATATTGAGACAAGTAACGATCTGCAGAACGACTACGACGGCACTAGTAGAGGTATGATAAATCAGACGAGTGGAGCAGGGCAACAAGATAAAAAAACCACGATTCAGTGTGACATGGTCATACTCGCAGTGGAGTGGCCAGTGGCTCGAAGCCTACTACAGGATCAAGAATATCATGTTGTTGGGGATAACGACATTGAAGATGGAAGCAAAAATCTTGTCTTGAAAGACGAACCCAGATTTTCGACGAGTTGTACCTACTACTTTGCGCTTCCGGAAGAAGACTTACCTGTAAAGGAGCCTCTGATCGTTTTGCATCCTTATCGTGAGGAACAGGGCGAGCAAGTAGAAGACATAGACAAGTACAAGGGCGACGGACGCGGAGGTCCCTTGGAGAGGCCGCTGCTCATGGCATCAGCAGATCATGAAAATTCTACTCCCACGGCGCCACCTTCAAGCTGCTGGGGCCACTTCTGTCGTATAGCGAATATTGGCTTCCCCTCTGTTGTTCAAAGGAGCTACGCGCCAAGTGGTTGGCATCTCTGCGCCGTAACCGTTTTTCGGAACAACGTTGACGAGTATAGCCGAGACAAGCCTGCTAAAACTTCTGTATCTGAAGACTCCTCGTGGCCCAGTCACGAATCTGTTCTAGAACAGGTGGGGCGCATGCTTTACCCTGCTGATGAAGGCGGTAAAGGAGAAACAGAGAGGATAAGAGCCGATAGGTGGCGATTTCTGCGAAGATACGATATTGCCTTTCACCAGCCTGCGCATGGAACAACCTGTAATTGGCTGGTAGAGGGTGCAGATGACAATATGGTGGTTTTGTGTGGGGACTATGTGTCAGACCCCACACTTGATGGCGCCATGCGAAGTGGAAGGCGCGCAGCAGCATACGCGTATAAAAAACTTCAGGAAAAAACGCGACACTGAAAATAGGTGTATGATAAGGATAACGGAGAAATAACTAGTGAAAGAAAAATTTTGATAGATTTCTTCCTCTGTCTCCTGATGAATAAAAACGAAATTGCATCCGGTGATAATCAGAACTCCAAGTATGTTGGGTTAGGGTTTCGCTTGCTGATTTCCGATGGGTGAAATAGAGTGACAAACAAACTGGAGAGTACGTAGTCGTCCAGAAGTTGATGACAAGGAATAGTAAAGCATGAGCTCGAACTTTAATTTTTATACATAGTGAAAGCTGAAAAATTACCATTAAGTAGCGTGAAAAGGGAGAATAGGAAACGCGATCAAACAGAACAGGCTGGAGGCGAAAGTTTTGTCCTCAATCTTGTTACCGCATGTTGTACGAAAAGGCAAATAACTACGACCTTGTCCTATCTTGAAAAATATTAGCAGCATTAGCAGAAAACTTGAACCTGAAGCTAGAGGAGTACTAGATCTAGTTACACGCACATTCATAGATGGAACAAGAACAAGATGTTTCTTAGAGGAATGTTCGGCGAGCAAGAGGAGCCAGAAGCTCCAAGCAGGAAGGAGGCAACTTTCGCAGAAGTCATCTCTTTATCTAGCCCGCCGGTGGGAGCGAATAAACAGCAGATGAGTGCACCTCTGGGTCTGGTAGACGTATGCGACTCGCTAAGTTACGACTCGAGTCAATTTCTCTGTTGCTGACACGAACATGATTTGCGAGTTTCCTTATAAAAACAACATGCGAAGTAGTGTTGTCTTCCTCTCGCAAAAAATTGATTGTCCTCCCGCCCTAGTAGAGATACTGGCATTTTTACAAACTACCAGAGGTGGCTATTTGTTTCCTTGTTCTATGTCCAGCTAGATTGAAGTCCACATTCTAGAAGCTTTCTCTCCTCCTCCTTCCAGTTACAATCATCCGTAGCCATTTTGGCTCAAGGAACTTCATAATATTTTCCCCTTTGGCTTAGAGGTGTGCTGCAGATCTTGATTGGCTTCTTCCTTTTTATAAGGATGAGGTTTACGCCCAGCGACCCTTCAAGCACATATGTAAAACAACCGGCTCGCTTTCACCTCACCAAATCTAGGCTTATCCCGTGCAACGAAATCATCATTGATCATTTTCTAAGCAAAAACGCTAGCCCTTCCAGACCTAGAATCCGAAGTGCGGAGATTGGAGGAGTCTTTGGAATACACAAACGAGGCGATTGAGGAGCAAGAGCAAATGCTGGAGGCAGTGAAAACTGCTCATAAGACTCGAATGAACAACCTGGTTGCAGAAGCGCGTAAGCGGAAAAAAAAGAGGCGCTCGATGGAAGGAGTAGATGACATGTATGGACCACTTCTACACCCACGCACACAGCGGCAGCTGAAAGTTCTGAGTTCTAGGCTCAGACTGTTTTTCATTTCCTGTAAAAAGAATATTAAGTATGTCTTTGGTCTTCCTCGGTCTATCCTATTAATTTACTGGGTAGTTTCACTTTCATCTGGAAACAAGTCCAAACATTTTCAGGAGTTCTTTTCAGAGCACTAGTTGGTATAACAAGACGATTCCCCTCCTCTCGTTTTTTCATTTCATTGAGCGGTGGAAGATTCTATCGCAAGCCTACAGGACTCGGAGTTCAGTATGCAAGAGCCAGCAGCGAAATCAACGAAGACCTTGAAAGAACGAATTGAAACGGTAATATGTAGCCATGATATCTTGTAGTTTGTTCTGTAGAAGAAAGACATCGTGCCCGTGAAACGATATTAAGTACTAGTAATTTGAACTGCAACTGGTTTATTACTGAAAGTAGATGAATATGATTGCAAGCAATGTTTATGTTTATATCAGATTGTTTCCTACCTCCAAGCATTCTGCTCCTGCTCACGACTACAGATCCTTTCAAGGCCTATATGCTATGCCTTGGAGGGTACTGCGGCTAACGCTTCCTCCACTGGTGGGAACTCCAGTACGCGGCTACAGCTCGATCGCCCTCTTTACGAGTCCCTACTTCGACGAGTTCGTGGCAAGGAAGAGGAAATCTCGCGATTGCAGAAACTGATGCACGACTCAGAGCGTCTGGATTTGGTCATATCCCAAGTAAGACGAAAAGGAGGTGGAAGGTACTACTGGAACAACGTCTTTGCTCTTGATTAAAGGATTAAACTAATTTGTTTTGAGATGGTACGGGCGCCGCGAGCGCGACACGTGCGAGGCAATAGGGTCACGCGCGAACATAATAATGATGATAAAAATAATAATAACAACTTGATGTTGCTGTTGACTTATTGATCCTGCTGTACTACAACTTTTCTCGAGCAATTAATACGTACAACAGCCATCAAAGTACCCCAACATTTCCTCACTCTCACACAGTTCCGACTATCATCGCTCCATGGAGCCTTTGCAGGAGGAATTCAAGCAGTTGATTGAAACGTACGAAACCACCGTGGAAAGACTGAGAAAGTATCCACCAGCAGGCGTGGTTGAGTCTCCTGAAGATGCCTAGGATACAACACAACACAGGAAAAAAGATCTGCCAGGACGAGCAAAAATGATGACGTCATAGTAGACAAAGCTAGAGACCTGCTGTTCTGAACAACATTTGACGAAGGACGAAAACGACTAGGCATTTAACGAACCAAAATACCGTTACATCACTGACGCATGCATAGTAAAAGTTGAAGAAACGGCGCGCTTGAGTTGTTCCAGTGGACACTGTTATGACAAGTTTTCATTTGCACAGCACAAAGAAAATCAATGAACAAGAGCATCTGAAAACAGGAACAAGAACTGCCGCGCGGCAGTCTGCACTGAAAACTGTGCGAGATTAAATTTGTATTGTTGTATTGTATGAACGTCTCTGAAAGAAGTTTCTCTATTGCATGCTCCGATGTTGAAGTGCATGGCGGTTGTTGCATTGCCGACTCCGGAAAAGAAACTTGTCCGTGTTCCTTGTTATGAAGTCAGACGGTGGACTACAGTACTGATGTCCCTCCATATGCGAGTGCTCACGTCCATCTATTCTGCACATTCCTCTCTGCTGCACCAGATTCATGACGAGAGTACCTTGCAGTTGCAGTGACTCGATGTAGTGTGTGATGAATCCGCTGGTAGTGTTTTATCACTACTTCCCTAAACATCAACACGTCATCTTCTACGGCGCATGATTGCACTACCTCAATCTCTGCATGAGATGGAGTTCTACTTGCTCTCGGTCTACTTTCCTACTTCAAACACAAAGTGCTTCAGAAGTGTTGCTCCTTCAGTCTGGAGCTATTTTTCTCGTCAGTCTGGAGACGTTTTTCTTTTTATCAGTCTGACGACGAATACGAACACGACTGTTGTTTCGAAGATTTCTTAGGGCTACGACGTTTGACGTGAAGCGACCGAAGATGAAGAATCTTTTCCTTTCTTTCCTAGGAGTGCGGTCCAGGGATATGCTTATCACCTTATAGCAGAAGGAGCAAGAGCAAGTCACAGCGAAGTACGCCATTATAGGTCGAGTACTAGAACACAATAAAGAAAATTAAGCCTCAGCTTTCAACGGTTATTGGACCTGGTTTTTGAAAATATTTGATTTCTCAATTATTTTTCCTTTCAATCAAATACTACAAGATATCATCTAGTATAGCAAATGCCTCTGAACTCAAGCAAGGAATCAACCTAAGGATACCGAGCTTGTTTTTCACGGTGATGCGCAAACGCATGTCTTCGGGGGTTTCCGTTTTGCGGCTGAGAAAAACAGATGATAACTGAACGAAACTTGACAGCTGCATCTTCAAGAGGAACAGGGATCAATAGTTCCTACTCCTAAGTTGGGAGTACTTCTTACCCAACCTAGACATTTCATCTTGTTCACCCTGTAAATGTTTTATTTAGAGTAAGCATCAACATGATATTTTTTTATCATGACTATCTAGATGATATATTAATCCTCGATATCTAGTAGTTCGGCAAAACTTCCAAAAAAAGTCAGTCAGGAATAAACTTGTAGTATTGATAGATGTACTTCTACGAAATTCTTGCAACGAAAAAGTTAGACTTACTAGTACTAGAAGGCACTCGTCGTAGGTAAGCTTGAGAAGTTTGAGGAGCAACACCGATGAACGCTCCTTCTTCCCTTATCACCTGCTCTTTGTGAAAAAAAAAATTCAACATACTCATACATCTTCGCATTGGTTCAAAAATTTCAAACTATTACAACCACGACTCCTCTGCAAGAACTCAATGCTTCGCATAAGGATGCGAAAAGAACTCCTGTAAGACGCCTTGAGGAGGTGTTTCTAAACTGTAGTGGGAACTGTAGTGGGTACGACGTGATGCAGTGTTTGTGGTTTTACAATTATAACTGTCGGTCGCAAGTTGTAGATATTTGAATGGCACAAGACCGAGAGGGAGAGCGAGACAGAGAGAGAGAAAGAATTGTGTTCGTTGCTAGCGGCGGGAAATGGTTTTCTTAAAAAGTAATTAGATACACGTCAACGTGAGACGTCATGAAGCTCATCCCCCCGTGCCTTTCTCCTGTTTGTTGATTGCGAAACGTACTGTGCCCCTACAGGTGGCACTAAGCTCCGCCTGCCGCCGGTTTGCGAACTGGATAAAGCTGAGGCCGCTCTTTCAGTAGCCCCAGGATACAAAAAAAAAGAAAACTTTTCCTGAAATCTCCGAATCCAAATCCAATCTCAGTGCATCAGATGAGCTTTGAAGCCTGCAATTTGTGAACGCCTTCCTTGATTGACATCAATGTTTTGTGAACGCCTTCCTTTCAATCATATTTTACATGATATTGATTTTTCTGGTCATTTGTTTGTAGTTTCTACTTTTTGTCTTTGTCTAATATTACTATTTCCTCGGAAGTATCACAATCACAGCATCAGCAAACAGGAATCATTACTATTTCCTCGGAAGTATCACAATCACAGCATCAGCAAACAGGAATCTACAACGAGTTGCATTAGACGAGGACAACTTCTACAGTTCCACCTTCAAGAGGACCCTCAACACTCTCAAGAGCAAAAGGATGACGTTGACAACGACAAATCAGACGCAGACGTCCGCATCTCCATCTTCAGCGGCCGTTGGAATTGGAAAGGATATCCGAAGTGAGTTGGATCCCCAAAGAGAGTCTTCGTCGAAGGCAAACAAAGATGCAAAAGGTCCGACATTCGTCTTCACTAGAAGAGACCTCGAGCGAATCGTCTACGATCAATTTCAATTTGAACCGGACTACATCCGCGGCCAGCCCGGGCGCGGTTGCTCGCGACTTCGCTTGTTTGGTGAGGATGAACTCCCAGAGGTGATTTTGTTTCGAGACCATCATGCTTGGTGTCCGTTTTGCCAGAAAGCATGGATTTTACTGGAAGAGTTGCAAATTTCCTATCTGGTGATCAAGGTGACGATGTACAATTACGGCGAAAAAGAATGGTGGTACTCGAAGTACATCCATCAAGACGGCACGTTTCCGAGTCTGATCATCCTGAAATCGCAAAGCGCGCGAAAGCTCGCACTGCAAGACAGCCTGGAACGGGCGGAAGAAGTGCGGCAAAGGAGGGAAAGTGTTCGGGCGAAAGCGGTCGACGTTGAAGAGAAGAATTCGAGTGACGACAAGAACTCCTCGAGTATTCCTGTACGAGGAGACGATGGTAATATTAACAAAAGTGGGCGGAAATCGTCGAGAACTTCTTCTAGCACTTCTGGTGGGAGCTTCTCAACAGCAGCGTTCTCGCCAAATCAAAGAGTGTCGAAGTCCAAGTCCGAGTTGGATTTTCAGCATGACCCGGGAGATCCGAGACGGGGAAATCAGCCGATCTCCAAAGCTGACTATGAACTGGTAAACGATAGCACACCTGTGATGGCACGACTGGTAAAACTCAGCTTGGAGAAGGAGAGAACTCTAGAAGTGCTGCTAGAGCATGATCTTTCCCAACCTAGTTGGGACTTGAATGACAAACGAACCGCAGCAATTTGTTTCAACCTAGTTGAAGGGAAATTGTTGGCTCACTTCTACCGTTGGTTGTCGTGTCAGCGTTGTAACTGGACTGACGAAAACGCGCAGGCAATAGAAAAGGACAATGCTCGACTATTTCGCGAAGTGTGCGGGGAGGTCGAGAAGCTAATCGGGCAGACACCGGAGTCTCCTTTCTTGTTGAGTTATTTCAGCGTCTCCGACTGTGTCATGGCACCCTGGCTAGAACGAATGATTATGAGTGTGGAATGTAGTTACTAGTTCTTGCTTCGAACTTGGTCTCTTTTTGCTACAACTCAGAGTACATGTAGATGTACATGTACGAGACGAGACAACTTACTAGGAGACCTATTTCCTAATGCTAGTCTACAAATGCTAGTCTTCTACAACAACTCTTCTATTCCCCTGCTCCCCTACCCGTATCCTCCTGTCCTTTCCCGTCCTTTCTAACTCCTACGCTCAGTTGTTCTACTACAAGGCGTTTGACATGCGAGCAGAATTTCCGGTCATCGCAAAGTGGTTTCAAGCAATGGAAAGCAGGCCCAGTTACATGATGAGCAAAGCCGACTTTTTCACGCATACACACGCTATTCCACATCGCATTAGACCCTGTTATTTCGACGAGTGGAACGTTTCACCTGAGAAGTTAGCGGCCTGTTGGCAAGCAGTTGAAGCGGGGGCAGAGGAAGTGCCGGACTACTTCGACAGAGGAGCCAGAAGGTCTCCACGAACATCAACAGAGCAAGTCGAAGCCGCACTAGAAGCAGCTCATCGGGTTCTAATTTTTTGGGACGTGCTTAGGGAGAAAACAACGGAGATAGAAGGTATAACAACTCCTGTTAGCAAAGTTAGCAAAAAAAACAGTTCTTTAGGAGTAAATGCGAATTATACCGGTGATTCCTTCGACTTGGCAATGCGTCTAGTACTTACTAGGTTGCTTAAGCCGCTGTTGGGATCGTCCACCGCGCAAGAAGCGGAACGCCTAGGGAGCTCTCTTGGAGATGCACTTGACGAAAGTCAGAAAGCCGAGAATCCACAAGATGTGCTGCGTGTCCTGCAATACTACAAGGATCGCATTTCGATCCCGCGTGATATGAGTTACCACGCCGGCAAGCGCCTACGACGAGTCATGTTTTCGGTAATTCGAGATCTTGCGACGGACGCAGGCATGAGTGTGGAGTCGCCGTTTCCGATCCCCTATAAAAACAGATTTGACGTGAGGCCTGACAAGTTTGTCGGCAAGGAGCACTATAAACATGTACCTAAGGTGATAAAACGCATACTGGAAGCACCACAAATGCCTTGATGTGCCTAACCAACATGCAAGTAGACGTAACTTGTAGAAGGTACAATTTGACTGAAAGACCACTCACATCCACTTGACCACGTGGTAAAAGAGGGCACATGACATATTGACATGACGGCTGTGCTTAGCTTTGGTAGGAGTAGGATAGAACAACATGATGATCCTTCTAATAACCTCTTAAGCTACTTTGGTTTTAGGTCTTTTCTGTTGTTCGTGCTTACTTTAGGGAGACACACAACATTCGTGAGCACTTAGCATCTGTAGATTCTATTTCCTAGTTCTATTTGATTGATATGCAGTGTAAAGTGATTTGAAGAGCATATTGACAGTTGGATTCACTCAACAGGTCTTGGACTGGAGATTTCTAGTACTTGAGTCTTTTCGATAACGAAAGGTTTCCACATGAGCGGCGACATGCGTAGTATGAATCAGAGTCCTCGAATACTAAGGGTTCTTGCTTGCGGCCGACGCCGAAAGGCCAGTGTTCAGCAAAGAAAGCGGACTGCGGCCACGTGTCTACGCTTAGTCAAAATAAGCAGAGGAGAGCGAGGGCGAGCGCTGAGAAAGACGTGTCAGCTAGCGTTCTGAAATCTCCAAATCCAAATCCAAAATGAGCGAATTGCATGTACCATGTTGTCGGAAGCATAGTGTATGGTTGTTGTATTGAGTAGTACAGATAGAAGGCCGTTCCGTTTGGATAACAACTTGACTGGCATGAGGGTTGGCGTCCAGGTTGAAGGCCGTTCCGTTTGGATAACAACTTGACTGACATTCATTGCTGCAACAACCACCTCGACCTCGGAAGGAGCAGTAGCAGCTTAGTACGTTACTCCTGTATGCTCAATGGATTCATTTCCTCTGGGCCTGGTCTCAAAACTGATTTGGTAGATCAGGTTGGCGACATATGACATGACAAGTAGCAGCATACAGTAGCGCCGAGTTAGCTGCAGTGACTGCAGAGGTTTCAGATGAACGCGAAACGATCGCGTCGTGACTGCACACCCTTTTGGAATTAGATCTAGAAACGTAGTTCTCCTTGCAAGAATTACAACGTCAACCATGGCACCTCGCGCAGAAAGAGGACAACGGTGGAGTAGAGAGAAGAGGGATGGCTACGAAGAGGATGAGGATGAGGAAGATGACTGTTGCTGCTTCGCGCAAAACTCGATAACGCAGCTTTTTGTGTTATGAGGACAGGGTCGTGAGTGAAATGGACATGGAGCGAGTCTTGCTCAACCTCAGAGGTGGGTGCTTGGACTTCAAAACAGACAAGCAAACAAAAGGCGTTGCCCTTTTCTTCTATGACAAAAATTATATGATCTCATCTCTTTCTCTAACAACGACTGCGTTTGTGATGTTCTTTCTGGCAGTGTGTGGCGGTGTGGCGGCGGCAGCATTAGGGAGTCAGCGATGTTGCGGGAGCGCGTGGAGCAATGAGGATCACGTGAGTCTTGCGTGCAGTGCCGTGTATCGATCTTGCTATGATGTTTCCCGCGCAGCTTTGGGAGTTGGGATGAGTGCAGTTGCTTTGCTGCTGATAGGGTACTTGCGAGTCGTGGCTTGAAGAGAAAGACGTTTCAGATGATGCACCTGGAATAATCGGTGATGATGGATAAAACTTGAATTAAACCCCGACTCGATTGAATACGGACACTGCTGGTCTTCCTTTCATCTTTATAAAAGTTTATAAGCATGCAGCGCGAACGCGGCATTGCTCGTCTTAAATGACTTCCATATGAATTTCATACAGGTTCATCATGCTAGGGATTGCATGTCATTGCCAGCACCAAAAGCGACAAGACAAGAAAACACAGCGTCGAGAGGAGCAGCGACGGTACCATTCGAATTTTGTGTGATGTATAGTGCATGATCAAGGGGGGCCTTAAGCTGCACCGCCTTGCTGCATTAGATCAAAGTCATTAGAGCTGCAAGATGAAGCGGCATCTGCATGACAATTATGCACGCTAGGTCTCCGGACGCTGTCAGCTAGCGCCCCGGGGGTTGATGACCAACCAGGCGAAGCCATTCCTCGAGGCCTTGCTGTTGCAAGGCGATGAGGAGAAGGAGGCCATCCCTGAATTCGCACAGAGTGACGCTGTGGTCAGTGCTGGCGCCGTGCGCTCTCTAGAATTCACCCGGGCGGACCTTTCGCGGGCTTTGCATAGCCTACAGGGTGAGAGGCGAACCGCCTAGCGAGTTGCCGCGCTGATCTTTGGCGCAGCGATGCCTGCACGCCATTCGCACACGGAGAACGCTTGGGCGGGCAACGAAACAGACCCGCTCGATGTCTCCAGCATCTGGAGGATTAGCGGCCAGAGGAATTGCAATGGGGTGGGGTCTAGTGGTAGCACTTCGAGAACGTCGGCTCGAGCTATCCAATCTAGAAGGAGACGCTCCGGGGGTTTCGCGTGCGTTGCCGGGAAGCTGTGGACGATCTTTCGCCACTCTTCGCAGTAGGGGCATTCGTCCCGGCATGAACTGAGGCGCGCTACCGTTCTCCGCTGACAAAGTGCGGCGCCCTTGGGGCTTTTCCGTGGTGACTCTAACGCCGCCGCCGTGGGGCTTTCTGCACCCGCGTCGGGCAAGTCCACTGACTAGCTCAGCCTGAAGGCTTTGTCGTCGTTGTGGTGCAGGCGATGTGGATTATACTCGTGACCAGGCGCGACGACGTCCCAAGCAGGTCGCTAAAGCGACGGCTCGCCGCGCAGATGCGGATGGTGAAGGGGGTGGGGTGCAGCATGGTTAGACTAATCTGCGCCCGCCGTGTTTGCCTTGGGGGGAGTGGGTTTCGGGAGGAACTCTGGCCGCGTATCAGCGTGCCCCCGCCCCGTGTGAAGGCGCGGCCACAGAATTGCGGAGCCACCTCTAAAAGTGCGGGGGGTATAAGTCATCGGCTGAGCGGGGCGCAGAGACTGACAGAAGTGCACCCACCGCGGGCCGGTTGGAGTTTGCTAACCTCGAGACTGTGAGCAGATGGGCTACGGCCTGGACCGAGCTAGCACACGAAGCGCGACCATTGCCAGCGAATGCCTTGGAGCTCCCGGAGGTAGCGCCGGGCGCGGTCGTGGTTCAACCTCGTGACGAAGAAGAGCCGTTATCGTACATCTGTGGCACCCTGTTGATGGAGACGCTCGGCATCTTGCGCCCGCGTTACTGGTAGCAGGCATTTTGCTCGTGGCTTGGGAGTTCGCCTCCTCTCTCACGACATCGGTGAGCTTACGGCGGCAGGTGCTGACATAGAGGAGGACGACACAAAAACGGAAGGCCCACGGAGTAGATAATCCACGCGATTCCGACGAGTAGGGCCGAAGTGTTAGAGCGGATGGCGCTAAACTTGAAGAGCTAAACCAAAAAACAGCAACGACGGACCCCCGTGCGATGCCACGGATTAGATCCGCTGTCGAATGTTTTGGCTTGTGGCATTGTGGTCTTGCCAGCTGGTGCTTGTGGCGATGTCTCGAGGGCTGGGTCTTTTGCCATCGAGGCGGATGCGTGTTCTACAATGGCGGGAGTGTTTGGCTGCTCGTCTGTTCCCTTCTGCCGTAACCACGAATGCTCCGCGTCTAAGGCACCCCGAAGAGCGACGCACGTAAACAGTGAGCGCTTAGAAGTCCTATACACACCACCCACGCAAGTGAGTCACATTTTGCGATAGCTATGTACTCCCGTAGCAGAATCACTGAGGACACCCTTGAAGATTACGATACTCGTATGCTGGAAGCTATAACCCTTAAATCGAAATTTCCCTGTCCCTGCGCTCAGTTCTTTTGTCCGCATTTGCCCCTCAATATTACAGTTCATCATTGTGCTTAAGTTAAATTTCATCATCATAATTTGAATCAATCAGATATGAGGTTCGGGCTGAGCATCGCTTGCGTGAGCGTCAAATGCAGCAGAGCATGGAGCTAGCTTCAACTTCAGTCGTCGGCGCACCTACCCAGCAAGCATCTTCAAGGGGTCTAGGAGGTCCTGTGTCTCCGGCAGCACCACGAGGCGCACATGCTTCCCCGGTTCATCATCATAATGTCTCTCCAAGAGCAGTGCCAGTGGAGCAGTATCCTCCGTATCCTGTTGTGTCTCCAAGGCAGCCACATTACAATGTTTCTCCACGAGCAGCCGGAAACGTGTCGCCGCATGGCGGCTATCCACCAGCGCCAAATCAGTATGTTGTAGGAGGTTATCCAGCACCAACAACAACACACTACGAAGAAACGGTCTATGGTTCGGGACCGCCGCCGCCTCTGTACAGTGCTGGAAGTAGAGAACACGAGGAGCACATGATGAGAAGAAGAGAAGAATCGCGTGGTGGTCACGGCGTGCGACCTCCATCGGGGGGTCACATGGCAGCCCCGCATCCAAGCACTCGAGGACAGCAGTATTACCAACATCCATCCTATAGTTCTTCCCAGCAACCTGCTGTGGCCGCATATGGCCCTAGCACAGGTCCGCCGCCGCATCCGGGATCGTCATATAGATATGGTGTTCAGGTTTCTTGAATATAGATTTGATAGATCTTTCAATATCATGTATGAAGATAGATGCTGCAAAAAAAAAAGATTCTCGAACAAGTTATTGATGTATGGTTCTGGTATTTGGTAACCTGATTTCGATGACAAGGTTTCCGTTCTTGTTTTCCTCATGATCCAATTGAGGTTACCAAATACCAGAACCATTCAATTGAGAAGTCTACCCACAGAAGAGAACAAGTAGTATCGACATGAGCAGCTGTATTGGTCTTTGCTTCTTCTAATGCCACATTACACGAAGCACATCTCGTGGCCGCTCGCCATCGCCTCGCGGTGGAACGACGACAAGTTATCATTACAGCGGACCTGCTGTGCGGACAGACACAAGAGCATACAACGACACTCCTTCGTTTGGTGCCAGTATCGTGCCATCTGCCGATCCGTACATGGGGCCAGGGAGATATTGAGAACAACTTCGTCCTTGCTAGATTGGGAAACCTGGTGTTGTGGTGACAGGTTCTAGTAGGCCAACGCTTCTCGCCTCTGCTGTCCTGACTGATTATACTTTTTTTGAAACCATCTTTCGCTTTTCTAGCATGGAGAATCGCCCATTCCTTCTGCATCCTTCTAACCTAAATCCTTCTGTATCTGTTCTTTTTACAACTGCTACTACAACTTGCTTCATCTTCAATTTCTATTTCTTGAGCTTGCGCTCGGCTCGCCTCAACTTAATATTTCCTTATAACTCAATTGCGGAACAAGACGTCACGCAGCACCTATGTTTGAAATACTTATATATCGTAAGTATCCAGTTTTGTTCCTCTGGGATAGTTTTGGTATGCTTGTTTTAGCTTGCAAGCAGCAAATGCACACCATTATAGTGGGGGTTGTCCCACTTTTTGAGTGACCGAATCCGAAAAAACAGTTCATCAATCCGAGATAAATACATGAAATGCTTCACTCTAATGTGGTAAGAATGAAGTGCGGAGGACCAAAGGAGTCCGGGAAAAAGTAGTTGTCTACCCAGTAGTTGGGGGACGGAAAACGCGTGGATGGAACGTGTGTAGCCGGCACGTAGCTCTACCTCGTGATCTCCTGATTAGAAGACTTCTCTCATGGTTCTACCACCACAGAGGCAGGATCTGGAAGAAGACAGGATGATCAACATACAACACGACCTGCTACATACTACACTTGGATGGTTGTTATATTGCCAGGAGGAAAGGGTTGTTGTACTCCACCCAGCAAATAGAAGTTCGGTCTCGCCTAGCAAGGTCTTCTTATCGTTCTGTTCTTCGATGATCATGGTTCACTGTTCCCGCTTGGATATCAAAAGGTGTACAGAGACAACTTTCATCAATTGTAGAAAAATCGGCGAGAGAAAAGCAAGCGCAGTAAATCCGAATCTCTTCGGTTTGGTCTCTGCATTATGAAAAACAAAAGAACAACTGTTGATGATGAATTGCATACTCAATGATTGCTCACGATCTATGAAAGATTTGCCATACCTGCAACTAATGGTTGAAGTTCTTCTTGACCTCGTTAACTGCTTGTAAAAGTTTAAGTTTCTCAATTTCATTCTTAGAAGTGGTTGTTGTTCTTTGTGTGTTTCCAGACACTGCCAGTGGGTTTACCTTCATGATTTCTAGTAGCTACTAACTTATATTTGTTGTTTTCCTTGATCATGTGTTGGTTGGTGACCAGCTAGTTGTAGTCGATGTTAGATTCTTCAGTGTAATGAAAAAGAAGATGGACTTCATGTGTTGCTCCACCAGTGCACATGTTGAGGTGTAGGTTGGCCTTGTAACCGCTGCTTTTGAAGAAAAAATCATTTTGCTGAAGATAGCATTTGTTCATTCCAGTCCGAGGGAAGTGCTCATCGCGGTAGACGGCAGGCAGCCTCGATGGATGCGTAAGTCTTACATGTATTCGTACGGCGCAAGACAATTTCATCGTGAAGAGCTGGTACGCCAACACTTCTAAGACACTTCTTGCCACCATCAACCGCATAGACTGACCACCGAAGACAAAAAATGGAAGGCTTAATCGCAGACGTCGACTTGCGCTTCGTCTTCGTTGGTGGCAAAGGCGGCGTCGGAAAGACAACGAGTAGTGCGTCGCTTGCGACGTGCTTCTCACAGCGTAGCGATTATAACCGAGTGCTATTGATATCGACCGATCCCGCACACTCACTAGGCGACGCATTTCAGCGGCAGTTTCCGAAGGGAAACCCTACGAAAGTTAGCGACACATTGGACGTACTGGAGGTGGATCCTGAGTCAAGCTTGGAAGAAGAGGTACTTGCGAATTTCTTGATAATTATTGTGCGACACGTACACCACCACTGTCGTTTGATGCTTACAAAGGACGAAATTGCTACCCCAATTTACAGTGGGGGGTATGTTCAATTTTTCAAATTTACATGCAATAGCTGATTGGACCACTCTACTGACGAGGCCTTCACATGAAAAATTCTAACCCCAATCGCAGGTGCAGACGCTTTCAAATTTTCAGAAATCGGTGGTCTTTTGGATATTGGTCTTCAACACTGGACTGTTTTGTTGTAGTCTCCCACAAAAACAATTCCTATGCCCGGATTTTAGTCCCCCGCAAAACAAGTCCTATTCCAAAGTCAATCACAATCACAGTGAAGTCTTCCAAATCCAACCAGGACCACTCTACTGACGAGGCCTTCACATGAAAAATTCTAACCCCAATAGCAGGTACAGACGCTTTCAAATTTTTATAAATCAATGGTCTTTCGGATATTGGTCTCTAACAAAAATATTCTTTATAATGATTTTAGTCCGCCACAAAAACTTATAATGATTTTAGTCCGCCACAAAAACAAGTCCTATTCCCGGATTTTAGTCCCCCACAAAGGACCACTCTACTGACGAGGCATTCACATGAAAAATTCTAAGCCCAATTGCAGTCGCTGACGCTGTCAAATTTTCCAAAAGCAATGGTCTTACGGATATTGGCCTTTAACAAAATCCGAAGAAAACGAAAACTATTCCAAATTCAAACACAAACACAGCGAAAATCCGAAGAAGACAAAAACTATTCCAAATTCAATCACAAACACAGCGAATTCTTCCAAATCCAACCAGATAGCAGAATGGACGAAGTTGATGCAGGATAGTGGGATGGCGGACGCCGCTGGACAGATGGGCGAGTTCCAGGACTGGCTCAGGCAGATACCAGGAATCGATGAAGCTACAGCGATATCCAATGTCATTTCCTTCATCGAAGAGGATCGATATGACGTCGTCGTCTTCGACACAGCGCCAACAGGACACACACTGAAACTGCTGCAATTGCCAAAGGTTGAAAAATTTGATTCATACTTAAACTTAATGTAAGCATACTAACAAACTACTACTAGATTCATTGCCCCTTGTGGATTACATTTAGACATGCGAAAAAGTAGCTACAAAAGTAGATTGAAATCTGACTCCTGGACCACGACCTAATACATTTCAGGGACACGACAATAAAGACAATAAAAGTACTAATAGTAGAAACCACCTCCACCTCATCGTCATCATCATCATCATCATCATCATCATCAAAAAATGAGCACCTGACCACAAAAATCAGATCCTATCACAAGGCATGGAGAAGTTACAATCGTGGTCTAGCACGTTGTGGACCTATTGGGAGGTTTTACAGGGTTCCGGTTCGACAGCTGTAGATTGCAGGCATGGGATGGAGACTCGACTCACGGACTACAAAAGCAGCATGGACAATTATGAATGCGCTCAAAGCACTAAATGAAACAACCGGTTAGTTTTTACCTCTAGCGTGTAGCCCTTCAAAGAGCATATTACATCACAGGAGGAGGCGTCACGACGTGACATGTTGACCCATGGGAGGTATCATGACATGACGTGTTGACCTATGGGAGGTATCATGACATGACATGTTGACCTATGGGAGGTATCATGACATGACGTGTTGACCTAGGTATACTTGATCCTTCTAAGAAAAAGTTTCACGGATGCTGGACTAAGTACTCAAAAGACAACTACGACTCTGTTAATACAGCGGTGAGGTGTTAGTACATACAGTAGGACTAGGAAGATACCAACAAATATTATATCACAGGAGGTATCATGACATGTTGACCTAGGTAGACTTGATCCTTGCATAAAATATTCATCATCCATAAAATTCTCGGTTGTAATATTAACGCCAAAGGAGCCATCTCTGTGCTTTCTAAGAAAAAGTTTCACGGATGCTGAAGGACGAGCATAGAACGCAGTTTGTCACGGTTTGTATTGCTGAGTATTTGAGTGTGATGGAGACAAAGCGCCTGATGGAAGAATTAGCTGAACAGGGTGTGCGCAGTGGTTTTGTCATCTGTAACCAGCTACTGCCCGTCTTGGGGTATGACCCAAGTGCGCGCGGCGAAGAGAGCAGAGCGTTGTCCTTGATCAACGCGCGCAACCAAATTCAGAAGAAGTATCTCGCGATGCTGGAGCAGATACCTATGGTGAAGCATGTGGTGAAAGTGGAGTTGCAAGATAGGGAAATTACCGGGTTGCAGGGATTAGGTATCGCTATATTATGACCGAGAAATAATGTGTGATAAATAATTTGTACATCCGGGTTACAGGGACAAGGTACCTAAGTAAGAAGTATCTGTCTTTCTGCGCTAGAGTTCCGGTTACACCAGTTTATTTATTGTGGTTCCAGAGCAGATGACGGATATGGATGTTCTGCTAGTATAAATGAAGGTGAAGATGTATCATGCGTCATCATCAATACCTTTTTACAGCTGTCTTCGCGTCCATGCTTATGCGGGGACCGGCGTCAGAATTGCAGACATTTACGCGTTTCGCGGACGACCCTTATGGCGGGAGAAAAAACCTATATCCCGAGTTAGACGCTACAGAAAAAATTTTCCCAATCGGGCTCACAGTAGAGGTATTCGGCCTGGGGAAGACACCACAATACAATGGCGCCAGTGGAGTCATTCGAAGTTACGACGAAACGACTCAAAGGTACATGATAAAAATGTTGATATTTCTCGAAACAGCATGATGATGAAAAAATTATATTGAGAAGACAACTTGAACTTCGTTCAAGCAAATAATAGCGTCATGAAAATTCTCCTGAGCAAGATCCCCAAGAAATCTGGACCAAAAGTTGCTTGTCGGATTAAATTAGGTTCTTGTGTTAGATCGATTTCGATGCTCTATGTTTTGACTACAGATATGGCGTTTTCGTGGAGCATTTACCAACGCAAATGGGCATTAGGAAGCTCCTCGCACTCAAGCCAGCCAACATTCGTTCTTACCATGGTAGCGCAGCGAGTCGCGGAACTGGAAGTACTAGCGGCTCTGGAGGACAGAAGAAACAGCATCAGCTGTTAGAAGATGCGGCTGTGAAAGAGTACCTGAAAGACCCGAAGATCTGGAATGCGTATATGGACGTGAAAAAAGACCCAGCGAGGATACGGAACTACCTTGAGGACCCAGATGTCGCAGGAATATTGACGGACATGTCGAAAAAGATTCAAAACTACCAGAAAATGTGTGGAGCGTGATCAGCCAAACGACCAAAATCTATTCCCCATCCCTCTTTTCATTTTTCTACACACACAGAGCACACAGAAATCCAGCGGGATCGTACGCGTCGCCCGGAGCGCATCAAAACAAACAAACAAGTCGCATCGCGCTTATTCATTGTTTGACTTGGCTCATTTGATTCCATTTTAGACCTACTAACAAGTCTGTCATTTTCCAAGAAACTGATTAAATTTCGACTTGTCATCTTTTGTTTGAGATACCTTTGTGGTGGATGACATCTAACGAGATTTCTCGAATCCACAACCATTTGGGATAGTGCGATCGAACTTGTGATCATATTCGACGTCGGAAACAGATCAGAGGTGTGGGATCCTGCATCAAATACTGAGGTCAACGAAAACCTTGTTGGTCCTTGCTCAGAGAATAGATCTGATTTTCAGTTTCATAGCATCGGTTTGAGTGGCTGAGCGATTTGTCAGTAGAGAGGTTGAGCGAGCAGTCCCTTATTGACTTACAGTTTGAATAATAATGACCAAAAACTACACTGCTCCGGCTACTGCTCTACGCTTTATTTCCGCTGGCCTTGCCTCTGTGACAACTACTCACTGAAATTTTTCCCTTTTTCCAGTCTCCTTATTTGTTCCCATCAGAAAAATGAAGACTGGCTTGAGCGTTGCCGGCCTCTGTGCCGGTGTTGCCGCCGTGGTCGTGGTGAGACGCGGGCGTGATGAGCCTGAGCCGTGGGCTTGCTTCATGGCTGGCGCCAAGAAGGACTACACGGGGACTGTACAGGCAGCCGCAACGGGGCAAAAATGCATGCAGTGGTCAGATGCAAGCAATGACGATCGCATCACCGCTTTTGCGGCAGACGTACTTGTTTTACTGTTAGACAACTATGTATAATATTAAAGGAAAAAACCTTCACTTTTTGTTTTTCGGTCTTCTCCTAGTCAGATTGGTCTCCCCAACATCACCAGACCTACAACGAGCCTGCGGGCACGAAGCTGGAGGGCAACTTTTGCCGGGCGTTTAATAACGAGGAAGTACCATGGTGCTACACTTTACCGGACGGCAAGAAGGAGACCTGCAATGTCCCAGAGTGCCCAATAGACGGCCCATGGGCCAAGGACTACGAATCCAAGGAAGTCCAAGCACCCATCAAATGCACTGACAAGGACGGCGCGCCAACAGTGGAATGCGACTGCAGCTGTGAAGGCGTGAAAGGGTATTATTCAGTTAGTGCCTTTGTGAAAAAAAAAATTTGTAGATGATCTAAAACCAATTTTTTGTCAAGATCTAAATAATCTAAATTTACCTTGTTCGGCTTTTTATCAAGTCCGTTGAACTCCAAATTTAACCTGAATAATAAAATCTAAAGAATCTAAATAATCTAAACGTTCACCAACAGGACGACGCAAATTTCGTTTCTGCAGAATGGCGTCGAGACTGTGGGTTTCTGCCACTGCCCGAACTAAGCCCGAACTACACCGAGTCTAGTGAGACCGGGCTGCTGAAGATCTGGATTATTTATTGATGAATCGATTGCTGGAACGTTTTTTTCCTTTTTTGATGATGATTGTTACGGTGCTGTGTGTTTTCAAGAACTTCGATTTGGGTAATTCATTCTCCCTTTTGTGCTTTTTCGTGTGTTATATTGATGACTGGATTCGTCCTTGGGTAGCATTTTCTAAATATTCTAAATTCTGATTATGACAATAGCGTGATACTGATACGACTCAGGTTTTTTTTGTCAACATTGGATGTTTGATAACGTGATCCCTTGAGCAGTAGTTGTTTTTTCCGATTTAGATTTTCACAACGTGATCTCTTGAGCAGAAGTCTTCGTTTTTTCCGATTTAGGGTTAGGGTTTCATTGATGTGGAACAGATGCATGGAGAGAAGCTCCATGGACCGGAGGTTCTTGTGTTCTACTGAGCGATTCTCAGCATCGAAAGTGAAGGAAAAATATAAATTGGGAAGTTCTTGGCTCCGATGTTTCTGTCGTGCTTCATGAACTCGATCCACCTTTCTCGTTCTCAATCATAGTTGGCTTTCTCATTCCGCGTGCCCCTCGGCTCGAGGATATGAAGTCCGAAACAACTGCCCTTGTGAATTTAAATTTATAGATTCGGTTGCGAAGATATTGCACGAAAAGTATGACGTGGGATTTCTGCGAGTTAGACGGGTCGTGAGAAGAACCTGTGCCATGTACTGAAAAAATGGACTCACTGTAGGATCATTTGGCTCTGTTACTGAAGCTGCTATCACCTCCATATTTCCAAGGATTCCCACTTAGATCTGTACTACCGCGTAAAACAACGACGGTACTAACGGACGAGTTTAGTTTCGTAGTACGACTAGTTGGTTCGTCTAAAACTGGTTGTAGACTAGTAGTTCTAGAAGCATTTAATTCGTAGATCCTTCCGTCGCGATGAAGGTTTTTCAATTCTTGTGCGAATATCAATACCCAGATCCCGAATACAAAGAAAAGAAGGAAGTAGCAAAGGACTACCAGGATCAACACTCGCATGATGATCAAGATCAAGATCACCACTAGCATGATGATCAACAACAATAACAACAACAGAACGGCCAGGCCACAGCGCTCGCCACAGCTAGGAACTAGGTCGTAGATCACTAAACAGCGCCAGGATCCTAATGATAACCATCAGCATCGCCATGATCACCATAGTGCTGCACTAGAGAAAAGGGCCGACAAGGTCATAGACAAGCACAGAAGTGAGAACCTCGCCAGGAGCAAAAACCAACTACGTCAATCGCCTTGCCAGTGACCGGCCATCTGAGCGATTGCAAACAGAAAAAACCTAAGCGCGCACTTGCCGTGATATTTATAGAGAACGACTGCGCATCAAGGACGCAACTGCGTTCGCTATTTACGAAAATAGCATTCGTCCAAAAACATTCCTGACTTATTTTTGCATGCTACTTTTGGCTTTGAAATCTCTTTCCATAGTGTTAAGAACGCAACGCGCTAAATGATATCAACATTCTTCAACTAAGCGAGGCATTTTTCGTAGTCAAAAAAGAGTTTTTTCATCAAAGTGTTAAAGAAGCACTTTATCAACATCCATTTTTCCAACTGAATTCGTAAACAGCGAATATTGCTAGCATAGCAAAGATGAAACATACGAGCATGCATAATACAACGACAATGAAGATAAAGAGTGGCCCGCATTGGGCAAAGCGAAATGATGTCACTTTCCTGGTATCATTCGCATTCCTAACGAGCACATTGTTGTTAGCACATCCAAGCGAGGCAGACATGATATTGGAAGCTGTTAGGGAGCAGCAAAAGCACATCCACACACTTCAGACGATCCCAAACCTAGACCGCAGCGACCCCTTTGAGACGGAGATTTATAAGGCGCTCACACTGGAGTGGCAGGTCCAAGCCCTGCACCCGGGAGAAAGAGTGGATAAGAACGCAACATTTGTGGACATGTACGTCGACGGCGAATTTCCTGATATGGGCATGCCCTCTGGAGGTAGTGCGTTACGCACAGTCGGAGACATCCTTGTCAAGGATATTTTCAAACGCGGACGAGATGCTGGAGCAGGTGGCTTCGAAGAGCTCAAGGAATTCTTTTGTCGAGAGGACATGGGACGGCTCCTGGGAGAGGGGAGCGAGCCTGTCCCTTCGTCAACGCCTCTAGAAGACGGTGATGTTGTAGGTGGAGATCCAGCTGTACTAGAGGATTCGCAACAAGACACGATCGCTGATCCAATTGTAGATGGAAACTTCGACACAAGCGCTGTTCACGGCATGCCCGCGGATGCGCCTTCTTCGAGCGGAAACTGGGACGAGTGGAACATTCCCACGCTCAGAGGCTTTATGGATCATGCGGAAGATGTCCCAGCTGCGCAAAAACCTCGTGATAATTCTGAATATTGTCCGTATGAACACATTAACACTCCCGATGATTGGGAGCGGGGGGATCAAGTTGCGGTGCAAAATATTCTGGACGGTCTATTGAGGAAAAGACCGCGAAGCCCAGGCCCCATCGGGGGACGACCAGGGCCATCGGAAGCCACACATATGCAGCTACCTTTACTCCAGGTGCAACGACCAACTGAAGGCACAACTGCCAGAGATCATAGTGTAGAAAGTGGAGAAGTGGAGCCACCTCCAAGAATTGCGACGCCACCTTCACCCACCCATGTTGTTGTTGAGGAAAAAGCTTGGACGCACAAGGACTATCTTCTTTTTCGCAGCGAGGGATGGAGCTGGAGGAGAGTGTGCCAGATGTCAGATACAAAACGGTTCATGCGGCGGTTTTTTACGGCGGCTCAATAGTAATTCATTTCGATTTCCACGATCCATGATTATTTCCCACTGTCCGTATTCCTCGTACTAGGAAAGTGAGACAATTATAGAGAATGTAAGAAATCGAAATGCACCTCCATTGTTTATTTGGGGTCTAATTGTTGGCATTGGTTTTCGCTGAACATCGCGCTTCCGATCAAGGCCTTTACTGATGCGAACCTGTGCGTGGGCACGAGCAGGACCGACGAGGGAGGCATATCCACCAGGATAGAAACTAAATTGTATCCCGTAGACACTCGCGACGGGTCACTCTTTTGCTACTTCCTTTACGACATCCGCAACGAAAAGGACCGACACAGCTGGCGCGTTGAGGCCGCAAAAGCACTGGATCGGGCACTCCTGTTTGTGCAGATGAGCGGCTGGCTACGGCACCCCCTGGCGCGGCGGCTGCTCTGGGATAAAAAGCACGAAGAAGAAACCAAGATGCCTTCCATTTTTCGAATGACGGCCCAGGGGCGGGATGACGAAGGCATGACACAGGAGCGCGTAGGATACTCGCTCGTAATGAAAAGGTCGACCTATATCTCAACTGCAGACCTTTTCGGGAAGGGCATCCTGCGTATGTATCACGATTGTGAGGAAAACCAGGCGAACCTAGCTAGAAGTACCGCGACCAGGGGAAAAACTACAAGTACAGCTACATTTAAGGCTTCAGGTAATCCATCTCCAGAAGCATCTTGGGACCTTCCTCTAAGGGAAAAGCAAGTGCAAGATGGCGCTCAAGATGGATTCCAGGAAGCTCTAATACATCCTACGAGGAGGAGGTGAAATTCATCCTCCCACCTGCTACTTTTTCCACTAGTACCCTGTTTGACCGCAGAAGAAGTTCTGAACCTGAAGCGAGCTGGCGCCGTATTTCTTCGACTGATATCGTTTCGTCTGTACGACTCGGAGCCTCTTCTAGGCAAGAAACCGGGAGAAGCAGTTCTTACTGTACTTTCGGAGGTCGTCATGATTCATCCGATGATGCCGAGCAGGTACTCGTTTTAGACCACGACCCCCACGAAGGAAGGACGACGAGGCCGAGGATGAGCAGTGGCAGTGGCAATGTGACAAGTCTTAAGGCTCACTTACTTATACATATAAATATATTCATCTTGAGTAGATGACGAGGCATCTTTGGGCCCCTTTTTAAGGGAAAAACGCGTCAAAGATGCGCTTCAAGATGAATATCGGGAAGGTCTAAAAGTCCTGCTCCACGACCAAGGGAAGTCCGACTCCACGATGGTGGCAATGTGATCACAAGTCCTGCTCCTCCACCTGTGGTGGTGCTTCCTTCTTACAAGCATGACTCTTGGACAGATGACGTTGGGGCAGCGGTCACTGTGGTCACGACGTATGACAGGATGTTTACGTCTTCCGAAGACATGTCCGTACTTTCAGACGCAGAAAGGCAGGAGGGTGGCTGGTTCCTCCTCCTCGCGCCGCGTGCTTGGAGGACGAAGATTATACCGGAACAAGAAGGCTCTCCAGTCTCCGCTAGAGGTAGAGAACTTAAGGCTTGTTCCCCTAATCCATCCCTGTAGACTGACATTCCTGAAAGATATGCGCCGCCCCAATAGATACAAGGGAGAGATACAACTGACGCATAATATGCTTGAGGGATAATTATCCCTCAAGCCGGGAAGATGAATTATTTAGGGAAGATAACTACTCTAACGAACAACTGTTCGCGGAGGAGCCGCCTTTTGATCTGGTTCCAGTTTCGAGGCTAGCTAGTATGAGGAAGGTCGAAAGAGAATGGATCACTCCCTTCGGCCAAGGTGCACTGGAAGTTCGCGACATTTTCCTCATCGATGATCCGAATCGCTCTGCGATGGGCGCCTCGACGACGCGAGTCGAAGCCTTGTTGCGGGAGGACGAGGCCTTGCGAGATGCGCTCACAGAGAGTCTGGTGGAAGCAACCAAAGACTCGGTCAGGAGTCGTGAAGATTTTCAAGTGCTCAAAGACGGCATACTCCCCAGCCTGTACAACAAGAAAGGAGCCAAGATGACCAGGAGAGCGGACAAAGCAGATGAAGCAGACGAGGCAAACTCGTCAGCGAGTGCCTCAGGAGACGAGGATAGCAACTCAGACAATGTCGACGATGTAATAGAGGCGCTGCTGGCCGCGGACAAACTGAACAGAGACCACGATCATCTCGCGTTTTTCAACGGCTTCATCGTTGGAACTTTGCGGCCGACGGAAGTGTAGGTTAGCATAAGTAGACTCTCTCGCCAGTTTTATGAGTTCCATACTCATTGATTTACCGTAGATCATGTAAATGCACATTATATATAACACCGGAGGCGTTGCACAGGACTCCGGCCTGCCTTCGAAGGTGAGACCTATGGGGCTGACAGGACGACTATAGCGCCGGCGCGTGTTTAGTTTTAGCAAGTAGGAGGATACTCGCTGCAAACTACCTGCGTTTTCGCTTTTCTATCTTCCTCTGGTCTTTCTTTTTTCTAGTTAGGTCGGCTCCGCCACAATTATAACACCAAAAGACCTAGATGTCTATCATGCACGATAATAACAGGGAATCTAAATTAAGAGGAACACAAGAAGGAAAATAGAGAATGACCTTTGCAGCAGAAGTCGCTAAATGCAGGCACAGATCGAGATGCGTGGAAAGACTCTCGCACTTATTTAGAAAAGACGGCTTCCGCTTGCATCGTACGATGCATTTTCCTACCTCATCTGGCCCGAGTACATGTGTTTGGACAACTAGGACAACTTAAACCCATATTTATAATAATAAATATCTTTCCCGTGCGTTCACCCGTGCCGCTGCACCAGATCCACCAGTCCATAGCAGAGAATATAATCTACTGGGAGGACTAGCACTACCAGGTCCTCGCTCTTCTTTGCGATCTGCTTCTACTGGGTCCTTGGCACGGTTCTACAGCTTGTTGTCTACGAGGAAAGAGAATGATAATTAATATTTTCAACAGATAAACGAATGAAAAATGGTCGGGTCTCTTCGGAGGAAGATGTAGTTGTAGAGAGGTTTAAAGGAAAAAGTTCCGAGATGTAGGAGCGAAGTCGAATTTTTTTCCGCGAAGTCTCAGACTAAAGTAATTACAACAAGGCAGGAATATAATCGATGGATATAAGTACTATGATATGCAAATGTGTACTTGAAGCTGAAAATGTAAAAACAAGTGAATTTGGAGTACGCCCCGATGAGGTCTTGGTTTTTAGCTAGTACGTCATTCAGGTTTCTGTTTATCTCACTCATGTTTCATTGTCGCTTATCTTGCTGAAAAACATGATGGCGGAATTCTGGAGCGATGCCTTGCCACGCATAGTGGATAGCGTAGTGGAAGGATACAGGCTACGCGACAAACATCATACGAAAAGCAGCGATTGTGTGGTGCTCTACTCGTTGTACTGTGGCGTTAAGGGTATCGAGAGAAGACCTGACCCGAATCAGGAGGTGCCTGCAGCTGGCGCTATGATAGGTGACGAGCAAGACAAGACATTTTTGCTACAGCGAACTGCTGTGATGCCCACGACAGCCGCTACTCGTCGTCGCTGGGAAGCCGAGGACTACAGCCCCTTAGAGCTCACGTATCTGGAAAGAATCACGCGACTGGCTAAGGATGTTGGGACAGTCGATGCCTATTGGCCTTTTTGGACTCAGCAATTCAGTTTACCACTTTATCTGCACTGTCGACTGCACCGGAAGACTCTCGTCGTTGTCCTCGTGGATACCGTGTATCAAGGACAACATCATCTTATTAGTAGTACTAGGGTCGTGCAACATGATCCGGCACTTGTCGAAGCTGTTGGTATTGAGCACTTCGAACTGAGTCAGGGGAGCGTAAGTCTATTCGGACAAGAACATGTCGTGTATGTCTATTCGCACAAGTTCGCGACAGATCCCTTTGTGGATCTAATCATCGTAGCAGTGGGGGCGGACGCGGACACGTTTCCGAGTGCGCCTCCTGGCATAACTTAAGGCTTGATAGAATTCATTTCCAACAGCCATTTTTCTTCTGTTTCCCTCTTGGGATTCTGAAGAAATGAAGGAAAGAAATGAAACGTTTTAAGCTCTAAATAGCGACCTCTTTTACTTCATCATCTGAAATAGAGAATCCAAGTGCGCCTCCGGGCATAACGAGGGCTTCTACTTCATCATCGGAAATAGAGAACCTGTGGCCGGTGTTGAAAATACCTAATGGTGAGGTGCGAACAATGTTGCAGGACCTGAAGTTCTTCGATATTTCTAGAAAAGATGCCCATGCTGCAAGAAAAGTACTAGAGGCTGAAGGTGAAGATGTTTTGTGTCCCGTTTCTGATGCACAATTTAGGCTACTCTGCAATTTCCTCATATTTCCGAAAAACAAAGACATCGAGGATGCCATCGATCGGTGGTGCGGTCATTGGATCTACTTGGGGCTTGTTAATTGTAGTAATGAGGACGAAATAAAGAACAAGCTGTACCTGGGCGATGTATCGAGGAACAGTTTTTCGATCTGGTACGATATCGAAAAGTCTGCGTTTCGCATCGAAAGCGACTGGGAGTGGACGATCACTAAGAATATTGAAGATGCTACTAGTGTTGCAGAACAAGCAGAGAGCGCCGGTGCTAATGGATGCGGGACGAATATGGGATCTTGTGCTACGACGAAGAAGAAGATCAAGAACAAGATGAAAGCGAAAGCACTCAATAGCGCTGATCCTCATGATGTGCCACGATATAAAGCAGTTGCAGGCTACTTTTCGAACAAAAGTCTGTTCCTCCGGAGGGACCCGCAGTACTACTCTGCGAAGCCAGAACATCTCGTAGCCACACAAGAAGCTGTAGCAACGATGACCGCTGCATGTCGGAGAAGTTCGTCTTCAACGATGACTTTACGCGAGCAGGTTGAAATGTTAGGGCTGCGTGCAGCTTGTGTAAGGAGGGGGGAGGACTCGTTTGCTGAGTCCGCTGTGAAGAGGCCGGAGGGGGAAGAATATGAGCCTGTGCTCGGAGAGGACCAGCTAGGCGAGCTGCAAGGTGCTGGACGAAAAGAGGTCAGCACGCCACATCATTATAATCGTAGAGAAGATTAAGAGTAGGTTAAAGGTGCTTTTCTTGCCGCTTTTTATGCCTCTCCTAAGGGAGAACGGCATAAAAAGCGGGGTAAGCGAGCACCAAAAACCTACCTCTAATCTTATTTTCGACGTCTTGCATCTCCTTCGCCTCCACGTCCACTTACTGAAGAGACCTCCAGAAGGATGAGCTACACAGTCCGATGTCGTGATCCATCACTTGGAGGGCGGGTTATATGTATTCTGGAGAACGTGTCCTATTTCGGACAAATTTTTGACTTCCTGGACTACAGTCACTGTAGGAGTTCGGATGCTGTCTCATCTTCGGATGAGATTGGGCTACGTTTTCCCAGTCTCATGGAGGACAATGTTGATTCGGCAGAGCGAAAATGGATAGATAATATAGCACGATCCACTCCCACTGAGCAACAAGCTTCAAGGGATAATTTTCGGACCTGGTTTAGGGACCCTGTGTTTTCTTCATCTGCTTTTCATCCAGTTCCAGTTTCCTCCACCTGCATCTCCGACACAGCAGACGCTTCTCTACTCTCCACCGATACCGATACAGATCCAACTTCTAAGGAAGGTCATGCTGGTGCCGCACGTGATGAGAAGATACAAGGCACAAATATAGAAAGCAGTACAATGCGGAATAGAAAGCTTCTTTTTGGTGAAGGAGGTGCGCTAACGATAATGACTCGTGCGGCATTCGCGCCTTTGCCGTTAGACGCGTTTTTTGGAGAAGATCGTGGAGATCAAGACCATTATTTCGTGGATTGTCTCGTTTGCAAACTTGTTGCAGAACAACGGAGATTCGGAAGAATATGGAGATGAAAGATTCCTCCTGTCTATTCGGAACAATATGGAGATGAAAGATTCCTGCTGTCTGTACTCGAAAATTGAAAATAAGCGAGTAAGGAACTTATAATAACCGAGTATCTGAGAAGATTATTGCCTAGCATACTCGGTTATTTTAGTTTATCGAGTAGTCTTATTTCCGCGTGTTGCTTCCACGTCCCCATCCCAACTACAGATTGCATTACTGTTGTCCTCATCAAATAGCGTCAGGAGACAAAGTACAAGTTAAATTGTCCACCTTTGGTCCATCTTATTCCTACACATTGGTCTCAAATTGAGGGGTGAGGAGCCTCAAATGGCCTCCAAAGAGGAGGAGGAATCAGATTCCTAATTAATAGAGAAATCCATTTGGTGGAAGTAGTGTGTGATAAGTGAACAGGCCAACCCCTAAACCACTAAGCCAACTGCCACTGTGTCTTGTCGTCATGATCAAACCATTTTCAAGAAGCGCCGAGGGATCTTAAATTCAAATTGTGTACGACAACATCGATCCCAATCTCATGATCTATTACCGTTGAAGCAGCATTTTTCTGGATGATCAAGATCTACAAGAAAAATAGGCAGTGACTTTTTTAAGCAATGAAGAAGCAATGAAGAATACAAGAGAAGATCATCTAGTAGTGAGGCACATCTACTGAAGATACTAAAAAACTAGAAGATCCAGGATCAAGATCAGAAGATAGAGAAGATCCTCTATCAGCATTCACAGTTCATCAAAGGAGATCAAGAAGTACTACTGTGAATCACTTTCAAAACCGTTCTCTTTTATTCAAAGTTTCTTCCAGCGAAAAGAAAGTTTTTTTTAGCCAGTTTGTTGTACTTGCACAAGACCTTTTTGAGTGATAAATTGCATTACTTTTTTGAGAATGAACTGCAAAATTTCATTGTTGAATGATTTGAAGTAAGAAGTGAGTCAGTTGCATGATTTCAATAGTGAAGATTTGAAGCTAAAAAGTTTTAATTTCATCCAAACATGAATGTAATCTTTGCACCTGTGTATGCACACAGGAGATCGAAAATGTCAAGACATAATTTCGCCAGTCATGCTGCTTCTGCTGGTAGGGAGGAGGAGGAGGAGCAGCTACAGCAGGATCATGATGCTAGTATTATGGACGAGGCAGCCCCCATGGAAATGGATGAAGTCGCAAGAATCGAGCCTAGAAATGAGGTGCTCGACTCGTATCGAAACCGTTCGTGGTGGGGCTCAGTGTCGGTCAGCTGGTTGAACCCATACCTGAAAGTGGTGAAGAGTAAGAATGCCTCTGGGGAGCCCTTATCCCAGCACGATCTGCCTTTGCTCAGGGAGACCCGGGAAGACCCTGTGCCGATGGCGCGAAGATTTAACGATCGCGTAGAAGCATTGCTGGTAGAAGAGGCGCAACGCGCAATGAAGGCGTCGTCGACAACAAGAGAAGAAGTGCCTAGGGCTGGCGCAGCGTCAATAGAGAAGAATGCTGCTTCTGCTGACCAAGAACATGAAGTCCCATTCCCACAGGATGCGCGCGAAGCTTATGCCCGAGCGCATTTGCGGCCAGTTATTATTAAAGCGCTGATCCGCACAGAATGGCCAACTTTTCTCCTAGTCGCTCTTCTCGGAACATTGCACTATCTTGGCACTGTTTATAACATGCAAGTCCTGAACGAGCGGCTAGGAACGAGTGGCGCTCTGCCCCTAAAGGATTGGGCCAATTTCTTTAGAGTGAGTAGCCAAACCGGGTTTGTGGTCTTTCTGGTGGTGCAAACGATGCTCTGGAGAGTATTGGGTGAGCAATTGCGACACTTGCGGAACTACGTCGCAGGAAAGGCGCGCGTACGTGTGTTAGGAAACCTGACTGGAATGATGATGATTCAAGGCAGCAAGAAGGCAGCGTGTCATCGTGCTGGAGCAGCTGCTTTCGGAACGAGTGATGAAGAGGTTGCTGAAAATAGTGGAAATGCCAAGTCCTCTAAGGATGTTGACATGAAGCAGGTCTCGGACAAGGGCAACGACGAAGAGGAGACGTCCCTTACCCAAGCAGTATTTCAAGCTCGCTACCTCGCAGAGCAGTATTACCACTGGTTGCGATCGGACGTGACCACGTGCATCGTACAGCTCACGGTTTCGTTGCTCGTTTTTGTTCACCTTAGCCGACAAGGCGCCGCTGCCCAACAGCAGTATCAGGCTGCAGGGATACAACAGCCTGGTGCCATCCCGCCTCCGCAGCCTGCGAAGTTGTGGCTCAGTATGCTGGTCGTGATAGTAGCGACTCTCGGAAACTGGATTATCTGCGTCGTAGTCCCCTACATTGGGCACATTCTTGCCGGTCGCGGTTTGCGGCAGATGAACACGCGCGTCAACTGCTGTAACGAAGCTTCTAAGAACGTGAAGAACCTGAGAATTTTTCGCAATTGGATCACCCCTTACGTGGAGCGAGAGATTTTGCCCAAGCGTGAGGCTGAGATTCGATCCTTCGCTTCGGAACGGTATCTCTTGGCCTTCAACAACATCTTCGAGTTCGGGTTCAACGACATGCTCTTCGCGATCCTCTTGATCTGGTGCGGTGCGCCGATTCTACAGGCGCAGCAGCTGAAAAAGAATTGCGAAGATTTAGTGGAGGGTGCTGGAAGTCTGACCTGTGTGCTGTTTCACGGCCAAGGTATGCTAAGAGGCTATCGCGCAGTAGCTCACTACGTCGCGGAACTGGGACAAGTGGCCTTGCGACAACCGGTACCTGTTGAGACGTGCACCACGAAAGGAAATCGAAATTCCGACAATGAGGACACTGTTCAAGTTGTAGCCGGAACACCTATAATTGAGGACGATATGAAGGCTGAGGAAGAAAACTACATGTTAATCAACGGCCAGACTCAGAGTCCTCTGAACGACAATTCCCTCGACGTAAGTAGCTTGAATCCTGTTGACAGAGAAGTGTTGCTTTTGCCGAGTCAGAGTGTGTGGACCCATAGCCGACCAAAGACGGTAGTGGGCGCGAAGATTGCGGTCTCGACTACCCTCCGAGCTAAAGAGGACTTGACGGTTCGGCCTGGCGAAATCGTGCTCATCCAGTCCCGACCCGGTGAGGGCAAGAGTATGTCTTTGCTGGCCATCCTTGGGGAATTGTTCGATTTCAATGAGGTTGCTACAGCTTCCACTTCTCATGGCCAGAGCCAGAAGATTCACAGGAAGAGTGATCGTGGCGTTGACATGTATACAGCTTACGCACCGCAAGAGCCTTTTCTGATGAATGGATCGATCCGTTCAAACATCCTGTTTGGGTTGCCTATGCACGACGGGCTCTACCGATTAGCGGTGGAACTTGCCGATTTCTCCGAAGTGCTCGATGGGGGCGCGCTAGCAGTTTTCGCTTTTCAGGACGAAACAATCCTTGTCGGCAATGGTGAAAACGTTTCAGGCGGACAAAAGCAGCGCATCAGTCTAGCACGCTGCATTTACAGAGCACTGCACGCAACATCGACACAACAACAACTAGTAGAGACTTCTTGCGGTACTAACGAAGAAGGGTCTACGTCTAGAAGTACAACAACAACTATGGCGGTGATGTACTTGGACGACGCTTTCTCCGCTCTGGATCCGAAGACGGCTGCGAAGATTACTCGTGGTCTCGTCGACTTCCTCAGAGGAACTCAGTTGCCGATCGCCATAGTGGCGACTATGAGTCGCAGTGAGCATGGCAGCGTGAACTGCTGTGGACAGGTGACCAACAGCGAAGGCGTCCACGAAGGGGAAGCGCCTGATGTGCGGGAGAGCTACCGACACATTCTCACCGATGCTGCAGCGCGGATCTTCATCTCAGAGCACGCGGGAGCGTCTCTGCAGAATGGAGGAGAGAACGAGCTTTTGCTTTTTGGCGTCGGTGGTCCAGAAAAGATGGATGTGCGGGAACGCACTGTGAAAGAAGACCAACAAAATGAGGAAGAGGATCGTGATTCACCCCGAACTGGAGAGAAAATTGTTGGATTTCCAACTACTCCGAGAAGTTCGACTACGTCCTTGTCAGAGTATGGCGCGGGGTTGGTCGCAAGGTACGAAGCAATAGCACAAGAGCTGCGTGACGAAGCTGCTACGGCGGCTGAAGACGGATCCCCAAGCGGGAGCAGCAGGAGCAGCAGCAAGCAGGCCATGGACGACTTCGCTGTGGCGCTTGAAGAAGTCGAAGCCTCGTCGACGACGACAGGGGCTCCAGGATCGTCTCTTTACCGCAAGGTCTTTGAGTACATGACGTACTGGCGTTGTGTTGTGATTCTTCTCGCGATTTTGTTGGGAAAGATGTGCGCACAATTGCTTCCAGTGATCGTGGCTTATTACGAGGGCCTCGCGGAAGGCACACCGGACACGCACAGCTTCGTGCTACGCATGGGCCTCGTGACTCGGCCGCCAGTTGTTCCCCCGGCGCCACCTGGCGCCCCAGCACCCAACATGCTCGACGCTCGTGGCAACCAGCGCTTGCGACATCTGGTGCTCGGATCGGTTCTGATTCAGCATTTTGTGTTCGAAATGCTGCGTTACTTCGCCACCACCGCTGCTGCAGTCGTGTTGGCGAAGACGCTGGGGCATCGCGTAATCCGGAACATCTTCGAAAGAAAGGGCCTGCAGCAGTTCTGGTCCCGGACACCCTTGGGCGCGGTCCAGAACCGCCTGTCCATGGACCTCGCGGACGTGCTCTTCACGATGTCCTCAACGGATGGGGGAACGGTGTTAATGCTCTTCCTGCCCGTCGCGAGCTTCCTCTGGATGTTCGTATTCCAGCTCGCGGATTCCTCCGCAGATAACCCGTGGTGGCTTACCCTGGTCCTGAACGGCAGTGTGGCAATCGTGGGAGTCGTGTGCTGGATCATGTGGATGTCGCACTACAGAGCGGGGTTGCGCGAAGCTATCAGGTTGCAAAGTCGCGCGAACACGGCGTTGCACCAGAGTTTCCAGGATCTCACGACAGGAGGCGTCGTTCTGCGAGCCTTTGCCGTTCGCCGACTTGCGGCGACTTCACAGCAGTTGGCTTCGAATGTAGTTGATGTGATTGACCACGAGGACTACATGGAGCAAGATTACTGCGAACAACATGTAGTTGTTGATTCTTCTAGTCCTCCCAGTGCAGGACTAGCAGAGAGGACGTTGGTGCCCGCGTCAGTTGCCGCCTCCTCTCAGGACGAAGCCGCGCTCGCGCAAGCATTAGAAAGCATGAGCACGGTGATCAGCGCCAACCTCGTGATCGTGTCTTTGGACTTGTGGAGCGGCCTAAGGCTTGAGATCCTGCGTGGCTTAGTCGGCTGCATCGCACCCGTTTTCAAGCTCGTGGGCGTGTGCACAGGCATGAGCGCGGAGAAGGAGGCAGTGTACAAACGGTACGCCTTGCAGGTTGACGAAATCTTGGATGAGTTGAGAACTTTGTTACGCGCCGTGCCTGAGATCGAGAAGGGCATGATCTTGCTCGAACGCCTCACGCAGTGGGACGGGGAGGAAGAACGAGCTCTCGAGGTTGAACAAGAGAGGTTGCGACTCTTGAACCAAAGAAGACAAGAGGACGAAAACGACGTAGAAAATCCCCTATTGTCGCCAGCGAACGCGATGCACAGCAGTCTAAGGCTCCTGCAGACCGAGAAGGATGCCAACCAGCTCTGTCTGCGTACTTACAGCAATACTTATACACTTTTTACTATCTTCTTTGCAGGGGTAGCCCCAATCTTCATGCTAATCGCCGTCTAGTCCTTTCATCATTATACACTTTTTACGTTAATAACTTTTGTAGACTGATGTGACTGTGCATAAGCACTTATGTACTAGTAGTGACGCTCAATGTTTCATCTGCTTTGTTTTTTGATATCTTGCTCTAAGTAGTACTCAGTTGTCATCTGCTCTGTCCAATTTCAAAATCAAATCTACAGGTGTTTCCAATCTCTCTCTCGAGTACCATCCTGGTGCCTACGCCTTGAAGGACGTTTCATTTGATGTCCGCCATGGTGAGAAGCTCATTCTTGTTGGCCGTAGTGGATCCGGAAAAACCTCACTGCTAAACTCATTGTTGCAAATCGTGCAACCCTCAAGCGGCAGCATCGTATACAAGCACAGACCCGAAGACGTTGCTGCTAGGTCCTCATCTGACGATAAAGTGAGACCTGAAGACGCATTGAAGCTGATCAATCACGGCGATAAGTACGCCGATGCAAGCCAGGAGTTGCCACAGCCAATTGACGTACTGCCTCTTTTGCATGCGATTAGACTTTTTCTTTGTTGTACTTATTCGATTTTGATCACTTCCTTTCCTTAGTAGCTAGTTGTAGTAAATTACCCCACGACCACCTGATGTCGTTGTGAAGAGCATAGTCGTACTACTTGTTAAAAATCTTCGATTCTCAACGATTCCAATCGAAAATACTACAGGTAACCGAGCTCCGAGAACAAATTTTAGTTGCGTTTCCGCAGGCGCCACTAGTTTTGCGAGGGAGCTTTTTCTACAATTGCGACATCACTGGAAAATTGGACCGACGAACAAGGATATTCCCGGTTTTAGTCGACCTCTTTGGCGACTGGGCACGAGAACGAATCCTCGCTGCTGGGGCAGCAGAAGAAAGAACTAGTGAAGAAAGACAACGAAATTCTAGAGCAGCTTCTAGAGCTTCTTCTAGAGGGAAGAAGTCCTCCCATAGGGGAAGTAGTGCTGCCTGTCAACAGCAGTTCTTGCGAAATCGTAGTGCCACTCAATGCAGCAATGGGGCAGTACTACCAGAAACCTATTATACTTCTGAAGAAAACAACGTGGTTGGAGGAGGCGCTGTTCAGAACCCTGTAGGGATCCCTACCCGTCGCGCTGAAGTAACGATGGAGCAGCTTTATGGCTTTTTCGAGGGGAGCTTTTTGAGCGAGCATTCTAGTGACATAAGTTGTCTGCTGTCGCAGAGTCAGAAGCAGTTGCTGCATATGGCGCGGATGCTCGCACAAGAGCAGATTCCGGATGTGGTGCTTCTGGACGAAATTTCAGCTGCCTTACCTGATACAGAAGCTGATCGTATGCTGACGACGCTACTAGAGAAGATCGGACCGAAGCGCACAGTAATCTGTATCACGCATCAGACCCATCTTCCCTGTTTTCACACCTTGTTCGATCGCAGGATCGAGCTCAAGCTAGGCAGAGTGGTCAGCGACGAGACGATCGAAAAGATAGAGTAGCTGCCCAGCAAGATATTTATCTATGAGTTGCAAATGGGAGATCTGTACCTCCGTAGAACAGGTCTTTTCCTAGAACCACACATAAGTTAACTTACCTGTGGTGTTAGAAAACATGATGTGTGAAGAAGATAATGCTGGCTTCTAGAAGTGAACAAGGCAGATCTAAGCAACATAAACCGTGATTAAGTTTTCGTGGTTACGATCGTCGCTCTTGCGTTCGCGGTTCTTGAATAGTGTTTCTGTACAGGTGATACTTCTCGACTATCCGGACATCATACCTTCATCCACCATCCTTTTTTGACCCTACGATGCTACTCTTTCATCAGAAAGTCAAAGTTATAATTATATCTACCTACCTCCCAAGACGAAGCCCAACCGCCCCATCTGCATTTAAGTAAGCATCTTCTGATTATTCATTCACGTTCACCTTCATCTTCACCAACCTCACCTAAAAGACAAAATGATTTGCAAGAAGCGCATGGTTTTACTGGTGTCTGTGACTCATCACAGAAAAAACCTTCAAAACAAGGGAGGAATCGAAATCTTTCTTTCGAGAAGGACTTATGGATGTGAGCCTCTCGTGATTATTGCATGTTTGCAAGTTCATGTAATGGTGCCATCAATTTGAATCATTGTTCTCTAATCAATCAATCAATCAATCAATCAATCCGCTTCACGTTATGACTTTCTCAGGATCGACATCGACCCAAAGAATAAGAAACCTCTTTCCTCTCCTCTTGGCATGAGGCTGCTGCATGGGACTTCCATCGTCACTTTGAGATGCTTGATTTGTGTTCTGACTTTGCCGATGACGCCACTACAATTGCGCAGTTTATCAAAACAAGAATGGAGCATCATGCTCTATCAGTTGAAACCAGAAGAATTAGAATAATATCGGTGCGATCCTTATCCATAGCCGTTTTCCTCCTGACTCTGAGTCGAGGAAAGATCATAAAAAAAAAATCGCAAAAAAAACAACTTTAAGAACATGATTCAAGCGAGGAAATCTTCTACTCTGTTGTAGACAAGAACGAACTTTCTATGAGAGAGGGAGAACACTGATGTCTGCTAGTCTTCCTAGTGGGCCCGCACCTAACCTAACCTGTTGTTCTTGGCTTTCTATTTGCGATGGTTCGTCTAACGATGCAGGCTTAGAGGACTCTAGTTGGCAGAAGTTGTAGAAGAATCTTGTTAAATCAACCTAATGATACGTAGCTAATAGCGTGGTGTCTGGTCTCTACAAGATGTCTGACTCCAGTACGGCTTGTAGTAGTTTCGTTCCTTTCATATCGTTGATGGTTTTCGGAGTGAAGACTGTTTACCCCTTATACCGTAGTATTGAGTTGCTTTTACTTAGTCGAATATCGTCTGAAGATAGAGAGACGAATACTAGAGATAGATCTAGTTCTAGAAAGGACTCTGCTAGTGTTCCCGTCTCGGTTGCTAAAAATGGTAAGGACAGCAGCACTACAACAGAAGATGGTGGAGACCCTTCGTCATCATCGTCTAGTACTGGTGTTGTCACAAAGAACATAAGTAACGATACCGACGGTGACGCAACAACTAATGATAGAGTAGGAAGTCAATCTACTTCACAAAACAAGAAGGATGATATCGCCGACACTGACGTAGACGTTCTTGCAACTCCCTCCTCTACTTTGGCAAGCTTGCATTTGAACAACAAGACTGCCCTTTCAATCGCGGTAGCACAGGAGCAGTGGGTGTCATTTTGGGTGCTCTGTAGCATCTGGAATTTCGCAACTACCTACGTTTTGTGGTGGTTAGTGCCATATTTATGTTGGTGAGCTTTTATTCATCTATGTGCTCAGCATCTTCGTATCCTTTCCCCATAGAGTACAAGAAGGGTAAAGGTCCCGAGATGAGGGGACCGAGATGAAGAAAAGCACGCGTCGCTAATATATGTCCCATTGTTTCTCGAGCTCGAAGCCCTCTTCTTCCTGTGGCTTGTGCATCCAGATTCAAGTGGCGCGCGAATTCTATGCCAGAAGGGCCAAGTCATGTACGATTTAGCATTTTAGTAAATGTTGTTACTCATACGAAGTACCTATCTTCGATTTCGATTCTGTCCTTGATGCTTATATATAAGTTTTGCTTAAACTACAGCACTTCTGATGAGTACTTACAACTCCCGTGCTTATCTCGGCTTGAAAAGCTTCGAACAAAAATGCTTCTGCCCTCTAGATATGCGGAGAACGCGGAGATGATAGAAGCAGCTGCAGGTAGCGTCGTTTTAGTCCGGGATCGCGGGACAAGTGTTGTTAGCAGGAAGAGCAAGAAACACTAGCATATGCACACGGTTGACGATTTGAGCACTTCCGTCATGAAATTGCTTGACTATTCGAAACCTTTTGCTGATGCACTCCCCTATCATGTCTTGATTGGGGATTACTCTTGGACGGGTGAGGAAACCTGTTTGCTTCAAAATTTGCAGAGCGACTACTAGAAGTACATCATACATATTCTTTTTCTCATTCTGCATGATCTCTGATGTGCTTCGACAACAATGCGTGCACCTGGATTGTGCTTTCAAGGCAATGCCAAAGAAGTTCCACTGAATTTCAAAGTCGGAAATTTTCCTTTCACGCGTTGAAGATGAAAATTGATGAAGATCAAGATCTCAAAATATCGAATCTGTTGAACATGATGACTCAAATGTACGATGGTGGTGCACAACCCTAGATTTTCGTCATCTGATCAGTATTGGCGATTTGTATCTGCTACTTGTACTAAAATCTCCTTGGCAAATACATAGAACGACGATCTTTTGCAGGTAGATGAGCATGATGAGTGAATTCGCTAGTATGATAAGACTTGACGCTCTTTCTTGACATAGCAAGGAGCACTCATCTTTAATTATTGCGTTTGCGACTTTTTCCTACATAGTAAGCACACCTACCTACGCCTTTTCGACTCCTTCCCTTCTGTTTCACTATCCTATACTGTAGTTTGCGACACTCATCTGTAGAAGACATATCACAATGACGTCTGCTCCGACTCTTGAGATTGGAGATGGAGGAACAGTTTCCGCATCCGCATCTCTACATGAGGAGAGCAAGCAAGAGAGCAAGCAGAAGATGCAGAAGCCTCCTCAGAAGAAGAAAGGTGGAGCACAACCTGGAAACCAACCTTGGAATAACAAGAATAAAACTCCCTCAACGAGGACCCAACAAGGACAAGGGCCACAAGGTGGAGCTCCCGGAGGAAATAAGACCAGCAAAGAGGCTAAATTGCTCCAGCGTGGGCTACAGCACAGGCTGAATGAGGCCTGTCAAGAGAAAGATGCAGAGAAGATACGCGACTGTTATCAGGCATGGTTCACGTCAACTGAGGTGACTTCGCGACCAACCTGTCTGTTCGCCCAAACTATGCAAGGCCTACTCAGTTGCGAGATGACATCTAGTACTTCCAAGCAAGGTGAAGTAACTGCAACCGAGATAGAGGAGATTTTCCTAGCTGGAACGAAGTATGTAAACGTAACAGAGTCGTTGCTCTTTCTGATCCTTCGTGCCTTCACGGCCTTTGCGCACCAGGACGATGGTAATCCTTTAAAGGACACCAAGAACACTTCACGAGAGGCAGAGGAAGCGAAGGCTGGCCTGGACAAAGCACTTGGCTATTTTCGTCAATATGCTGCAGCACCGAGCAACAGTATTAATAAGCAGTCAACATCTTCCAGAACAACGACGATAGACAAAGTCAAAGACCAAAGCTCCAGAGGTGGAGCAGTGCAATTGAAGTTGCGGACTTGCATTCCGCTGTTGCAGGGCATGGCGGCACTTGGGGACACGGTGGGTGCTGAGAGCTTTTTTCTGTCCGAAATTGCGCCACGCTTTCTCTCCTGTGACGATATGAGTCGCAGTGACGCAACTGCGGCACTGGTGATGGGTTCCGTAACGCGCAACAGCAGCATTCAGATCACCGACGACCAGCACAACTGGGAGCAAGTGTTTTTGTTGAGATTGGAAGCTCTGCGAAATCATAGGACGAGAAGTAGAGCACCAGAAGGAGATGCTCAACTTGAAACGAGCTGCAATTATAGTAACAAAGAGAAAGATGTTGTTGAATCAGTTGGAGATGAAGCGAAGCTGCAACGAATTTTGTCGGAGATGGCTCAGGTCTGTCCCCGACTCAGTCTCGCGGAGCGCGACGAAGCGGAGGAGTCGAAGAGCAAGGATGAGGAGGGGGAGAGAACATCTTCGCAGCGGACTTTTTACGAGTCCTTACTATCCGTTCTTGCTGATTGTGGCTACACCTGTAGACGGGCTGCTGCCGTAGACGCGGAAAGCGGCCGTGTTGTAGTGGTCGAAGATGCTGCTCCCACGAGCAGCTCAAAATTGCAGCTAGAGAATGCCTTCCCCGTTGATGAGACTGAACTGCAGCGTTTGTTGGTGCTGATAGAGCGTTTAGCGACAGAGAGTGGCGGGGCACCTCCTAGCTGCAGCAACCGGAGTAGTACGCATGCAGCAAGTGCAACATCTTCATCTTCGTCAACCGGAACATCAAGTACATATAGTGGTCGCCTCTCTAGCAAAGAACGTTGGGCTGTCTTCAAGCATCAGCTAGAGACGGAATTGGATGAGGGCTACGACTGCGTGCTCGACGGAGCTAATATTGGCCACTGGGGCCAGAACTTCTCTGATGGCAGGTTCTCTCTACTGCAAATCCGAGCGATGGTGGCTCAATTGCGACAGCAAAAGAGGAAACCCCTGATCATCATCCGCGAGCACTGGCTTCTTAAAGAGACTGAGGTGCAGGGTCACCTGGTCAAAGCGAAAAGGAGAAAGCTAGCACCACTAGAAATGCCCAACGGAGAGAAAGTAGGCACAGGCACAGTAGAAAAGACTGCGGCAGAGGTGGAAAACGGCGTCGACGTTATTGCAGCTGAGCCTGAGACGGACCAAAGGCCAGCAGCAGCAGAAGCTTCAGAGGTGGTACCAAATAAGATTGAAGACGAGGAGGTGTCTAGTACTGCGACAACTACAGGTCCTCCTCCTCCTGGTCCTCCTCAACAGGCGCTATCAGTTGAAACTCTGCAGGAGCGCGTGCGCCCATTGCGCCTCGACGAGTGGCAGCCACTAGGGCTGAGATGGAGGGAAGAGCGCTGTCTTCTCGTGGCGCCAGCAAAGCTCAACGACGACTGGATCTTCCTCTATGTAGCTGTGTATCTCTGTCTCAAGCAGAAGACTAACAAGAACATCAACGGAAGTTGTGCCGAAGGGGAGGACGGATCGAGCCTTTTGTGGTTGGTATCCAACGATCTGATGCGAGACCACTTCTTCCGCATGCGGCAGCACCCAAGCTTACTGCAGTGGCGAGATCAACACTTGTGCAAATACGGCGTAGGTGATCAGTTTCTCACTTCGATGGATGAAGAGGTAGAGATAGAGGACAGACAGGAGAAGGAAAAAGCGTTTGAGTTGTTTACGCCCCGCAGGTGGACCCCAAGCATGCAAAAAATTCACACCCAAGAGGCCAACGCGCACTCCTGGGTTCTGCCGTTTCTCCCGTCTGCGTTGGTCACAGTGAGTAAGGGCAAGCCTGGTGGGAATGGCGAGGCACGAGGTCTGCAGCCAACTCAACTTGACATGCGTAACCCCTTCAAAGGTTGGTGGTGGCTCATTGCGGAAAGGAAATCGACTTCGACTTCGACTTCGACTTCGACTTCGACTTCGACTTCGACTTCGACTTCGACTTCGACTTCGACTTCGACTTCGACTTCGACAGCTGCATCTGCGTAGCACTAGAGAACCAGAACATGATCAACATGATTCATTTTGGACATTCTTCCAACACTTTACATTTGTGGTCTGGTGTGCTGTGTGCATATTATCCATCTGTGATCACGCAACCATCATGTTGTTGATGTAGACTGTGACAGTACCTCATCTCCACACTTTTCAATCTCAACAATACGAGAGTGCTATAACACTTCTCCTGTCTGAAGAAACTTTCTTGCCGATGATGTTTTTGTGTTCGAAGATGATATCACAAGAACAAAGAGAAGCTGTCTGCTGTCATGAACATGCATTGACTTATGGTGGTGATACGTGAGCATAGATGTGGCAATCCTACCGAACAAGATGATGATGTTCAACCGAGTGACTGGATGTAGTTGCAATGTTAATGTTCGTGTTCTGGTATAATTCTGAAGATACCTAGTTCTAGCTTTATAACATCAAGGTTACAAATTTTCGGTTTTTTTCCAGGGATCGCTACTCCTATGTATCACTCCTATGTATCAGGAGAGTATTTTGCACCCCTTCCGTTGATGAAAAAAAGTTCGTTTCTTCCGCCCCGTCCCTGAAGATGTTGGTACCCTTCATCAGACCCCTCGCGGTGTAAATCCAAAACCGGTACTGGATCCGTATCTTACACAAAGTTGTCATCTATCTTTATTTTGCATCTAGATCTATGTGTTACGCATACTAGGTTAGTTGAGGTTATCAACTGACGTGGTCCACGAACTCTAAGTCCAAGTTTTTATGGTCTATATTAAGTTGTGGTTCCTCATCTTGAAAACTCCTTTCTGTTCCTAACCTACTTGTCATCAATGAAACAAGTAGATAGACTATGACTAACTCTACAAAAATGAACAACTCTGCTCCCTAAGTTTTTCATCTAGAACAAGAACTTGCCTTCCCTAAAAGATCAAAAAGAAGATGTTGTTCCCACCATGGATGACTTTGTTGTGCCTCTATGGGGCAGCCTATGTGCGGCCTTTGTGTTGTAGCGTGTCGGCGTTGCGGTCGCGTGATCGTGAAGCTGGCGAGCTCTGGGTTCTCTATTGGATCGCGTTTGCACTGGCAAGACAGGCATACATTTTCTCCATGTACATTGTCGATTCTTGTCTTTCTACTGCGGGACATCAAGTACAAACTTCGACGGATCCGGATGGGTTGCAACTACAGAGCTCTGCTGCTAGTAGCATCGTATCCTTCTTCTTGCGGAAGAATGAAGACGGCGTGTTTTCATCATCGCAAGTTGCACAAGGCGAAGGTGTGGGGAGTCGCGGCATTGATGTCCACGACCGGGTATTGCTTGGGACCCAAGAAGGGCTAATCACATCAAGTTTGTTAACGCAAGTTCTTACTTCTTCCCCCTTGCTGCGCGAGATCTTCCTCTTGTTTGTGTACTGGCTGACAAGCTATGAGTTTCAAGGTGTGCGGTTCTTGTATGTACGTCTTTGTCGCTTTGCAAGGAGCGACACGGCAGGTCCGTGCAAACAGAACAAGCTTGGCGCTTTGTATGAAAAACTGGTGTGCTGGCAAGGAACAAAGGCTCGTTCTTTAGCATCTGGATTGGCTTCTTCACTAGTGATTCGACGAAGAAGGCCTGTTCAAACCGGAGCTGAGAGGGAACAAAGCAGTACGAGGGGTCAAAAGAATCAAGTGCAGGTCCATCCGTTTGCAGCTTCAACAACGAACAATAGAAGTATGTCCTCTGCTATGTCATCGTGGTTTCCGATTAACCGTCCAACTCGTCGAAGAGCCGGTTTTGACGGACTCCAAAGTCGCGAAGATGAACTACCCGAAGACAGATATACAACAATAACAGCGAGATCGCTGGGACTCCTCAACAAGCTGACGAGTCGTACACGTAATTCAAGTCGTATAACACGTAGTAGTTGTGAAGATAATACCTCCACCACGTCGTCATCGAGGAGCTCTTTTCTGCAGATAGAAAACGATGATTTGGTAGAAGTAGATGACGACGTACTAGAGGAGGTTGAAGATGCAGCTCATGTGAAGAAGCAGCCAGGAAACGAAACAGCTTCTTCAAGCGCTGGACCTTGTAATACTAGCAAACAAGAAGTCAGAGGTAGCGGCGCACCAGACGCAGTGTTTTGCGAAACAAGTGGTAGCGACTCGTCTTTCATCGAGATCGAGGATGACTACTTGAAGGTCGCTACTGAATTGACACGTGCTGGTGTTGGTGAATTCGCGGCTTTAGGTAAAAGTCCTGTTCATGAGGAAGGTGAAAGCGAAGCAGGCACACTAGCAGGATCATTGGGGACAGTATTTGGAGACGGACTTGGTTTTTTCCGAAATACGTTCGGTTTTTCTAGTAGCTCCGACAAGTAACTTCAATTAAATGAGCCAAGAGGAGATTGAGATGTAGTCGTTTAATTTTGGATTATCATTGCTTGTTTTTCAAAAAATTTGCGAAGTCAGATAGGTTTTCTTGCTGATTCGTCTAGGGTTTTTCGAAGCGAGCGAAAGTCGTACATAAAAATGGACTATTTACTCATGTTTTTACGAGAATGAATATGAAGGATTAATAGCCCCCGAGCAGATGTCAGAATCGAGAAAAATTACTTGGTGTATATTAAGTTCTAGCTCTAGTGTAACATATTTTCTAGTTCTATCACAGAAGATTACAACTTGGTCGTCGATGAATACGACTGTGGTGGCGACCGGACGCAGTCTCATCGTCAGACTGCTCTGCTTTGATAAGTTTATATTTTTGACAGGTGGTAATTGATATTTTGACTTTCGTATGTAAGTATGTAATGGATCGTATGTGTATGTAATGGATTCTCATCATAATCTGTTGAAGAAGCACTACCGTTGTATGCTCACCCATGCATCGCGGATATTGTACTTTAGATTGTAGATGAAGACGTACTCGTATGAAGGAAGCCGATAGAATTTTCAATCTATACCTCGAGAGCTTCACGTGATATTTCGCTTTATTCTGAAATCGATTTACATTGATTGTAACTGTTGAGAAGCGCAGGGAGGGATGCAATGGCGGCAAAGAAGTTGAACTGCAGAAATTTTAGATCCCGATATGGAGTGTGCTGCTACAACTTGGAGGTAGAAAACTAGATCCCGATAAACATAAATATGGAGTAGAAAATACAAAATGCTACAACTTGGAGGAAATTACCACTTTTTCTCGTGACCATAAAAACACTCAACATACGAATTCGATCAGTGTATCCTATGGACAAAAATTCCGAGAAAGCAGCTGCAGCGAGAGAGCGAGTATGTAAGTTGGTTCACCGACGTTGAGCGTCCAGAACGGTGAGCGTGCACAAGCTGAAAACGAGTACTCAGACACACCAGCTTTGCCTCATCTGTTCCACAGATTTCAGGTTGGAGAAAATGAAAATTGTCTGACCAATTGAATCTATCAATCTCGTCTACCAATCTAAAAAAAAAATCTAAGCCTCCTACTAGAAGATGAGTCAAACTAAGAAAGAAGCTCCTGGAACGTCAAGGTAAGTTGCACTAAGAAAGAAGCTCCTGGAAGGTCACGGTACAATTTGACTGAAAGACCTCACATCCACTTGACCACGTGGTAAAAGAGGGCACATGACATGACATCACGGTAAGTTGCACCAAGAAAGAAATCATGGCCGCGGCTTCTAGCCCTTCTCCGCGCGACCAAGGCGGAAAAAAGTTCCTCCTTCTGTGGGAGTATAAGCAAGGAGCATCAACGTACAACCAACAAGAAGGCTCATGGCGGCGGTTCCTCCTCTCCCACACTGCGGCACTTGAGCAAGGTTATCGCAAAGATACCCTTCAAACGCCTGTTCGGATCGAAAAGTTGGACCCTGTCGGCGAAGTACAAGCGGTGTACGAAGTGCTTCGTGGTGGAATAATTGAAAAAAAGAGTGATCATCTTGAGGAGGCTTTTCGACAAAAGAATCTTCAAACCGGACGTGAGCGTGACGTTCGAAGGCGTTTTGTTGAAATCGAAATACGTGATGGTGATGGTGACCATGTTGAAAAATGTGACGAAGTAGAAAGAGAAGAAGTGGATGACGAGTTTCGTGTCGTCTATCTCTTGCGACACGGTGAAAGCGAAGCCAACGCAGCTGGAGAAAATGGACATTGGACTATACCGGACCCCAAACTAACTCCAACTGGTGTAAAGCAGGCGCTGGCGTGGTCAGAATATATGCATTTATGTGCCGCTGCACAAAACCTCCGGCAGAAGAACCTCCACCAGCAAAAGAGTCTCCAGGTCCAGCAGAAGCAGAACTCCGTAGCTTCGTCTTCCTCCTCTGCTACCGCAACCAGAAACCCCTCTTCATCATGCGAAAGTGAAGAATTTCAGTACAAAAGGATCCTCGTATTGGTCAGCCCCCTACGACGAGCGATACAAACGGCTTGGGTAGCATTTCACATTAAGGGCGCAGAGCCGTCTACTGTTTGTTTGCAATATTTGTCAAATATTGAAATTGAAAACTAACAATAACATCAGTCATTATTTTTGGCCTCAGGAAGTCAAACAAGTCTGCAAACGCTGCCAGTTTTTATATTGCACTGAACATCCTTCCAAAATGAAAATGTGTTTATCATTATCTCAGTCAAGATTAATCATAAGTTTCCTTTAACTTCATATTGAACCAAATAGATGTGCTGGTGCCCTCGGCTATTCTAGGGGCTGCTCTAAATTCAAAGTGGTGTGGACTGATAGCGGCCCGGTGCTGCCGTGCCCACCGCCGCCAACCAGATTTCTTCTGTCTTACGTGGCTCGCGAGCAGGGTTGGGAACAGGTGGCCAACAGGCAGATAAAAGCAATAAGCGCAGTATCCGTAGTGTATGGCGCAGAAATGCGGTAACCTGTTATTTTCAATCACGCGGGAAAGAGCCTAGTCTTGGAAATCTAATTAAGTAAGTATAGATTTCAAGATATACGCTTCCCACCTTTCCATGTTCTAGTAATCGATGATTTCCAATTATTTTATATACACAGGTAATCTCCATCTTCTAGAAATAGATGATTTCCAATTATTATACATAGATACACAGGTAATCTGTGGGTGATCGTGATCGTCTTTCATTGGGATTGAACTCTTTTATCTGATTGTGATCGTGTTTCATCATGAGCTGTGTTTCATTGTGATCGTGTTTCATCGTGATCGTGTTTCATTCATTTATGCCAGTCTCCATCCAAGTACGACTACCTGCGCGAGGGTCTTCCTTCGTATTCAGGGCCCAATTTGGATCTGCCCTCCGTAGAAGGAGAGGCTGACAAGCCTCCAGACCGGCGACCCAGCGACATTTTTTTCGATAGGCTTTATTTAAAGCCAGTTAAGGGTGGGAAAAAACTACCTATAGATGCCAGGTGGTCGTGTGCTGTTCGGTTCGATTAGAAAAGGCCGCTAGCTACCTCCTGGCCCGGGATCGTAGGTCGTTTTGCCTACCGTTTTTAACAAAGGCCAGAACAAAGATCTCCCGGAGCTTCGTGGTCGATATTGGCGATCGGACAAGTGGGATGAGAATGGGTATCTGCTCAAGTGGGGAGATGATCCTCAAAAAGCGGACTTCCTCGATGGCTTGCGAGAGACTTATGAAGCAGCGACGCGGCAACTGAAGGACGACATTTTTCAGCATTTGTTCGATACACACTATGAAGAAGACGGTCTGCATCATGACCATGACGTAGAAGTCGAAGATAGGCTGTCAAATAAGACGAGGACTGCTCCTCCGGTGCAAGTAGTTGCACACCAACAACATCAGCTTCAGCATCAAGGTCTACATCAGCACGTTCCACATCAACATCGGCATCAAGGTGCTCAAGGTCTACATCAAGGTCTACATCAACAGCCGAACAACTCGGCAAATCCAGAAACACAGAAACTGCGAGTCGCTCTTCAGAAAACCGCTATAGTTGTAGTGTCGCATTACAGGACGATCAAAGCGCTATGCGGGTTACGATTGGGGAACGGACAAATGGCAAAATGTCTTTTTCGAAGAAGATATGATCAAAATCATGATCAAAAAACTTCTACAGCTTCCGTCAGTCCTGCATTTGAACTGGTTTCCGTTTCAAGATTGCCAGTCCCAGACAACGAAACTACAAGTACACCAGGCAAGAATATAATTAAGGGTTACTTACAACCACATTGCATTTCCAACGACCATCCTGGACTTTTGTCCAATAGGAAAGGCGTCAAGGATGGGGCTCAGGAATGTAGTGCTGTAGCTGTTGTAGCCCCTAACGCAGGCACTAGAGCGGGGATGACGCCCTCCTCTGGCATTTCCAACAGCAACAATAACTCCGCATCTACAAGAACTTTTCCGGCTTCTCGAGCTTCTTTTGGCACTTGCTTTCATCCGTCGTCTATCTCTGAGGGGCGGAGCAGCTCATTCATGTCCGCCTCAGTGTTGCTTGTCGGGAAAACGACGGCCAAGATCCCGTGTGCGTTATTTTAAGGCTATCCGATTCCGAAATGCATTGATAAATATGCGAAAGCTTCTATACCTCTGCCTCTCGTACTTGGGATATTCGCTTGATTGAAAGTGAAAGTAGAAATGTTTAGGTTTACATTTAATTATGAATGTAAAGCGAGGTAATCACAAATCTTCCCTATCATTTCAAGAATAGGATCATGATGAGGCTGACGAGAACAAATTATATCATTATCTATCATGATACTCGTTGGGCGAGGATCATGAGGCTGACGAGAGCAATCGATGTGCAACTAGATCAAATTTGTCTAATTATTAGGTGGAGGATGGGTGCGGACAGGTTTCTGCTTCTCGGACTTTGGCGGGGCGGTAGACCGGGGCGAGCTTCCGCGTGCAGCTGCCTTTCGTGAACTCGCAGAAGAGCTCTTTGGCGTCTGTTCTATGACTTCTTCAGCAGGATCTCAGACTCACGCGATGAAATCTTCGCATTCACAGTTGACGGGAGACCAAATAGTACTTTCTTAAGGGCGGAGGTAAAACAATGACGGTACTACACGACGGTAGATGTAGACCGACTACGGGTTGCTTCTGCATTTGCTAGAGAAGGATACTGTCCTAATAGTTTATAGCACGCATGGTGCATGGAGTGCATGGAGTAGCATGGAGTGCATGGAGCGCAGAGCTTTAAGGGGCGCAAGAGGCTCCCCCTGTAGCTCCATGCTGCTCCATGTGATCCATGCACTCCATGCCATGCGCGCCGTGAAACCTTATAAACTGCTCTGGCTCCTATTAAATATGCACAGTTTTTGCTGATGTACAAGATTGATTGTATATCAGGAGAAGTACTACCTCCTCCACGTCTAATTTTCGTTCACGCAGCAGCTAGATCGACTTCTCGCAGCTGCCGACTTGGCGGGTGAGCCAACTGTAGCAGGTCCGATTGCTGTGGGACGGAAAGGGGGGCATGCGCTTTTTCTCTGCGCAGCAGAGCCTGTGTTGGAAGCAGCGCGAACCGCCGGCCTTGTTGAAGACACTAGTAGTCTCCAGGGCAAGAAGAGTTGTGTTGAGATGAGTCAACGCCGTACGCAAGAAGAGATGAGTCAACAGGTCAAGAAGAATGTTGAGACAACGTCGACAACGACACGCCCTTCATCTACGACAGCCATTGTTAAGGCGGGTTACCACATTGCATTCCTATAACAATTAGTCTGGCTCAGGGCTTGTTTATGTTTCCTGGAATGAGAGAGATGTCAAGGATGGAACCTGACGGAAATGGAATCATGGTGCTGTAGCCTCTTCTAACGTAGAGTCTCTAGCTCGCGCCCTGCGTCCGAACAACGAGATCACGGCAGCGACGCTCGTTCCAATCAGGGAGTTGTTGAGTTTAGGTGGTGGTGAAAATGGGATTGATGTGAAGATTGAGAAGGGCGGGCAGAAACTGCTCAAAGACGAAATGCCGCAAGTGAGGAATATGGAAGAGAGTAAGCTCGCCTCGTCATCAAGCAGTTCGTACTCTCCGTCTTCTAGAAGCAAGGTTCATATTCCGTCTGCAGCTTCAGGCTTAAAAAAACGACAACGGACGAATCTTCAGAACAAGTGCTCCCTCCCTGATGATCTTGGAGGAATCAATATTGTTTCTAATATCCAGCAAACAAGATCTTCAGATTACTCGGAATTTTGTGACGATGGTTGTGTGAATGCCTTGTATCCTCTTTGGGGTGTGGAAGGGGCACACGGAGACGTCATTGCGTATGCTTGGCGAACCTCTGTCATTTTGGAGTCACTTGATGCAGCTCTGATTAAGGCTTCCCCAAATTCATCTTCAGAAGCATCTTTGCCACGTTTTCAAGGGGAAAAAACCCCAAAGAAAGATGCGCTTCAAGATGAATAAAGGGAAGGCCTAATCTGAACGATAACGAAGGTGTCGAAATCCTTGTGGGACCCTGGGGAAGACCAAGGGTGCAAGGGCAATCTTCAGAGCACCTTTACGCCGTAAATCCGGTAGCAATGACGCAAACAAATTTGAGACTCGGAACCGTCCGTCGGGTGTTTCGCTGGCCGCGAATCCTATTGCGCAATTGCTTTGCGAGGGCATTACAAGATAGTGGACAATTGCTGCAAATGTTGCGAAACGCCGAGGAAAGGATGGCAGAACTCTAATTATACCGTTCCCCGCCAACAAGTATTGATGGGTGTACTAGTTTAGCTCATAGATGGACAAATTTTATCATGTTCTTGCTGCTTGTTAGAATTACACATACAGCACAAGCTACTTAGGAATAAAACACACTCACACTATATTTTAACTTTCGTATGTAATCGATTCTCATCATAATCTGTTGAAGAAGCACTACCGACGTTGTATGGTCACCCATGGCAGATGTGGCACTTTCGATGGTAGGTGAAGACGTATTCGGATGAAGGAAGCCGATAGAATGTTCAATCTATATCTCGAGAGCTTCATGTGACCTTTCGCTTTATTCTGAAATCGATTTGCTTTGATTGTACTTGTTGAAAAGCAAGACGAAGACTGAGAGTATGATCCTCATAGTACTCAGTTTTTCTTTTTGCCAGGATCAGGAAGAAAGGCACCGGCCACATCTGCAAAGAAGTAGAACTGCAAAAAGTTCAGGTCCCCCTTAGTGTGCTGCACATTACAGAGCGACTCTGTTTGATGTGCATGGACGAAAGCAGACTGCTCATCTCGAGAGAAAAGTACAGAATCGGATTTAGTCCTCTTGACGTTGACCTGCGTAGTACCACTGCACTACAAATACAATCGCAAGTTTGAAATTTGAGCGCGAGAGTGACTGACAAAAGACCTGCACTCACTTCTCCCACAAAAAAGCTAAGTACTTTGGAGTAGAAGTCATCATTTTCTCTCCTGACTTTATTTTCATAAATCTTTGTGGGGGGGGTCATAGTGTGAGTTTCAATGAAACGATGAGAGCAGTTGACTGAATCAATAGTTGTGAGCTACCACTTATGTGTTTAAGTAGAAGGTTATTTTCCTCGTGGTAGTGGTTTTGTGACGCGCGCAACATCTTGAACTATGGGCGCACTACACGGTGAAGACGAGCCGCAGAAAATCGGCGTGCGAGCACCTACCTACAAGACGCCCTCGTCGTCTTTTGACCGCTTAACTTCGTCCGTACTTACGAACACTACGAGTAGTCCCTCTAAGATAGGCGGGATTATCACCAGAGCTGGCGGCGCTCAGGGGATTCAGCAAGTCGACCAGCATAGGAGGAGAACAGCAATAGGAGGAGGACCTCTGTCGCCTGTTTCTGGCGTCGCGCCTCTACCAGACTACGTGAAAGACCGATGTTCCCGACAGACCGTGAGTCAGAGGTTAGACCTCCTACGGCATGCGGCAAACGATGCGACCTCCAGTCCTAGTCGATTTGATCGGCCAGGAGGCAGAAGCGGGCCGTCCAGTCCGTCTCAGAAGATTCTTAGAAGTGGTTTTCAACACGACGAAAAGCACTTCGAAGTACAGAGCGCGCTGTCAACTTCGCCGCCGGGAGGGCGACCATTGAAGGTTCTTAACAATTTTAATTTACAGATACTAATTCTTGATTTTGATTCTGGCTGCTCTCTCATGATGTCAACATTTTTGATTGTTATTTCACCTTTCAGATGAGCGATGCAGAGCGTGCAGAGATGACAAGTCCGTCTAGACTGCGAGCCTCGCAGAAGATCCGGACCAGCTTGTCGAAAGTACCAGAGCTTCTGATTAGAGCTAACAACTACAAACCTGACAAGCATGCATTTATGTGTAAGTAAGTATCAAATAAAGATTTGAATGCGATATGGATATCTTCATCTGACGCTGACCAAAGCATGAATTTATGTGTAAGTATGTAAGTAAGTAAATCAAAGAATTAGACTGCCGCGCGGCAGTCTGCACTGAAAACTGTGCGAGATTAGTTGTATTGTATTGCATCTTCATCTCCTGCAAACTAAAAGGTAATCCTTCCTGAACAACGTGGAGCAGGTCTAGCGGGTACAACGGCTATGCGATCGAGGAGTAGTCCACCGAAGGACCAATCACGCAGTGTTCCAGGACTGTCTGATTTTTTATCCTCCACTGCTGTGTCCTTCGCTAGTGGTGCAGCTGCAGCGACATTTCTCGACGGGAATCGGAGTAAGGGCACGCTCGATGATCCTAGTATGGATCGGACTTTTGCAGTTATTGGTGGAGGAGCAAGCACTTTCTTAGGAGGTGGATCACGTGGCGGATCCAGTCCGCCTACCACTAAGAGTCTTCTGTCGCCGACATCGAAACTCGGACTCATGGTCGGCGAAGATTTTACGTCTCGAAGTCGCCACAACCGGAAGGAGAATCTGCCTTCACGATTCCTCTTTCCTGGTCTTGAGCGCGAGTCGGATCGTTTGCGCGAAGCCTCTATGTCTCAAGTAATTGCTGGAGGCGGAGGCGCATCATCTTCAGGATCACAAGCGGGGGTATCAGCATTCTCTTATTTGTCCGGGACAACCACGACACAGCAGCAACTTCATGAACTTCCGACGAGTGGGGCAGCGACCACAACTTCTGCGACTAGTGGCCCAGCTTTAGGAGCTTCTTCAAGAACGCCTGTCGCCGTGAGTGGAGGCACGACAGGTAGCTTTTCACATGGCCGAATACGAGGAGGGCCTTTCTCGCGGTGGCGAGAGGCAAAGCTAGAAGCAGAGTACGACTCTCTGATGAAAAGTTTAGTGCCTGTGCGCGATGTCATCTGGAACACCGCGTCTCCGAAGTCTGCGTCTGGCGGAGCATTAACAGCATTACCTCTAGGTGGGCCATCGTCTTCTAGTACTGCAGTTGGTCTCTCGAGTAGTAGTACTAGTTGTACTGGTCGGTCTGGATTCGTGCCTCAAGTTCAAGTAGGAGGAGTGCCTCAGGCAGGAACTGCGTGTATTACTGCGGGAGCAGCTGCTGTGCGATCTGCGGGAGGAGGAGGTCCTGACGTGTTGTCAGCAAGCCATGCAGCGCGGGATCAAAATCAAGTTTCGGATTCCTTCTGGTCACGGCGCCTGCCGTATTGGGAGAGGCTAGCGAAGCAAAGCGAGAAAAGTTTTATGGGTAGGTTAAAGGCGTTCGTGTTACCGTTTGTTTTGCCTTACCTAAGAAAGAAAGGCAGAACAAACGGGAAACAGAAACACGAAAACCCTACCTCTAAAAGTTCGACGACACTCGTGGGGCTGAGATCGCAGATGATGGATGATCTGACTGCTACAGGCCTCGACCGCATCAACTTGGCAGAGGACAAAAGCAGCATCGATCTTTTAGAAGAGCGGCTGCTGCGCTTGCGACGACCGAGTTTGTTCGGCGATCTGCCGGCGGAGCCGATTGCAGTCTCCTCGCACGCTAGGGCACTTTCAGTTCCGCCACCGCTTGACGCGTTTAGCGCAAAGGGAGAGCTCACGAGTAGTCCTAGCTCCAAATTTTTAGATCCGCGTTCGGCAAGTGCAGAACGACCAGCTTATAGTTTGGGTGCTGTCGGACATCATCAGCCCTCTCCAAGTACTAGAAGTCCTTACAACACAATGTCTGGATCTGGCACAGGTGGAGGACGAGGACTTCAACAGCAGTCCTCACTGTCTCAATTTGAGCTTCCATTAGTAGAACAAAAACGGCAAAAAAAAATGCAACAGCGAGAAGCAGAGCTGCTGAGATATGAGAGGCATAAGGCAGCAGCGCGCGAACTGGCTGAGGTGAATAAATTGCTGAAGAGCTGCAAAAATCGATTTTTCACAGCAGAAGAGGTGTTGGATTACCTCGAAGAGCGCACTTCGGTTCCTCCTGCTATGATAACTCCTACTGCGGATCAGCTTGATAATTTGACCGTGACAACGCCGAACTACGATACACCGACTACTAGTACTGGTCGTCCACCAGGAGGACAGCGCAGAGATACGAGTCAATCAGGAGGAGGATTGGTTCGACAGTCACAGTTTCCTCGCGGACAGGGGACCACTAGCAGTGCAGCAGCTCCTCTTGGACGAGGTAACAACAAGGCTTGCAACGTCGTGATCAACCCACATCACGGTCCGAAGCGGTCCCGACAGCAGGAAATTGAAGATCGACTCCGTAGTCGTAGTGCAGGTCCGCCAGGAGTTGTCCAAGGATCATCGAGCTGCGTTGTACCTTCGCAGGGGAGGCACGGACGACCATTACCGACGCCACTAAGTAGTACAATAGAAGATGGTGGTCCGCGAAGTCGTAGTGAGGAGCGAAATCGCCTGGGAGGTGGTGTCGCAGACGTGGCGCGGCGCCGCTTTCAGCCGTCGCCTGGTCTGCAGAGGGATGCACTGAGTGCGACTGTCGATGGACAAATACGAAGTGCTGCTGCATCTGTAGAGGAATTAAGGCTTACCGTGTTCATCTTCATACTACTCATTTAATATACTCAGTAAGGTAAACGCTGGCTTCTCGCTGCGTCTGTTGATTTGATGACTCTACGCAGGGTGATTTTGAGTTATTCGACACTGCGAAAAAAGGTTTGAAGTTCGTAAGAAACTGTTGACACCTCTTCTAAGAACCGCAGCTCCGTTGAAAGGCAGCAGGAGTCACGAGCATCTGCTTTATCGAGAGGCAGTTGGACAGCGGAAGCACCATTACATCCCTCAGGCGACAACGATTGCATCACGTGGGAAACGTCGAGATGGCCAGGATCATGGTGATGTCCTCTCGTCGAGCATCGGTTCGAGCGTCGGTGGCAAGGGACCTCCAGGTCAGCATGTCGTTGTCGGTGAGGGCATCATCTATCGCGGGAGTCGTCGGAGCGCGTCAGCATCGACGACGAAGAAGGTGAAGTCCTCTGGCAGTGGGGGCTATTATCCCACTGCTGGAGGCGGGAGCAAGGCCAGACGAGGAATGTTGGCTTCGTCGCCGGGAGCAGGAAAGGATGGAGCAGACAGGAGTAGCTACCACCAGTCTGTGGGCTATAATCCAGACCGACGGATTTACACGAGGACTACGCGCGCTGGGAGCAAAGACGCGCCGCCGCCCACTAGTGTCGGCGCTCGCGCTGCGTACCTGTCCGCCCTTAGTGTCGCGGATGAGGTGGAGCGGGTCGGCGAACAAGGACCTCCTGGAGTCGTGCGGCATCCACCTCTAGAAGCAGACCATTATGAGCCGCCATCTGAAATATTACCAGTTGCACCCGGTGCATCGGATGAACCTATTTACCTTACGTTGGAGCCTACGAGTCGGAACAATGCTAGTAGTGGGAGACAAAAGAACGACCAAGCAAAGCAGAAGGGACGTTCAAACTCAGCTCATGGGGGCAGGAGTCAGCGGCGTGGCAGCGCGCCTGCGGCGCTGGCGTCCCCAGGAGTGATGGAGGACAGGAGAAACGAGGTAGAGCCTGACTACGACGAGTTTAGCGCTTGGTATGTGAAACCAGAAAAAACTACTGCTCCATCTGGAGGACGCAGCGGCAAAGGCAAAGCTGGTGGAGCGAAGAAGAAGAACAAGAAAGTAGAACAGGCTTCGCGTGCGGATGTTGGAATGTCCTCGAGTCGTACTACGAGACCAGCGGGCCCACGAGACCAGGAGAAAGAGCGTCAACGGAGACGCGAGCCGGCTTCTAATAATGAGTTCGAGTTTGCAGAGATGCAGGTCGTTGAAGATAAAAGTCGAGGGTCGAAAAAGCACGCCTCTAGTAGTACTCAAGCTGGGCTTTCTTCATCGTCTGCAAATGTAGAGTTTCAGCAACATTCAGGAACAATCGATAATAGAGGAACAACGCAGCCTTTCGCTGTTATCGATATGTCCTCAGGGGCGTCGCGCAACGGCAACGGGGCGAACGCGAACGAATTAGTTGCTGGAAGTGGTGGCACTATTAATGGTCTTTTTGGCGACCCTGTCTACGAACTGAAGCAGAAAATGGCTAGCCCTAAGTGCCTTTCGGTTCAAGGGACAACTACACGGACACGAGGATCGCCACCCGCATTCCAAAAAAGCTATCTTTACCGTACGCTCGAAGCCAGAAACGAGTACGCCAAGCAAGTAGCCGGGAGACCTCTCTATGCGGTTGTAAATAATGTTGCTACTTCATCAGGGAGAGCAGCAACCAATATGATGAAGACGCGTGGCGGTGGCACAAGTAATATGGTGACACACGACACCAGGAGTTCAGTTTCAACAAATTACACGACAGGAGGTCAAGTTCAGTCTGGAGGTGGTGGCGGAAATTCGAGTTTTGTTCATCCTGTAGAAAGAGATGTTGCGCAGGAGGATCAGAATCAACGAGCTAGTACGTCTTCATCTTCAGCTTTTTCTAGGTATTTTGCGATGAAACATAGAGAACAGTCTCTGTCACCACAGAAGCCACAACACGCACAACCTTCTGGAGGAAAAGGTGTTGGAGCAAAGAACAAAGATAGGATTGCGCATGGTGCGCCACAACAGAACAACTATCAGCTGTTCTATTCGAACGAGCAGGCCGTGCAGGACCAAGGTCATCAATGTGGAAAACTTGCTGAGCCTGCTGACTCGCCAAACTTGAGCGAAATCGAGTTACTGCACAGTGAGGCAAAAGCTCATGTTGGTATGACGGGGTAGTTCAGTCACTGAAATGGTTAAACTGGGTACAACTCCTACTCAAGTTTTCAGTCTGTAAGTAAGATAACGGATGTAGAAGAATCCCCAATCCATCGATCCTTCCTGCAGTCCTTCTTTCATCTACGTTACGAAGAACAGCCATAGTGCGAACAAAAACGCAGCAGCTGTGCCGCGGTTGGGATTACCAGGATCACAGATTGGTCCGACCGACGACATCTTTAGACAGCGAGGGTTAGCTACAATCGCAGAGCAACAGCAGAACTCTCATTCGCAACAGAACTCTCAACAGACACAACAAGGTCAAGGTCCTTTCGTACACATGCAGGATGGTGACCATTTACTTGCATTGTCGCCATTGGCAGAGCATCTTCTAGGAGCAGGACGGCGCAGTGGAGACCCGACACGACGCGAAGAGGGTACTAGTGCTTCTTCGTCGTCTTCCTCGAGTACTAGTGGTCCTCCTCATGCAGAAGGTTGTCAAGAAGTGCTCTACAATCAGTTTTCTGCTTCAAGAACAAGGGCCTACAAAGCTAAAAGGGATGGCACTACTAGCAACGTGGCACGACCTGAAAAGTCTTGGTCGGACATGGGTGCAACTTTGTTGGCAGAGAGCGCCGCACCACTGGCCCAAGACCCATTCGCTAGTAGTTCTTGCGCAACGAGTACGAACAACGGAGGGCAACGAAGTGGCTCGTCATCATCGGCAGCTTCAGTATCCGGACAACCAGTCCAGCCTTCGTCCAGCAGTAGCAGTGTTGCTGACGGGACGAGCACGAGTCCTCTCCCTTCGGCAGCGGTTGTTTCCGGAACAACAACTGCGAAAATGGTAGCAAAGGACCACCAAAAAGATGAAGCATGGCGAGAGCATCGAGAGCAGCCGAATACAATAGTCGGTCGAACGCGAACTCAGTTACAGGAATTCGAGCAAGAGGTGTCTTTTGAGCTTTCTCCTTCACCGATGGTGGACTCACCTCCTGACGAAGGTCTATTAAGGGTAGGTTAAAGGTGCTTTTGCTATACCGTTTGTTATGGCTCTACTCTCCCTTAGGAGGTGGGGACAGCCATAACAAGCGGGATAAACGAACACCAAAAACCTACCTCTAAGTCTAGTTCTTCTTGATAGTACGAAAAGTAGCAAAGGAGGAGCGACGAAAGCAGATATGCCGCAGCCAAATGATTACCACGTCCCAATGAGTATAAGAAACTGCGATAGTATGAATATGATCAGTACTAGCAAAACTTCCTCCAATACGTCCAAGCAACAAGGCTCTTCTGAACAAGTACAAGCGGTCAGGGAACAAGTTCAGGATTGTGAGCAGCAGATGAAAAGGAGTAGTCCGCCATCTCTGTTTGGAAACCGGCCTGCTCGCATGAGGAACGCAGCAGCATTTTCCGCTAGCGCTTCAAAATCTTCGCCGTCGCCGCAGCAGCAAGAAGAGCTGTTGTCCCTTCGTCGCATGCTAGAGGAAAAAGAATCGCGCTTGTCCGAGTTGCAGAAGCAGATATTGCAACCCGATGAAGTGCGCAAACTCGCAACCCTATTGGAGGAGCTGAAAAATCGCAGAGAAGAAACGGGAAAATCGCCAGCGAGTGTGATCAGGTAGAAGAAGATGAAGAAGGAGAAGCCTAGCGACAAAAGAAAATTATTGCACTAGAAGTAGTTTCTCTAGAGTAGTTTGAGTTTCAGTTTTTTTGTTTATATCACATGTCTTTTTTTTGATTTTGAATAAATATGGAGGAGGTTCATCGGTGTTCGGAATAATTCTGGTCTATCATTACGCAGATTTCGTGACGGTAAGGTTACGATTATACGTATGTTGATATTGATTTCACTGATGAGTGGAAACACATTGTGCAAATTTTTCATCTGTCTCGCAAAGAGAGGTTAGATTCGCAAGTATGTGCGCCAATAACAAAACTAATATTCACATTGATTTTTTTCGTTTCACAATAGAGCAAGTGACATCTGCTTCGCGTCAATATACTGTTAAAGTTAGAGTGGCAGTTTGGAGTTACGTAAATATGAGTTTGAGTATGGAGGACATGATCGAGGACTCAGTTTGTAGGGGTAAACAAGCATAGGATTTCGGTTAAGAAGATTGTCGTCGGCATTGTGATACCACGACACGATGACCGTCACGAGCCACAATAAAGGGTGTTACAATGAAGGCCGAAAAAGACAGAGAGAGCCGATGGCCGTCTTCATTGAAAGAGTGTTCCGGTGTTCTGCATTGAAATAATTGATGCACGATTTAGAGATCATCTTGCATTGCTAATCGATAGTCCGCAGAGCAACGATGTAGATCCATGCATCCGAAGTCTGAAGCACCGCAAGAGATCCTAGAAAACAACTTAGCGGAGTAAGTCTGTTGCAAGAGTACTAGACATCTGCTACAGATTAAGTAGCTAGTGTTGATGCTCGTCCGAACAAAAAAAACATGATGGCGTCGCGTGGTTCTCAGAATGCGGTCTGGGCTGGGAACGAAAACCCTCTGACAGAAACATCCGTAGAAACTGGATCAAGGCGTAGTCTCAATCTCATCCTTGATTTTTATCTATCATCCTGCTCATAAAAACCCGACGTTTCGACGTGGCGCAAGGGGCCTACACCGAGCCCCGAACTTGGCGGATGAACAAGGAGATGGGAGCAAACTGTGAGGCAGTGAGAAGTGGAAATGTTAATGAAGTAGAACGGGAATTTTCCGGGAAGACGAAGCACAAGCAAAAACACTCTGCTGCAGGCTAAGAGTTTAGTTGTATGGGGAAGGCAAAGAAGGCGAGGCATTGAGCTTTTGTACATTATTTCGAAATGGAAACCATTTGCAGCCACAGGCTAAGACTTTTGTATCCGAAGCAAGTAGAAAGCAACAAAATTTGTAACACGTTACGCGCACATCGGCATTACCTTCAACATCACTACACAAACACACTCTAAACACGCACGCCACGACTTTTGTATTGGAAATAGCAATGACGAGACAGGTTCAGGTATACCATCGGAATATTGGAAATAAAAATATATTATAGGCGCAGGCCATTGGAACTAAAAATACATAGAGGCACGACTTACCGTGTCCACAAATGACAATCACAACCAGGAGAGGCTCCTCCAACAAAGATCTGCATTCGCGATATGGGCTTTCCTTGTCAGCAGGGTAATTTCATCATTCCTTTAATTATTGGACACTTCTGATTTCTGACACTGACATAAAAATCGAGAACGAAGGAGATTATTACATTATCGAGAAGGAGTGGTATTACAACAGGTTAGCCCCATACTTGACCTCCTCAAAGAGTCCAACCCATACCCAACACCAACGAACAGGCGTGCTCGTCTAAAAGATGGTTCTACACCTACAATCTTGTCGTGCTCGCCGTGTAACGTCTCACTCTATTATTCTCAATGTCCTGCCTCTGAGCATAAATCAAATTACTAGTTGTAGACTACGCCCCATCGAAGTTAACATTGATACCTTATGAAAGATTGATGAAAAATGGCAGCTCCAGACGAAAAGAAAAATGACGCTACCACACTCCCAGAACAAAAAAAGATTCTCATTTTGGGAGGTTCTACATTCATGGGCAGGACGCTAGTAGAGCGTCTTCTGGCCCGTAAGGATGTAGGCCTTGTGGTGCTTGTAAATCGCGGAAGAAGCTACTGGGTTCCTAAGAACGACTCTAGAGTAGAGGAAGATGACACTGCTAGAGAAGACCCACGCGTTGTCCATATCAAGGCCGATCGGAGACATAAGGAGAATTTCACGGAAGCAATACGCGCAGTGTCGCAGAAGTATTCTTCTCGAAGGGAAGCACCCACCGGCACTCAGAACCTCGCGTTCACGTGGCATGCAATCATCGATTTTTCTGCTTTTGACCGTGAGGATATCGAGTGCGTGTGTGCGGCATTTCAATCCACTTCTGGGAGTTCAGTAGCCAATGGACACAGAGCTGACGTTGGAACATCATCAATCACTCGCCGACCGTTTTATGTTATGGCCATGACCACGATCACGTATTCATCGCGCATTTTCTGAAGATCAAGATCTGCATTAATTCAGCAGACATAAGTAGTTTCCGTTTCGTTGTTCAACTATCGCGGTATGTTGTCTAAGTAGGGCTTACAATTCTAAGTAATTCCATCTATATTTCTTGTTCCGATCCGATCGGGTGTATGAACAAGTGTGACTTCTGTAAATTGATCTACATTTCCTCGGATTCTGTGCATGAACAAGTGTGGCTTCTAAATTGATCTACATTTCCTCGGATTCTGTGTATGAGGTGTGCGACTATGGCAGTGTAGACGCCTTGTGTGAGGCAGACGCGGTTCGTCCTGATAGTCCGCGTAAGCGAAGAAAATTGAATAAAGCGGACGACTATGGCGATGGCAAATTGCAGGCTGAAGAAGCGCTTGCAGATGCTGTCACAACTGGTGAAGAGCACTATGCTTGTAAGCACAAAAGATCAGGGACCTCGACGGACAACTTTGTTACACCACAGTTGGACAACTTTGTTACACCACAGTTACCTTGTTGTAAGTTACCATTTCAGGTAGTTTCTTTGCGTCTTCCCGACGTAATTGGGCCGTTTGACGACACTGGGCGCTTGTGGGCGTACTGGCTCTGGCTGCATTCCGGAGAACCGATTTTGGTGTCTGATCGGGATGCGGCACAGCCCTTAGCAGTTGTTTTCTCAGGAGATGTTGCGCGCTTCATTGAGGGCCTCCTTTCTTTAGAAACCACGACGAAGAAAGGTGGATCCTTTGAGCCTGAGGATCGCTCTCGGGATCACCTTCAGTCCACGTCATCTCCGAAACAAGAAAGCAGCAGATTAATGTTAAGGGTAGGTCAAAGGTGCTTTTGTTACCGTTTGTTATGGCTCTCTCCCTTAGGTGGGGACAGCCATAACAAGCGGGATAAACGAACACCAAAAGCCTACCCCTAATAATGGGCAGAGAAAAGTTTACAAGAACATCTTCGTTGAAAGATGACATTCGGGCAGTGAATTTAGGATGCACTTCGCAGCCGTACCTCCAGGATCACTTGCAGACGCTGCGGAAGTGTATTACGCGTCGGCTCAACAAAGAATTAGGCGCTCGTGGAGTAGCAAATACTGACAAAAATGGAAGCAATATTAGCAGCATTGCAGCTGCTGTTAGCTCAACTTACATAGCTCCTGTGCGAGAGGCACACGAAGCATCGCAAGCGTCGAAAAATTATAAACCTGACGAGCCTCGTCCAAGAGCAACGCCACAGTTTCTGCCTTCGGTAAATCGTATGGTCCCTTTGGATTTTTAAGGCTCAGCAACTGACTTTCTACACACTGTCTGACAACAAATAGTTGTAAGATCATCACCATTGCTTTCTAATGTTTCTCACGCCTCCGCGAAGAATTCGACTGGTTCCAGCCCACACTACTGCCTGAAGTGTATGCTCAGTGCGACGCTTTTTTCCAGAAGGCGGTTGAGAAGTACCCATCGGAGCTTAGACACGCGTTCCGCAAACTTCCAAGAAGAGTACGGGACATTAAGGCTTTTTAGTATAACTTCTAGTTTATTGCACGAGCTAGCGTAGGTATACTAGTTGTTTTTACTTCAACATTTTCTGCATTTCCTTGGTAGCAGAAGAATGAACCTCGTTGACTACTAATGCGTAACTCTTGGTGAACGCACCGTTTCTCAAGGATCTAGCAGCAGACTTGGCGAGCAGTTCGGACGACAGCACATCCTCGTCCTCGCATTCTGAAACAACATCAGAGGATGAAACAGAAGTAAAGAAGGGAATCTGACGATGAAACAACATCTGACGACGGGTTGAAATAGAAGTAAAGAATGGAAAAGTACGTAAAAATGTCTAAGTACAACTACAAGGATCGTAAGTGACGCGCCTGCTTATGCCGTTCTCAATATGGGGCAAGCCATGCGATGGCGTTCGCGTGGTTCCTCTTTCGTTCGTTGTGGTCAAGCCCACTCTACGTCTACTTACTCTACCACAAAACAAAACAAGAACACAGGGGGGACCGGATGCCGGTTGGTATCGGTCGGCCCGTCTAATCTTACGAATTCTCCAACAGCGTCTGACGATGAAAGAGGGACGAAACAACAATAGCAAAGTTCATCTTACCGTAATTATAGTGCGCCCAGGTTTTTCTTTTTCATGGCGGTAGGTAACGATATTGCGTACTTACATGGAAAAGCAATAGAACTCATGTTGACCTACAAATTACAGGTCATTGCTCGCTCTTTTTTTCCTGAATGCTTTCATGTGGTGTTCCCGAAAGCGGCTCTCGGTGCAGTTCCTAAACCCGAAAGGTTGGCTTTAGATTTTGTTTCTTCTTCCCCTATTTTTGATCAAGCACAGAGACAGATGACTGTTTCTCATGGAGAGCCCGAGTTAGACACCCTCTTTGAGAGCAGACCGAGTTGTTGAGGATCAGATATCCATTCTCTTTGGATTCTTTTGAGGATCCGTTGCTCTCATTGAAACACTCATCAAAACAAGGAGGATCATCTCACCCTCAGCAAATGACAACCATGAGAGTGCTGCTGTTTTCCTTGCTATTGCACGTACAACGTGCGTGTCATTACGGCGTGGTTTGCGCGGTTTTGAAGCATAACAATAAGAGCGTGAACCGGGGGGTGGATAAAGAAGAAGGATCCGCAACGCCATCACAGACCTGGAAGACCATGGCAACCGAACGCGACCTACAGCGATGGCGGAGAGTAATCGAGAATCGACAGAAACAGCAGCTTGACTACCTATTTTTAGATGAAATATTCAAGAATGTAGCGAACAAGAATTACGATGCGCGCTCGCGCGGGTTTCGCTCGTCTTCTCCCTGCTCCACGTCGATCACACTAAAAAAGGAAGTGCTAAAAAAGGAAGTGCTGCTGGTAGACGAGGTAGATGAGATGGCCCAGTTGCGACAGAAATTCTTACGATTTGATCTGGAACAAGTAGGCTGCTACAGCGACCGCGAAGATTTGGCACCACAAGAAGAGGACTCCGAAGAAGATAGCGACGAGGACGATGAGGATTCTGCTTCGTCCGACGGTCAGAGGGAAGTTAAGAGTAGGTTAAAGGTGCTTTTCTTGCCGCTTTTTATGCCTCTCCTAAGGGAGAACAAAGGCATAAAAAGCGGGGTAAGCGAGCACCAGAAACCTACCTCTAAGGAAGATGACGATGACGGAGATGTTGAGCTACCGTGTCCGAGTGTCCTGGACAATAGGGACGACCATCCGGCTGTCAGTAATATCTACCATAGATTAAAAAGGTCAGCTTTTATCCATCTTTCTCGGCATCTCGGTACTACCCTTTTCCCTTGTATTCTCATGAAATACAAGGTAAAAGGGGTCAAGATGAGGGGGCCGAGATGCAATCTAGCAGGCTCTAAATAGATCCGCTATCAGCGACGAAGATGATACAGATATCGACCACGAAGATGAGGAAGAGAATCATGAAGGTCTCCTCGGAGGCAAGGTGCTGGAAGATGACTGTGGTGGTGCGGCAGAAGGAAGTCAAGGGCCCTTTTCCACAGTAGACAGGAGACGGAAGAACGCTGCCGAACACCAAATGGGATCAAGAGTTCTAGCGGAGCGAAAAACGTTATGGTTGTAGCTAGTAGATTTCTGCAGAACTTGTGGAAAATCTAGATCAAGAAGGAGCTCATCTTTGCATGCTTATACTGCAGCATCTAGCGAAATATTCCGGGACCACCCCGGCGCGATATGCCTACCCTAGAACAAGGAACTAGATGTCATGACCCATGATCGATGTTCTTTAACTCTAAAAAGTACTGGACTACTTTCGGCGAACCCCCTCGCTCCTGAACAGGAGCAAGACAACATTTTGAAAATGCAAAGAAAACTACCTCCTGAAGCATTTCTAGGGCAGCGACAGACTTCGGACCGAGACGAGCGACGAGGTCGACCAAGAGCTAATCGGCGAGCCGCGACTCCCGCTCCCAGAACAAATCGGCGAACAATTACAACTTGTATGGGAGAGGACGTATTGATTGATGCCATGTCTCACTTGAGTATCAGGAGTCCATTAGCGAGTGCTGCTTCTCCGAGAAGTAGTCTGACTTCGGCCAGTCCCACGTCGTCCACCCGTGATCTTCAGGAACAAGATAAAGGTAGAAATGCTAGTGGCAGTCCTAGTGGAAAGATGAACATGAAAGGCAAGCGCAAGGATGGTACTACTTCTAGTAAGCTTGGAATATCATCTACTAGAGGTGGTTCAGCACCCGCTGCAAATCAGAATTTCAGAAACTGGCCACGAGGCAAGACCTCCGGGAAGAAGCAACAAGCGGCACACGACATGACGAGGTCTTCTGGCGGCAAAAAAGATTCTCCAAAGAACGCCAATCTACTGCATTATAGGAATGTTGATTCTGAGCATCTTTTAGTTCCTGAACAAGATGGCGATGAAGATCATTATTACTCGGAGTTCGCTAGTAGTAGTACATTATCAACAAGTGCTTGTACTAGTAGAAACCCAGCAACTTCTTCTGCAACGACAACTTCGCCTGTACGAAAAGGGGCAAGGAGTTGCCTGCGCCTGGGGTGTGTAGTGTTTATGTTTATACAAGAGCTCCTCCACTTTTTGCGTAAGGTGGCAGACGCGCACATGTCTGTGTTTCGGCAGATGCAGACTAACACAAAAGCAGGCCTTTCGGTGAGAGAGCAGTTCGCGGCATCGGGTGAAATGTTTCGCACTTTCAAGCGCGTGCCTGTCACGTCGCTTGCGAAGTTATGAAATACTTACATTTATACTTCCACTTACAATCTGCCTCTGCGTTAAACGGCCTACAATCTAATCCAATCGTCATCATATTTTCTTCCACTTACTTGGAATCTTCCTACGACTACTAACTTTACTTGAGTTTCCATCCACCGAGAATCCTACGAAGTTATGAAATGTTATACATCACGAAAACCTACGACTACCTTTCTTGAGTAGGACTAGGTCCTCCATCTGGTCTGTTCAATGAATCTCGGAAAGCACCAGAAGGTCCAGAAGGTCCTCCTCTAACTACAACAGTTGAACGCGTTCCGGAATCAGTACAGTGCCCACACGGCTACTTCTCGCCGCTTCAGAACTACAAATTCTACGCACGAGACAAGGGAGTGATAGTGCGTGCATTTGCACGCATGTTGGAGGCCGCTGATCGGATAATGTGTGCTGCGGTAGATTAAGGCTTGCACGACTAATTCATCTTGTTGAGATGCATCTTTGTTCCCTTTTTCAAGGGAACAAACTACAGACTGTGAGGATGCCTTTCAAGCTGAATATAGGCATCAAGGTCTAAGTAGACGCCCCATACCCTTTGTGGAACCAACAGACTGGCGACGTTCTTGGTCCTGAATGTGAGCGAACCTTTCGACGGCTGAATGCACGACGGCGTTTGCACAAACTGGATGGGGAGGACGAGGGCAAGAAAAAGGAAAAAGGAAATAGAGGGCATTATAGTACTCCACAACAGCCAAAGAAGGGAACAACTAGAAGCAACGCGGCTCGTCGTGGGGCTCCATCTAGTGAGTCTAGTGCTTGTTGTAAAAAGGATGGCTCTGCTAAAAGTCTCAATACGAGTCAGAACCAAGCCTCAACGGAAGTAAAAGAAGGTAAGAGCATTGGTTGTTCGTCTATGCAGGAGAAGCAAGAACTGCTGGATGAATACAAGCCGACCGGAGAAACACTGGCTTCAGCTGCTGCAGTCTCCTGTGAAGCGCCAGAAACAAGAGGAGGCGAAAATGCTGCTTTCCACTCCTGCCAGCCTATCAAGAAGATGCAAGAACAGCACAAAAATGCCGAAAGCCACCGCACAGGAGTTGCAGGGGCCAGTGTCGAAAAAATGTCGGGCGGGGTTCAACAAGGCTCTAGTTCGCGTTCGATGGCAAGACGGCGACAAGCACGCAGACAAAAATCGCAATTGGAGGAACACAGAGATGTTCCAGGTGTTGAAGCAAGCACAAGAATAATGGCATGTAGTGACAAGAATCCTAGAATCGCAGAAGACGGTTCTGGTCCAGATGTCCATTGTGTAGTTTGTAGTGGTTGTGCTAGAGGCGAACAAGACCAGCAATTAGTTCGTCGCGAAGAGGACAAAGAAAAAGATAGGAGGACTGTTTTGGCTTGTCTACCAGCTGAGGTGACGGCTCGTTGGAAACAGCTGCGCAGCTTGCTTCGATGCATCTTGTGTGGTGAGCCAGAAGCGGAGAAGTCTTCGTGTTTTAAGGCTACAGTCAACACTATCTGGTGGCGTTGACTATGCTGATTGGATTTTGAGGGGGGATTCATTCTAAAAACTAGGGGGAAACGGAAGTAAAAAGGGGATCCATTCAAATCAGCCAGGGATAGTCCAGGGATAGTGATTGACTGGCATCGTTAAGTCGTCTGGTGAGCGCGAAGAGACGACGACCCATAGGGAAGCAGCGAGACTGACCGATGAAGAGCGGACATTGAGAGCAGCAACTAACCTGAGTGAGGCACTATGCGTGACGTTCGGTCTTTTTGTGACCGTCCAAGGAGTGCAGATGATGCTAAACGATGTTTTCGACCCCGATCACGTGCATGCTATGGATGATGTTTTATCCATTTTTACAACCATGACCATCCTCCTGGCACTGCTTTGAATTTCAAGAGAAAAAATCCCAATCATTGCTCTACTGTTTCGATGGAAAAAATAATACATAATTCATACATGCAGAAACGCAGACGCGTGTACGGGAAAAGGGTGCGATTTTTATCCTGCTTACAGTGCTGAACTGCATGAACTCAATGAAGTTGATGAAGTCGTTATTCGTGACGCACTTCCTGAATCATCCAGTGGACAACCGTGATAGTCTGTACGTAGCACAGACCTTGTTATTCTGGAGTGTCGCTATCGAAGCCGAGCTCTTGCTTGAGAAATCGAGAGAAGAGGAAGCGAGCAACGCTCAGCAAGCAGAGGCAGGAGCCAGTGCTCAAGCAGATGAGGCAAGAATGAGCGCTCTTGTAGTTATGGGAAAAGAGGCCGAGAACGAAACGGGCGACGAAAGGAAGATGAATTTGGACGTTATGGCAAGACTCATCATGGATCAGGAGGAAAACCGGTCATTTTGCCAAGACGAGGCGACACCGACAGCGGATCAGATAAAGCGACAAAACAGAGCTACTGACGTGGCAATGGCAGGTGCAGAAGAAGACCGATGCACGGACTTTTCATCTTCTTGCGAACCGACGAAGACCAATGACAGTCCTCCTATTCCTACCTCTACGGATGCGCCAGAAGATGAATTTTCATCGTTAGAGTTGTATCAACAAAGTAGACGACGACTTTGCGGGTGGATTAATAGTTACTTCGGCGCCGAGATCTGGCTCCTTATTTTAAGGCTTCCCGTAATTCATCCCTGTGTATCCAGACCCCTCAACGATGAAGCATATGCGAGTTGTATAAAGGATAAGGAGGGATGGTTCCTCTATCTGTAAGAGTAGAAAGAAGCATAAGTTCTCTAGCAATTGAATTCTTACATAAATCTACTCCGTCTTCTAGCTCTTCCTCGTCAGGACCTCTATAGTTCATCTATCTATATCCTCTTGAGGGATCTGCTCCTCATCTGCACAGGGATGCATTAGGGGTCGCTCGAATTATGGATCTTTCGCGCGTCGGTCAAAAATTTGCAAGAGGCGTATACCTCTCAGTGCGTGAAGACCTCGGCTTCCTAATCGAAAGCTCTCCTAGGGTATTCTGTGGCGAAGATGATAGTCGCGACACAGTCCCAGGAAGTGCTGCTGATGTGCTTTGTTGTAGTGAGAACGAGCCGCCAACAACAACAACATTTAGTAGTCCTACGAGCGAACGTGACCGTGAGGACGGTGAGCGCGAAGCGATTGACGTTCTAGATGCTGGAACACACACGGAAAATTATGGCTGTATGTTTTGCTTTTCTATTCCAATACATAGTTCAGCAAGAAATGCAGAATATTTATATTAATATAATTAAGAACATCAATGATGGATATGGAAGTCCTTAGTCACTACATTTTCACTCCATAGAAATACTGGTCTTAGAAAGTCCTAGGTTCGTCTTATTATAAGAATAGCAATGTCACAATACAAATGCTTGGTTGTTCACGAAGTTTTGTATCAGACAATGACCATGACCATGATCTCTGTCTAATTATGAAAAGAGCAAAGCAACAAGGGGCGAAAGAGTAAAGCCTGGAAGCGCAATCGAGCAAAAGCAGAGCAGTTCTTAGCTGATCAGGAAAAGCGCGCTGCTGCAGAAAGTTATTGCGGACGCTATGAGAACATCTGGCACACCCTCCTTTTCTTTTTTATCCTTGTTTCATTAACAAAGTGAAAGCAGAAAAGTCACACAAGTTCAAATCTCAAATTTTCCTGTGTCAGATAAAGCTTACTAAGTTGCCTCGTGTAGAACAAAACTGTTATTGCGGACGCTATGAGATGTAGATCTAGATGATTGGGATTGCATGATGAAGGAACTGTTCTACTACTCAAGCACATTTAAGAACAGCAACCGGTTAGCTTTCCCTCTACCCTTAGACTTATCCCTTCTTCAAGCAGACTACTCATCAACGAACAGGATAAATATTAATATTGACTACAACGAACTCCATCTCCAATAAAGATATATTTACAGAAACTTCGTCCTACAATCTCTACTTCAAATGTGTGCGATTAAATGGCAAGGTATGCGGTAGGTCAGGGTCAGCTATTTAGTGCCACATTCTAATCGAAAGGACAGCACTTTTTCCGCTTGCCAGAAGTCGATATCGAAAAGCTGCGCATGAACAAGCCGTTCATGGATCGCTATCGCTCTGTTGTACAGGGAACATCGAACATGTTCAAGCTGCACGCTCTGCTCGTCTCCACGCTTGTTTTATGATTTATTGTGTTGTGGCTTTGTTTTTTAGTACCTGCGTGCGCTTCGAGAACATGAGCAAGTTGTTTAAGTTGGATTTCGTCGAGACAGAGCGTGCTAGTATGTCCTCCCACCTTTCCATCACTCTAATTCGCGTTCTAAAAGCGCTGGATGTATTCGTGTACGACATCGTGGTTCTCGAAGACGGCCACTTGCCTGACCTCACCTCATGATTTCATTGATTGCAGTACAACTACCTAGACTTGCTTCTGAATTATTTTTAGAACTTATGAATCTTGTCCTTATAAAGTAGACGACCACGACCTGCGTGAAGAATTTTGCGTGGTAGTCTGAAAACTCAAAATAGTGAAGATTATGGAGCTGCTTATTCCTCCTGGCAACCAAACGATGATGACCAAAAGCGATGATCAATGAATCATCTTCGTAACTTGTGGTAACAAACTGACAGCACTTTTTGGTACAGATGATCATCAAGAATTCATCGCATGGACAAAATATATACATAGAATGACCAGTCGTGAATTATCTTCCTCGTAGTTTCTCATTACGTCATCTAAATCTAATGCGATCTGGAGTACTCAGTAACATAAGCCTTTTCCTATAACTTTTCCTCTATTCTAGTCCACCATGATTTATTTGTCCGCTACTTACAATTACAAATGACCTTCATCTCGCGGATGCCGTCTGAAGGGTTGTCCTCCTGTTTCTTCTTGTAAGTACCCTTTTCCTTTCTTTCTCATCCTGACATACTACAATGAAAATCAATGTAGTTTCATTGCATTTTTGTTTTGTTAATAAAGCTTCAGGTCCGTCACGCTAATGCTTCCGGTCCGTCACTGAGTAAGAAGTTTGACATGATGAGAATAGACACCATCCTCCATAATGAAGCGGCTTTCGCAGATTGTGGCTCCTCCATGCAGAAGTATTCTTTAGCTGCATAAGTACCCGCTCTTCAGGAGAATCGGTTCTGACCTCTACTTGACTGAGTAACCATTGCTGTATTAACACTAAGTAGTAGTTTCGTTGGTGCTGTAGTTGTAGTTACGGTCCTCGTACTTTGCATGACTGTGAGTGTGACCACAAGGTGAAAAGGTCAACATCGTCGTTCTCGTCAAGAGCAGTCGGGCTTAATGATCTGGATAATTGTCGGGGCAAACAGAGCACTCAAAATGATACAATCGGTGCATTACCGACCTAGAGAGATGAAAAGAGGATACGGGCACCTCTCACGCTCACCCCTCTCCCCACATCAATATACTCGTTTTTGATGAGTGAAAATCCGTCGCTTTTTCGCGGTAGCATGATAGATACTTTTCGTGTCGGCAACATGTCCTCTGATTCGAAAACGTCAATGCAAAGATCTATTCTTCTTGCAATTTTGTTTACCTATCACCATTTTATCATTAACATGAACATTATAATCAATGAACTAGAAATATATGATTTCATTCGACATTTTGAGGATCACGGAACTATTCTAGTACAACTACAGTTACAATAGACTACAACTACAACATCTAATAAATATGAATATCTACAAATTACTTTTAGTTTCATAGTACTAGAAGTAGAACATTCAACATTATACGCGGAGGTTAGCCTTGGCCATTTTCTTTCAACAAGTCGTCTTTCAACAAACCTGATTGATTCATTGATTGATAGGGTGACCACATCAACAACTGCGAGGAAGATGACCTCGGTAGAGGCAGACGCAGAGGCTTTCGCGCCTCCCGGCGACGCAGGCAGTGATGACGCAGCGAATCACATTTGTCGTCGTGGTTCCGACAAAGCTATGATCAAGTCGAATGTAGTCACAGACGAGGTAGTTGATGTATCTCCTACTACAGCTATTCCTGCTGGCTCTTTATTACAACAACCTACTCGTTCATCATCAGGCAAGAGCGAGAACGAGACCACAAGCACAACATCCTCGGCGAACTACAACCACCAGAATAGCGACCGCGACGTGGTCGTGAAGGAACTGCACTCTCCTTCCGAAGTCAGACAGATCGTACAAGAACATCTTCCTTCAGCTGAGAAGAGTAATCAACTTCAAGCTGGAAAATATGATTGTGCTCTTCATCTTGCTCAAGAGATGAATACAGAAGAACCACATCACAACAATCATGTTCATGCTGGAGGATTCCGATATGAGAAAGTGCACCTTACACCATTGGGTTTTGTGCTGCTCTTCGGTGTGGTTTTTTCTCTCCTCTCACTTTTGGCTCACCTAGTTGTCCCTTTCGGTGGCAGTGGTGACGTTAAGGATTCCCTTATAGTTCATCTCGTTCTTGAGAAGCGTCTTCTTCTAGTTGTATGGTCTTCTTTTCTTTTAGGGAAAGAAAACACGTCAAGAATGATGCTTTCCAAGACGAGTTATTGCAGGTAAGCGCTAACTCTGACGGCTCATTGAAGATTGACACTGCGTCGACAAGCAGGAGCAAACAACAAGGCTCGCGTGCTATCGGTGCCACTAGTGGCTCTAGCGGTGCACCAAGTGGGCGTCCAAAAAGACTGAAGCAAGGCGTGGGAGCTGCAAAGTCGACAAGGGAGCAAAGAAAGTTAAGATTACAGATTTATTAGGTTTTGTTCTTTTCTGAACAACGTCTGCTTAATGTCCTCTTGTTCAGAAGATACTTCTAACAATGACTACTTCCGGATCCTCAAAAAGAGACATTCTTGCGGAAGGGACCATCCTCGCCGATCTGCATGAAGATGAGGCCCGTGTTCCTCGTGCTGCCGCGTCTGTGATCGACCACGACCACCTGACTCACGACCACCTGGCTTTGTCAGATGATTAAGGCTTTAATTTCACTGACTGTAGAAGTTGTAGTACTATATTTAGTTTACTAGCTAGTACCTGATATACCAACCTGATGAAGAGGATGAAGGAGAATAAATGTGAATGCTGTTTACTAGCCCGAATGTTTTCAGAAAGTGGGATCTTGCAAGTCCTAGAAAAGGTAATCACAACAACGAATATGAATATAATTGAAAATAACTTCTCTAATCTGTAGATGTCGCGACAGTCGAGGCAGGCAATGCGTTTCAAGAGGGCAATGCCTTTCTAGAGATGGCGTTGTACGACGAGCTCGAGTCGTCCAGAGCGAACATGGGATCGATTACGGGATCCCCTCTCATGGGATCCCCTCTCTCCATGTTGCAGACTGGCATGGTACTGACTTAATTCCATTGTCAGGATGATGATAATGATGAATGATAAGTCGTTGGCTCGCTTTTGTTTTCAAAAATATGGAGAAAGGGCTTTAATATTACTCCATTTGTTTCTCTAAAAAATGATTGAACTAGTAGAACTTCTAGTATTGAACAAGAGTTTAATGGTTCAGGTTCTATGTTTTCGAGTTCGGCTTCGTCTGACTGGGGAATATTAATGAATATACTTAGTCTTATCAACATAAAAATTATCAGGCGATGAAGGTACCGGATGCGGGAGGGAAAGATGATGTCCACTTTCTAACCGGGTTCTCATTACAAAATATAGATGAGTGTAAAAGGGAGGCGATGCTGCCGTACCTATTGCGCACGATGCGTCACAGTATGCGTGCATGCAAGGAAACCGGTGGCTGCAAAATTAAGGCTTCCCCCAATCCATCTCGTCTATAGAGCGAGGTGATCCCTCAAGAACAGTATGTGTTGTATGCACCCTCCAGCAAATGCCAGAGAGATTCTGCCAGGGAGATTCTTGAGGGATTCTTCACAGAGACGAACTGGAGACAGGTCTAATATAACGTTCGAATTTTAAGGCTTCAGGTAATCCATCTCCAGAGGCATCTTGATCTTGGGACCTTGCTCTAATGGAAAAGCATGCAAGCCCAAGATGAGTCATCATGGGCTTGCTTTTCCCTCAGAAGATTGACGACACTGAAGACACTCAAGATGGATTCCAGGAAGCTCTAAGAATTCTACGAACTCGTCAAGACAGGAAAAGGCGTGTTTGGTGCCGCGAGCCTTCTCGATGCAGAGAAGGAACTCTTATGCATTGAAAAAGTGACCCATTCTCTCTCTGACTCTGACAGAAACAGTCATGATTTGAAGATACTATAACATATAGATGACTCTGACAATCATGATTTGAAGATAGATGACTCTGACAGAAACAATATAGATAACATACTTGTTAATAGGGAGAGTACTTTTTTTCTTTTTTTACAAGAACAAGAATCGTTTCTTGAATTCTAAGGCCAAGAATGAGATTAGTAGGGAGTACTGATTAGGGAGAGCCACCTGCTCAAGCTCGATCTCAAGTGCCATATTTCCTCTACTGTTTCGTGTCTGTTCACTAGCTTCGGATATAATTATCAGTTGAATGATCAATCAGTCAGTCAAGGAATCGATCCCACCTGGATCTGGCGACTTCTATTGAGGTGTGCGGCAAGAGGCTGGAGTCCCTGCTTAGTTGGCAACGGATACTGAAAACCTCAAACTACCGTTTCTAATAGCCAAGGAGGGTCGTCCCGACATGATAGAACTTTTCGTTCACGAGGTCTATGCCAAGTTATGTTCAGCTTGTATTCATCTCCTCTCTCGCTCCACGCATACACCTTTTAGTCCTGTAGAGGAATACTACAACAAGGGCAAAGGTAAGTACCCTGTAAACCCTTTGCTCCCATACTAGAAGAGCACAAAAATACAAGAGTACTAAAGGAGGTGCCCAGATCAACAAGATGCGGGGGACCGAGGTGTTGAATGTTACCCTTCTCTAAGCAAGGGCAAAGAAGATGAAGCACGTGCCAAGGTTTTTGACTTATGATCAGAAGGAAGCGTTCGAGTGTAATGTAACTGGTTTGATTAAGAAGGATAAGAAGACTATTACCTCCACTATTATCGTCTAGAAACTCCAACATTATGCTAAGAAGTCGAAAAAGAAAAATCGACTAAGAGTCATCATATAATCATGTATGATATTCCCGGATTCGATAATATGATGTGACCATATTTTTCGCGTCATATTTTTCTTTGCTTCATTTTTCTCGTCCTCTTTCACGTTTTGTCAACATCCGTAGACAAGAACGATTGTGAATCATCTGGATCCGTTTCATATCACTATCCTTTGAGATTAGAGCTCCATGATCATTGGTTTCTTCTTGTCTAAGAATCACGTACGTGGTACCGATGATGGAGGTTCAGCCACCGGAGGAGCAGAACAAGAAGTGTTTCGCCTTCGACAACCCTAAAGATACACTTGGAGATACGAGTCGCGGGGATACTGGAGAATGGCGAGCGAACTGGCTGAAGTTGGACAAAACCCTTACGGCCATCCTTTTGAAGATGACAAGGATCAACGTGTGTTTGTCATACGAGATGAAGTCTGATCAAGATCAGTTGTCCCTTGCGGTCGTGGATTCGATCCCACTCGTGCAGGCAGGACTGCTGTGACACGGCGTTAAGCCCGGACGAAGGGTTGCCGTCGTCGCCATTTGAATTTGAAGATCATGTTTTGTATATGTCCGCATCCTCTCTAAGACTTGAATCTTGCAGATCCTGGAGAACCAGCCGAAAAACGGTTATCACAATATGGCTGCAGTTTTTTCCATTCTTACACCCATCTTCCTGGCACTTTTTTCAAGGGACGAAAGGAATAGAAAGTATGTTGAGAAACAAAGTGTTTCAACAAGGGGAGGAACAGAGTGTTTCATCGAGGGGAGAAAATAAGTAAGTGTTTCAACAAGGGGAAAGTAAAGTGCCAGTTGGATGGGCTGCCATTTGGATGGTGAAACTCTCTTCATAGAGGGCGTCGGCAAGTTGACGTTTCGTGGGAACTCTCTCTTCGAAACTAAAACCGAAAGGCTCGAGACCGGCAACAACAAGTTGGTATATTCTTTTCCGATTAGTATCTTCTAGATTTTTATACTGCCTCATTTCATTTGCGTGAGTCAAGATTTCTAGCCATTAAGTACTTGTATCACGAACCCGACCATAGGCATACTTATTCATAAGACAAAGACTCTCCTGAATTATCCTCCTCCCCTGAAGGATCCTTGCATATCAATGAGACTTTTTCTCCTCCTTCTTTTTCGAACTGGTATCTAGATCTAGCTCACTAGGATAACAAGAGTGATTTTTACAAACAGTGAAGTACATCAGCAGCAACCCTAAACTGTGTTTTCTCAGGAAAGCTCGTTCTTAATGGCTGGATTGAAGAAATTGAACGGAGAAGGAGCAGGAGGAGCACTCTACGCAGAAAAGAATGACGCTTCCATGACCATAATTATGGCCAACTCCTCTTACGCATCGGCATCCTTCTTCAGTCGACGATAGTTAGCAGTTGTCTGTCAATCGTTTGTCTTTGTAGGATCTACAAGATTGACCAAAAGAGAGAAAAATTATTCTCTCTTTATAAAAGATACAAATATATTGGAAATTCCTTTGAAAATTCAATGAAGACCATGAACAAAAGAAGCGGAAGCCTAGTGATGGAACATACCAACTATTCTAATGTGTTCGGTTCTTTCGGTGATATTAAAGCTGACAGCTCCTACGAATTGCGGGAGTACACGCATGAGATTACTATAAATTTATGGTGACGTTGTTGAAGAAACTGAAATCAATGAGCTTAGAATGACCGTTTCTTGTTCGCCCCAAATCCTTTTTCACTTTCACGACCATTTTCAAGTCGTAAGAAGAGTCGAAAGTGAGAAAGGATTCTGTCAGACTGAGATGTTGGTATCTATTCTTTTTTCCTTTTCAGCGAGGATCGATCCGCGATTTAAATGGCATCAATCTGCTCAAGGATATAATTCTAGCGCCAAAAAGGTGGGGCAGTCAAAATACTAATAAATACAGTGTACTGATGTGCTGTAATCAGCAGCCGCGTATGTCTGCCAGTTTCTCTGGTAGGCCCACACCTAATCCAACCGGTAATCAGCTTCTGTTGTCATAGATATACATATTTCAGAGTAGTTTATAGCACGCATGGTGCATGGAGTAGCATGGAGTGCATGGAGCGCAGAGCTTTAAGGGGCGCAAGAAGCTCCCCCTTTAGCTCCATGCTACTCCATGTGATCCATGCACTCCATGCCATGCGAGCCGTGAAACCTTATAAATTGCTCTGTAGTTGTCAATATTAGATATACATATAATTTCGTAGGCAAAAAAACCGTATTTTTGTTTTCATTCTGTGGCAAAGACGTGGAAGCGGAGCGCATGCTGGCAGCGGCGTTAGAGCCCGTCACCACCGTGATGGAGAATCCCGAGCAGGCGCAGGCAGCAGGCTTGGCCTTCTTCCAAGTCTACACTTTGGGCGACTTTTCTACCTGGGACGATGAAGAAGACCGGGGCGAAGAAGATATGTTGACAAATATTTTCAGATTGGAGTCAGATATTCTTGGAGGACGTACATCTACAAGTTAGTAATAGTATTTGACGCTTTACTAGGTCACCCATCATCCTCGGAGGCGAGCATGTGCCCGTGAGGCTCGCTGAGAAGGATTCACAACCTAACCTAACCTAGTTCATCTAACGTTATTGTTCAATTGCGGATGTCTGTGTTTCTACTTCGTGCAGCTTCTATTTCGCCTTCGTGGTCACGACATTGTCTAATTCCGTGCATGACTATGTACTGTATTGGGTGTTCCGAGATCAGAAGGCGCTAGAAGGCAAGCTTCTGAAAGGCTTCAACGCAGATTTTACCAAGAACAAGAAGCTGGATTCCAAAAAACATTATGAAGTATGCATGTTGTCAACAAATGGCGAATTAATTGTTCAAATAGAAGAAATATGTTCCCTTAAGGGAGTCTGCACCCGCGATACAAAAAAAAAAAAATGTCCGGCAGCTTCGCGGATAAACATGCAAGCTCTTCCCTTTCGGATAAGCATGGCACTACAAAAAAAAAAAGCGAGATTAATTGTATTGTATTGTATTGTATTGTACGATCTTTTGCACTCTTCTCTCCGCTTCAAAGCCTATAATATAGGGATAGTTGAATAGCAAAAAATCCATCTTGACACACTATATTAATATCATCGACTTTTGATAGTCAGTCTACTTTTGTATTTGTTGCATCCTACTAGTAGTTGTAGCAGCTTTATTTCCTGTTTATCTAAAGGCGGGATCGGCTCGACCTGGACTTTATTCCACCTAGAAGATCGGCATTGGAATTGGTAGTACCAACATATCTGGGCTGGGGTAATTCAGTAGGGGCCTATCGACGAAGTCACATATTGCCTCTCGAATATTTCAATGGTACACGAATGAAAAAGATTTTGCTCCTGTTTCTATAGATGCAAAAAATTTTTTTTTAATTTTGTTTCTCTAAGATTTCGCAGTCGCGGAAAAAGCATGGTCGTCACGCGATGGGAATAACATGCGCGAGAAGATGCTCGCCGCCCGCGGCGATGATTCGCATCGGGGGCTGCAGGAACTTACCCCGGACCAGCTTGAAAAATCCACGAAGGTACAAAGTGGAGATGTCCATGAAGATCAAGTAGTAGGTTTTTTTGACTTACTGGAAGATCTAGTAGTAGGTCTTTGAATCTAGTAGTATGTCTTCTAGTATGAATTAGATTGAAAGACATACAAGTGGAAGAGAAAAAACAGAAACACACCACCACTCTTCAGGCTAAGAAGCGTGCGGATGCCAAAAAAGAGAAGAAGAAGAAAAAAGACAAGGAAAAGAAAGAAAAATTATGGTGCACTGGTTCTTGTTTTTTAAGTAAGTAGAAATTTGTCAAACTCGGTCTACGCAAAATAGCTATTAGTCCTCCGTATACGTAGTTAGACGAGTCCGTAGAAGAGCAGATATGTTGACTATGAAAACCGGAAAGAAGATAAGGATGATGAGACTTATTGATGATGATGCTCTCCCTAGATTATCTATCGTCGTACGTCATACTAGAGTCACACTTTCATTGTGAGACGAGGAGGAGGAAGAAGGCAAAGCCAAAGATGGGGAGGCGAAGGAAGACGAGTGGACCACCGAGAAAAAACTCATGTTAAGGCTTCCCCTAATCGATCTTCAGATAGTACATCTTCGATAGATTAGCAGATAGTCCTGCAAGAAGCTAGATTAGCGGGTAGAAGTCTCCAGGGATATGTTAGGCAGATTGCCAAACTGGTTGGGGTTAACATCGTCGGCACATCTTGGAAAAGCGGACCCATAGGGAGAAAGGGACTCATCCTGCTTGTAGGTGCCATATGCCTATCAGGGATGCACAGAATACGATAGCAGCAAGATGCGCCGCGTCTCAAGATGATAGAGAGATAAGGGTGAGCTCTAATCATGGTTTACGGTGGGATTGGAGCGCTTGTGATTATCTTAAGGCATGTTGAAAATCCTTGGAAGAGATCAGTGGGATTTTATTTAGTACTAGATGTAGGAGATGCTGATAAAGAAGATGCGTGCTGTTTATGAGGCCTTACGCAGGTTCTTCTCTACAGAGTGCCTTCGTGCGTGGTTATCTGCACGGGAAAGCAAGAGCATGAACATGATGATAAAGAAGAATAGCGTCATTTGAACTTTTTTCGAAGATGACAAAATAAGTAGAGCCGCTACCCAGCATGGGGAAGAATGTATGACGCCTATAATATTCGAGCGGATCGATGGTTTTCATTCCTATTTTGGTATAATTCTGTGATGTCCCTCTCCGTTTGATGAATTTACACCTGCTACTCGAAAACTGAAAATGCCTAAGTTCAGTTAAGTACTCGCTTATTTCAGTTTATTTTCGAAGAGAACCGTTTTTGAGGGAAGTCGTAGGTCCAATCCGAATCGACTAATATCATCATCGGAGCCGTTTCTTCACCTTGAGAGCTCTAATCTTTCTTTTGCTCTGTATCTGCATGCTCACGTGTGGCCGCGGAAAGGAGGCCATCTCTGGTTACGATGACGGTGACTATCGATATGGATGGGCAGAGGGTGAAACCGACGCACCGCAGATCGAAGAAGGTACTTTAATAATCAGTTTCTTTCTTTGAAGTTAAATAGTTTCTTGAATTCTCAGGCCAATGAGATTGTTAGTGCCTTTTTATTGTAACAAGTTGTTACCTTTACCTATTTATTATACTTCGACTTCCTGTCGTGGGAATAAGACGAATGCTTCAGATTTAGGCTTTGAAGAGTCCTAGGTATACCTCATTATTTGAACAAGTTACTTCGTATGTAGCTCAATGAAAAGATAAAAAGTAAGGAACGAATAAGAATGATTCACCAGATTTCGGGTTTTTTGCTTCTTAATCTGGGTAAACGAAATTCAAAAACATGGGGTAACGGTAAAAGGTGGCAACCCGGCACCTCTAATTCTGAATTTGATGTTTACCAGTTCTACAGTAACATCGACCAAACACACACATATACATAGGTGGATACGATGAGGAGTATGGGCTGTTGAGCCGCGGAGATGGTGGCACGAGAGGTGGTAAGGGTCAAGGCAAAGGAGGCAGCAAACCAGGACAAATAGCTTGATGGGGAGAAGTTTAGAGGTATGTTAAGGAAGGAAGAGGGTGGTATTACTATTTGTAAACTTGTCTCGGTCTTAGATGACTTGTTCGAAAGATAAACATCAACTTCAACTTGTTGTTTATAATGAAAACTTAGTACTATGCAAGAAATGATATCAACATCATAATAGTTAGAAGAGTTACTGTTGTGTTTTTACATCAATCAAAACCAAGTTCATGAAAATAAGCAAGAAATCATTCCGTCATAATGTCCATTGCCACATCGAAGAAAAAAAATTGTCATCCTACTGAGTAATTACATCAAACCAAGATAAAGATGGATGCAACCACGAACTACAATTTGTGATCATAGATACGTACGTTTTTGAAAATGAACAAGACAAGGTTCATTGACACTAAGTATTAATGTTTATCGACGTAACACAAGCAAAGCTAACGTATCAACACAGTACAACTAGCAGATATTCATCAAGTAGTTCACGACGATGTCCATTTTGTTCCTAATCACAACTTATGCAGATCACGACTACTACGACCAAGAACTCAAAAATCATTAGTGATATAGTACACTGAAGAACAAGAACTACGACATCAATTACGCAAAGAATGTCATTTCTGTCTCGAAATTGAACTATGTCAAAAGGAGAAGCCTCAGTGGCAGATGAGGCTACATCAAGAGAAGCATCAAAACAAGCATATGATTCTTTGACCAGACTTTTATCAGCATATTAGAAACTACATCGTTCTGTTGTACTTGTACATGAAGGGTAACACCACTACAACTTGTACAGCCACAAACAAACTAGCTCCTACGTACTCGGGGATTCCGTAATCTATTGCAAAGCACCATGACATGCGTTTGAAAAAATAGACTGAAATAGAGGTTCCACCAAATCATGAATATGAGCCGATCCCTGATCCCAGCCCCAGAACTAGTAGTAAATGTAAAAGACACGAGTCACGCTCACGACCACAAGAGACCAAATTCCTCGGATAAAGAAAAACCCATTCCTCGGATAAAATAAACCCATTCCTCGTTCCCTCGTCATAGCTGTATACAAATTTCGTAACCCAAGGATCCTCTCTCTATGTGAGATTGTTCCCCTCTTTAGGATGCGAAGCTTCATTAACCCATCCCCAGCCAAAGTTACATTAACGAAGATTTTGCATTTGCAATGAACCAGATCCAGAGTACCCCTCTTGATGGTGTAACGAATCACCTTATGCTTATGGCGTTTTAAGGTGTCCTCTCATTGACGCAAGGAACCAGAGTATCCCTCCTGTTGGTGAAGAGAACATGAATGAATAAATGAACCTCGACGTAGTCCCAAGAGCTCCCCTACGACCCAGAACAAGTGAGATTAAGTAAGTTTTCAGTCATTCACGACATGAAACAAAATAGAGCATTGTACGCCAACATCATCGCCAGAATGCCGCCCATTGTGCAGGAATCAATGATGAAAAGTAACAACTCACGGCCGACATTGGGTACAGCATTGTAGAACAGAACTCTACGACCCACAACTAGATCTTTCAAGACCAGGATCAGAAGTGCATGTTGTTGATAATGTCCAATTATCGGTTTGATAGAGTCGTGACCCCATGGGTCGCTCCTAGTTGAACTAGGTTCCCTTGCTTCTACAAAATCTGTTCCCGGCTGGTCACCGTGATCTTAATAATCATTCATCCTCGGACGGTCCAGCGAGGACGCTCAAAGCACTAAGTACAGCAACGGGTTAGTTTTCCCTCTTATATATTCTGCTAGGTTCGTTATCCCTTCGTGCAATAATCATCCATCCTCGGTCTCGGTTCTGGCTGGTTGTACTATGTATGCAGCCGAGCTAGAATCATCGGTGGAGACGGCGAGTTGTTTGAGAGGGATGAATCATCGGTGTTTAGAATGCGCAATGTGGACATGCAAAGATGATGTGTGCCTCTCGAGCTCATGATCCTTCACCTCGTCGAAAAACATCACTGAGATGAACTGTATAACAGCGGTAGGAATACAATTATGCTTAGTCACGATTTAGTTTTAATACAGTTCTTTAGCTTTCCAGAAATTGTTCTCTACGATTACGTAGCTCAATCAATCAAAGTTCTTTCACGATAGTTGACCATTGGTTCATGATGTATTATTTGTATGGCTCACAGCTACAACTTCTTATAATGTAAAGAAGAACTGCAAGTTATGGTGATGGTCGTGTGATGTTGAGGAACAGAAAATAAACGACGTTGTTCTTGGGTACTTAGAAACAAACTCGCATCAATCATGCCATTCGGACTGTTCTCTTTGTCGCTCTTCGATGCTGGAACGACCTCTCACGGCTGTAACCGGCCCGCGCTGGCGTCGACAAGCACGGCTTTTTGCTCGGGGAGTAACGACGGCTGTCATGATGGTCCCGGCAGTTTCTGGTCTAGGGTAGCGCCAAACGAGCAGAGTGAACGAAGGTACTGCAACCGCCAATCGACGGCACTCTCTACTTCTCCGGTATTTTTAGCAAGCATGAAGGGTCGTGGAGGCCGCACCGTTGGAAAAAGAATAACGAGAGAATCGACGGCCTTCTCTACTCCTGTATTAAACACAAAGAGACGAGGCACCATGATGGTTGGAAAAACAAAAACGAGCAGCGCCTCCTCTGTTCGTCCGTCGACGAGTTTCGCAGCGAGAAGTGCAGGCGCCCAGTTGCAGGAGTTGGGAGCGGATTTGGTGTCTGGCTTGCAGAGACTGGGTCCCGCGATGTCAAGGTTCCTAACCGAAGGTTTACAGCGGCAGAAGGCTAACGTAGCTAAGAATCGAGACGTAGCTGAGGCAGCGAGCCAAGCCCTAGGACAGCAAATGGCGAAGCTGAAGATGGAACTGAAACAGACTGCCGCAGAGCTTGAAAAAGCAACGACGCTAGGACGCGTCTTCACCGGTCACCTACAACAGCAGCAAAAGGCTGAAGCTGACGGTATCTTCATTAAGATGTACTAGTACATTAAGAGCGTGAGCAGTTACATGATTGTCATTACTTAGGGTCTAGTACGTCTACTTCATGTTCATACATAGAAGATCATTCCAACATAAGATGAATGAGTAAAAACTCACTGCACCACCTCATGCTAGGCACATTCATTCATTCATACTTTTTTTTAAGGTCCTGCTCAACATGTACATCCACTTCAAGAATAGGGTTAGTAATGAAGCTCGCAGTCATTATTTAAGGTCCTGACTGGTAAGTACCTCTCTCTCGCTCTCGTTCAAACAGGTACTGGGGATAGGCTCTCGGAAGACGTGTATGATAGTGCAGCATCAGGCTACGCCCTGTTGAAGGAAGGAGCGGAGGATTTGCGTTCCCTACTGTCAGACGCCGTACCAGACGTGGAAAGGCGTTTGGCTGAAGTAACTTTGGTGGCTTGACGAATAACTAGTTGAGTAGCTAGCTTCTAGCTTTGGTTGACAATAAGAAGCAACTTCTTAGAGTTAGACCACAAGAAAAAGTAAAAAGAACCGGAATGGCCTTTCTTGCTACAAACAACGAGAAGACACAAAGTATTTGCTTTTTCAGGCGTAGATAACCAACAAGTATCTCAGTTTCATGTTCATCAGGGCAGTGCCACGACCTTGAGAAATTTAATACACTCTCCTTCACCTTGAAACATTTTACTCTCTCGTCTTTCTTACGTACCACTTGTTTATCTACATCGTGCCTCGTATTCGATCTTCATCGTCTTGTTCATCGTTTCGCATTTTCGCTAGTCAATGGGTCTATCTTGTTTGCCGACCGCTAAAGTCATAAGAAAAAGGACTTCAAGTTATATCATTTATATATCATTTGGAGCTGTAGCACAGCAAAACATCATCAAGATGAAATGAGAGTTGTCATCTTGTTTATCGTACCATGCGACAACATGTCATTCAATCTGAAGGTTAAGTACTAGAGAAACGATTACGATTTTTGTAGTTGCGCCTTGCTCTACCCTCTTCTGGTAAGCATTATAGACCTCCCCGTGCAAATTGTAATAAAGTAGAAGCAAGCAGCACTACCATGATGAAGAGCACCAAAGATCAGAGGACTATAAGAAAGTAGAACGAAGCAAGCAGCACTACCTCCATGATGAAGAGCAGGAAAGATCAAAGGACAAGACCACTCCAGCCACGAGGAGAGGTGCTGAGGCCGATACTAGAGCGGAGGAATGGGCTGTCGGGTTTCGCTCTCCGTCTTCGTGTGGTCGCAGTCGGAGCTGCCATTCTGCTGACGGACAATCACGTGGATGCCACGAGCAGCAGAACATCATCCAGAACATCTTTACATGGACAAGAGCAAGGTCTTGCTAGCACTTCTGTAGGAAGTTCTTTCTCAACGTCAGCAGCTGCTTCTGAGAAGGTGATTGAAGGAGCGCATGAAGCAGGAGCATCAGATGAATTTCTCCAAGATACTAGAAAACATCAAGAACTACATCTTCCACAAGAAGAGAGTGCTTCTACGTCCGGGAGAGTTACTACAACATCACGACTGAGAAGTGAGCGAGCTGCATCAACGTCGAGCTCAAGTGGTACCTCCTCTGGGGAGAAAACTTCACCAACGGCTGTTGTAGAGGTTGATCATGAAGGCCACCACATCAGCAAGAAATCAACATCCGAAAAGTCGTCAGCAATATCAGGCCAGGAAGCGCCGGACGAGACGTCAAATTAAGGCTTCACTCCTAGGTCTAGAAGCCCATCTATATTTTCTAAGGTCTAGATCTAGATGAAGCCCATCTATTTATTTTCTAACTGTGTATAGTATTTGCATAGAGTTAGAGATCTTCCTAGTCCTACCTCAACAATCGTATTAATCTTGATGCAATATCGATATAATCCTTGCTATTTTAGAAGACTAGTTATAATACATCCCTGCTCAGAACAAAAGTAATACTAGTGCAGCAAGGACTATAATCAGCGAGGGACCTCCTGCTCCACGGGGACGAAGTACTTGTTAGGTTATTTAGAAGTACTCACTGGTTTTGATGTTGTGATACTTCAAATTTTCCTCATATAACTGTTATTAGGGTTAGAAGGAGAAGCTCTAAAAATTGAAGCGGGGCATGAAAGCAGAAGAGGCACAGGAAGCACTCGCAGCTCTCTCTTCAGAGGCACAGAAGTACCTGCACAGGGAATCTCGTGTCCTCCAGAAGCATAGTAAAGCAAACCGTGGCCCGAATGACGATTTACATGACGAAGAAGAGCAGAAAGAAGATTAAGGACGTCACTGTATTTCATTGTTTTCCAGCTAATCTTTAATTATGTTTATCTTGACATTGACTTCAAGTGGTCTGTCTTCTGAAGAGAAAGAGTTTCTTGAATTCTAAGGCCAATGGCAATGTTTATCCCGACTTCAAGAACCGGGGTTGAGTAGTTTGTTCTCTTATCCATATATATCCGCAATAGTTGCTTCACCGATGTTTGTTTCACTTTTTCTTTTTCTCTTTTCTTCTTGAAACTTCTCTGGTTCATTGGAGTTCTACGTACTGAGGAGGTTACTTAGACTTCAAGGAAGAAGTATACGACTTTGTTTTGCGCTCAGTGAGGCAGCACCTCTGTCTAAAACCAAGCGGAGTTGCTTTTGATCGTCGTCGGCGGTATTTGCTTCCTGGTGGTGAGCGTCGGGTACTTGGTATTCTGTGACGCGATGGGGGGCGGGCTGTGTAGTCGCAAAGACTAAAGAGTACGTCAAGAACTTTCTTCACAACAAAATCACTTTAATCCGCTTTGTCATTGTCTATCTCTTGCGCAGCATATTATGGATCTACTTCAGATATTATCTCTTGCTCAGGACTGATATGATCATTTCGAAGAACAAGTCTGTGTAAATATTGCAGGTGGCTTTGATACTGGCATCTTCATTGAACAAAGAGAAACGCAGGGCTCGATGAAAAATAATCATCATAAGTACGAGAAAATAAGAATGTGAACAACAAGCTCAACCACTTCTGTAAAAATATGCTGGGAAAAACACCTGAAATAGGTGTTGAAATGTTTCCAGCGGAACAGACTATTTGAAAGCTGAGCTAATTGTAATTCCAATGAATCCAAGAGATTATGATTGAATAAAAACTACCTCGCTTTTGTAGGGTGTGAAACCCGGTAAGTCACTCGACTTCGCTTGTGTTCGCGATGCTGTGCTTTGGAAGGGACAGAGTCTCCAATACCTTTGCTGGATCCCTTATTGCATCGGACATGATAGTAGTTAAAAATCAATGGTTCTGATACTAAGTACTTTTTAGTGAACATAAATCAATGATTCAGGTTCAGAAGTCTAAGCCTAAGATACAAGTCAGTGGAGTTTTTCTGGTCCTCGAGAGCCAAAACGATCTATCCATGTTCCAGGATGTAAGCGCTAAAACTGCTTGGTCCACGATGTAAGCGCTCGATCCATGTTGTAGACACATCACTCCTGAGGTTGGTTGTAAGTCTGGTGGAGGTCCTGTGAACAAACACCTGAATCTTTTCTGCGTTCAATATCTTCGGTTGTGTAGAATATAGACCTCAGAAGGCAGTTTTTAGTAGTGCAATATCTACTTACATCATTATATGCATCGTAAGTAGCATCTGTTGTATTTTTGCTAATCGTTAGATAGTATGCATTTTTGTGGTCATGGTCAACTTGATTTACGTCCATCAAATCATATTATTTGTAGCAGTATTCTGATACTCTAGGCCAACTTGCCACATTGGTTACTACAACTACATACACGTCCAAAAATTATTGAAAAATTTATTCCAGTGTAAGCTTAAAAACCGTTATTCTTTCAACATAAAAAGTTTCTGTAGCAACATTTTCTGTTCTGCCTAGAGTCTCTTTCTTCTAGACTAATAGATATATTCTTTTCATCACAAGAACCCTCTGCAAAAAAATGGGTGCCCCTGAAAAAACTGCTGAAGAGAAGGCCCTTGAGAATTAAGGGTTGGAAGTTGGCATCTCTTCTACGAGTATCTTCTCTATGGTTTCTTCAAGTAGGATGAAAGCCATAGAATAGATATGCGAGCTCCTACTAGATAGGGGTCAACTTTCAACTGCTAAGAAAAGGAGCAGCGAGCCGTCAAAAAAATTATCGATGCTGAAGACTCGTTCTTCTGTGGTTTCATCAGCCTCCAAATTCTGGACCAGGATGCATATGCTCGCGGAGTCAAGGGTAGCAGCATGGCAGGCGCGTTGCAGGTACGACGTGAAGAGGGAAAAGTTTACTTGGAGACCGTTTTTGCTGGCTCGCCTCTCTACTATCTCGAAATACAACGCAATGCGGAGATGTTCGTCTCAGGGGAGATGTGGTACTTTATAACATGCTGTCTAGGGTTATTTTTCTTTTTGATGATGATCTCCAGGATGTTGAATATTATTTAGGATAGAACTACGACCAATTTAGAAATATTATAAATATCTAAGACGCAGATGTACTGATGAACGTGACAATGACATGATAGAGATAGAGCTTGAGAATCTGAATCCACTTCCACAAAACTACAGGTACGGTGAGGCGAAGAAGTCGCCTCTGAATTTGATCGGAAAGGTTGTCCCGAAGAGCTGCGAGCAATTAGTCGCTTTGATGGATAATTATGGTTGAAATAAATCAATATCTTCTGTAACTTCTACTATTCATTGAATCTTCACAGCATTTAATAAGCCTCTTCTAGTTCTATCTTGACAGATCTTTGACTAAGTACCTTCCACCAGTAGAGAAATTAGAAGAACTCAACGACATTGCTTTTATTGGAGAATGCTCATGGTCTAATTTCGTACCCTCTTCATGATGAGCACATTAGTTTAGATTCCGTCTTTCTCCCTCTATCCTCCCGGCCGTTCCATCTTCTAATGAGCAACATCGACAAACGAGTTCACTCTGAAGGTGGAAATCCCTTTCTTGAAGAACTCCGCAGACCGACTGGCACCTCTCCGCGTGGTGACGAAGGAGGAACGTTTCCTTACCAAGGTGTCCAAGGTGTCTCTCGAGTTGAGCGAACAAGATTGGATGGAATGGAAAGAGTACTATACTTACAACGTAGCTATAATCACATCTGGAGGAAGATTGCAAGACTTTTAGTACATGATGATGATGTACTTGTACAACTTCTCTACGGAAGATGTACAAACTTTTAGGATCATGAATAGCTATAATCTAGTATAAATGACGACTTCCACTTCTTGTGAAACCATCTGCCTGTCATTTAAGTATCAATTTCACGTCTTAAAGAATTTTTCATCGTGTCATCTTCGGGTGTGTGCCTGCTCTGCGGTGCTCGTGCAAATTCGGGCTTTCTTCGTGCCCCTTTTGTAGGAATTACCAGCTGTATCATTTTTAACTAAAGAAGAAGGACCGACTAACAGCGCAAAAATTAACAACACCTCTTCTTAAAGGTACCGTGTCCGATTCTGGCGCGCGAGCAAAGCTTGGGGTGCATCCGGACAGGAAGGCGGTGATGACGACGAAAAGAAAAAGGATGAGAAAAAAGAGGAATAGAAGATCCTGATTCTACTTGTTGTCAAGGACTTATGCAAGCCCCCCGACCTGGTGCGGTTGTGGACGATTGAAGATGGATTATGCGACTACCACGACCCCTTTTTTTCAACGAGAATGAGGAAATAGTTTTTCAAGAAAATCAGATTCTAGGTAGTGTGGTTAGAAGTGTAAAAAATACCCCTCTCCCTGGCCCGTGGTCCAAAGACAAGTTAGTATTTTAAATAGCGACTCGCATTTAATGCATGATTTCGCTTCATGTATTTTCGCTTTTGTGCCATTGTGATACAACTAGGTCTTCCTCGCCGTAAATGAGTGGTTCTTTCTAGTAATTCATAATCTACACCCCACATTGCCATATTATTAAGTATTGCTGCGATAGGACGATTAAAAATAGCATGTCCCCTCAAGATTAACCGCAGATTGCCCTGCTCATGTTTTCTGTGAAGTCTGTAGAACACGAGTACTTCATTATCAGGTCAAGAACACTTTCCTTTCACCATACACGAACTAGACGAAAGATGGATGCTTGTTTTTCACTTATTTTTTGCGCGCAGCCTACGAGGAGGTGAAGATGAGGATTGTCAAGCGACTCTTCATGGCGAGTGACAGGATGGAGCGCAAAGATGAGGCTCCATGACGGTGACACGATCCTCTTCGTCAATCTATCATCATTAGTTACACAACAGATCAAGATCTTTTAAAAGAAATCATACATATTTATTATAAGGATCGACGAAAGGTAGACGAGGGTTTAATACAACTAAGTAAGTTGGTTAGGTTTCTTCGTAACATCTGACTCCTGATTTTTCGTTTTTCTTGAACTTGAGTTACAGATCTTCATCAACAAATAGATCTCCTACACCAACCTCCTGTCAGGCATATCAATCAATCAATCAATCAATCAATCATCAAATCAATCAATCAGAATGACTTACAGGAGATCCGATTCCGATTCGTTCATAATGACTTACAGGAGATCCGATTTGTTCGTCTTGATTCACAGATCCAGTTTCTCGATCTAGAGATCAATTTTCAGCGCATGATCATGAGGAAGACGATCATCACAGGTCTCAGAAAAGGAGATCCTATAAGCAATCTCTCAACATAAGTAGAAGGAAATCTCTCAAGAACAACGAGGAGCCAGATTCTAAAAACATAGTGCATAGTCACAGACCCAGATCATCCTAAAGCACTGGTCACAGATCCAGATCATCCTAGTTTTCTGATATTTTTTTGATCATCGCAGGTACCTTCGCTGATTTTTGACCATCGATTAATTTAAGTAAGACCTATCGTTTGGCCCAAGTCCTAGCATTGGACTACCTCTGATATTTCCCTGAAAAATATATAGCCCTCTGGTTTTTATTTGAGCTATGGTATGTTTTGGTTTAAATTTTGGCTTCTTGATACCCGTTGACTTTTTTGGTTTTTGGCTTCCCTTTGGTTTTTTGGTTTTTATGACATTATCCAGAGATCCTAACTAGACCAGCAAAGTTTTCTTTTTGACACCCGAAGAGAGAGCATCCATTGCCACTCAGCATGGTATTAAGCAAATAAGGAAGGAGTTTGAAAGTATCTTTTACCCAATTTGGGCCAAATAGCGTTCAATCCGATACTGATCTTCGCGAATTATTCCCCAACACTTCTACGAAATTCATATGAAATTTGAGCTCTTCTTCAACAAAAATATCCAGAAGAAATACCAAACGACCACCTTCTTCACGACTCTAGCACTTTCTTGATTTCTTGGCTGTCAAAAGATGAAGATGAGGCGTTTCACATCAAAATTCGTCCTCGCAACACTCGCTAAAAATATGAGTGCTGTGATATTCTCGGTCACAGCAGAAGACCCTCAGCTTCAACATGTTGATAGTCCTGGGGATGGAGTGCAAGGGACTAAAACAGGAGGAGATGAAGAAACGCAATCACCCGACGCAGCTGAAGCCATTCCCTATTGGCTCTGGAGGGTGGTGAGAGAAGCGGGGTACGACGTGGCCACGAAGGCTCTCACGGTGGGTGAGCGCGTTACTGCGGTCAGCTGTGCTGTAACTTCGGGCATGTGCGACACTATCCACAGTGTTGCTTTCTCCGATAGCGCCCACTGTCATCTCTGGCAGGCCTACAGAGAAATACAAGATAAACTTGTTCAGGAAGAGCAAGAGGAGGAGGAGGAGGAGGAGAAGGCCCCTGAACGAGGGTCAGCATTATCTTCCGGGTCCTGTGCTGCGGCCGCTGCAGAAGGGCGGGCCCAAGGTGAACCGGACGGGGTCGCTGTTGCTGTGCAAACGAGTTGCGCCGCAGCAGAGCAGCCTCCAGGTGGGCCCGATCTCCGTGAGACGATGACTGTACCGCTGACAGGTCAGCAGGGGTGCTCCTTGTCTAGAAAAAGTGCCGCTTTCTCTGCATCGGCATCAGCGTCTCCTGCTCACCCTTCTTTTGCGGGCTCTACTATGCACGGAGGGCCCCGTGGTGATCTTGGCACGACCGAGGAAAGTGATGACCCTGCTCTGGTGAACGCCGCGTTCTGGATGTGCATGAAATTCAAGGGAGAAGAAGTTCTTGACGGAGCTCCTGAGTTGAATCAAGAATGGAACAAATTCCTCAATGAAAAACTCGACAACATCTCAGAAGAACAACTCTCGTCTGCGTCGACGCGGGGTGACGAAAACTCGAGGCAGCAAATGGAAGTTGTCGAAGCAGCGCACGAAGCAGCCGCAAAGAAAAAGAAGATTGGAGTCACGTTGGAAAGAGATGTCCACAGATTCCATGAGGCTATGGTGAAACATCTAGAAGGGCCTGGCTCAAGGACCTTGATGCCCGTTGACGGAAGCCACGAGAGAAGTAGCCGATCCGGAGAGACGCAAAAGAACATTGTGGTCGTGGGGAGGCCCAAAAAATGGAGAGTGACCCGTTTTTTCCAGAATCAGCCTCCACGATGGTACTTGCAGATCGATCCGACGAGTAGAACAATGTGGGTTGTCTTTCGGGGAACGAATTCGGAGATGTTGTCTGATCACCTCGTCAACGCTAGTCCATTGGGCGGCCCCCGATGGTTCAGCGTAGACCCTGAAAACGATGAAGATGGACCCGAGACAGATGTTGCGGCAGCAACCTCGTACGTGAGGCCGCATTATCGCTTTCACAATCGATTGGCGGGTGACATTAAGGAGTTGATCGCGCAACTAATCGAAAGACGAAGAGACGCGCATCCTTTTCCCCATCAAGAAGAAGAAGAAGATCAAATAGAATTGCCATACGATAAGTATCTTGATGAGTGGCCGAGTAGGATTTCGGCTGAAGGTTCAAGTGGAGATGAACACGCTGAAAGACCTCGAACGCTGAAAGACCTGAGCGAGGACATGCTACGGGGGGAACAGGAAAAGCATGACGCTGACATGGACTCGATAGACCATGCGTCTGGAGACCTATCGATTTTTTTTGGCGGTGATGCCGATCGCGAAGAGCAGGAGAAAAAACTAAGGATGTGGGAGGATAATATCACGCACCTGCGTAAGCATTTTGACCGTGTAGTCTTCACTGGACACTCCCAGGGAGGCGCCTTAGCGCTGATGTTGCACGGAATGTGGCAACAGAATCCGCAACTGAGAGCGTTACTCAAGGACAAATCGATTCGAACCGTGGCTTTCTCTGCTCCGCCTTTTTTCGTCGCTGGCAATGACTGGACGCAGACGCAGAAGAATATTATTGTCCACAAGGGCGCGCAGGCTCGTTTCGCAGACGCCACGAACATTATTTTCAACAACGACATTATTCCTCGTGTGATAATGAGGCCTGTGAAAGTGAGCAACGAGACCGACGAAAGATCGAAGAAAGACGCGTCGGCCAGCGCACCCGCCACGGTTGGAGATCACGGGCATCAAAAAGCAGGTGACGCTGTAGGGGACAACCTGACACAAGAAATAGTAGAAGGAGAAGGTGTACTACCCGAAGTGCGGAAGGTGGACCCAGCACAAGAAAGACAGACACAGAGTTCTGGACAAGCATCGAACAGCTTCGGTGCTTCGGCTCAAGAATGTGCAGGATTCATATCTGCTGCAGCGGCATCTACAAGCCCGCCAGAAGAACACACATTTCTTGCTCCTCGGCATTCTCGTGTTGGCTCTCATCTTGATGGACAAGGTGCTGAACCTGCTCAACACCGGTGCCACCAGTGTCATGTATTTACTACGGACACCTCGCCGTCAATTCTAGATGAATTGGCTAAGGCAATGCTAGAAGAAATGACCGGATTCGCGGTGGACGCCGAAGTCGAGAAAATAACAAGACAACAAGCGGAGTCCCCATCTAAAGCAGCTGTAGAACCCAACTCCACGATGCGACTCGAGCCAACCAGCAATATCTTGGTTTTCGCACCTCTTGGAAAGATTTTGTGGTTGCGGGACATGGAAGCCTGGCCAGGAGAACATGGACGAGGGATCACGCAGGCGGAGAGGATCGCAAAAAAGAGCAGAAAAGCTTTCAATTATACATTTTTTCGCCTCAAAGTGTGGCACCTCTTGGACCTTCTCGCGCGTCTAAACACGTGGCGCGCGATGGACAGCCACCCACTGAAAAGCATGCTTGCGTATTTTCCTTCGCCCCAACAAACAGGACGAAACGACTCCGACCCACAGGCTGCTCTGGTGAAGCAGGGAAGGACTTTGATCGGCGCCGCCAAATCTGCAGAGCGGATACCTCCTAATGTCTTCGCGAAGTTACACCGTTACTTCCATTGGGGGCAGATGAGCAGCCTTCGACCGAGCTTCGTCTAGTGCCCAAGGAGATTCGCATGGTGCCCACGAAGCGCCACGCCGTGGCGCAGCACAGACTGTTACCGATGACGAAAAAGCAAGCGCAAGGTGAGCACGCAGTTCCAGGAGGAGTAAACTTCTAGTGGAAGAGTCTACTTAATTTTCTACCTCTATACATATTCCTCTTTGTGTTTGATTCGTCTTTGGGCTTGTAACTGTATTTTCAGGAGCATCAGGATATCAGTAATCAGAGTCACCTCTTAGGATATTTGAAATGGTTTTAGCTCGGATGACCTACCACGAGATCGATCTGCAGACTGTGGCTTTCAATGAGATTGCACACCTTTTTAGAAGTATTGCACAGAGGACACAAGAAAGGAATTTTTTAGATTTAGGTTGCTGTTGCTAAAGCCTTTGAAGCGAAAAGATAAGATAGCCAGTTTTTACTGAACACATCAAGCTTATTGCACATTTGAGGAGATATTGAGTCCTTTGGTCTTGTTTCACGGTCCACCTCAGGGCTACAGAACTAGGATACAGTGTAGAAGTAAACTTAAACCAACAACAATGCGCCGTCCTCTAGTCTTTTCATCATTATTCCTTTCTCTTAAAAAAAGCTGAAATTGTTTGGAGTTGGATCTTGATCCTTCAGTCTCGACCTGAGGTACGCCCCTGCTTCAATTAATGCTCTTTTGAGTTATTGTTTTGACCTGCTCCTACCTTATCCGCCTTATACTTGTTTTGAGTGAAGATAATTGTTTTGACCTCCTACCTTATCCGCCTTACTGAAGACAACTTTTTTGGCCTCCTATACCTGTCCGACGCAGATATATTTGCGAGCACTGTGTGAGTGAATGAATGAAGAGACTGGTAGAAGAGATTGCAACAAATTCTACTGAGTCTGTCATATTAGAACAATCCGACGCTCGTATAGGAGGAAGGAGTACTTGACGAGGCGCTCCAGGTGTTCAAAGTGGAAAATTGAGATTTGTGATGAAAGGATGACATTGCAAGAGTACTAGATTAAAACGATTCAGATTTGATTATAATCTTCAACGAGTGTGCAGTGAGTCTAAGAGTATGGCTCTTATGATATCAGAGAGACGCTGAGATATGTTATTGAGTGGTTGGTGGAGGGTGCAGAAGAAGAAAGACTGAGAGAGGAGAAGATGGTGTAATAGAGTGTGGAAGATAAGGAGTTGTCAAACTCTGTCTTGATACACGACGACCATTGCATTTTAAGTACATACTGATACAACTTTGCAGATGGAGTTCATATAGTTCTGAACGAAGGTGGTGAAGATGAGTTCTCACTGTAGATAGGTGATGTATCTAGTGTTGGAGGAGAGTGAGCAGGACGACCTCCACGAGAAGTAAGTATCATTATATATAGATCATAGTTTGGATCTGGGAGGGATGAAAAAAAATATGGACCACTTGCGTGTTCACCATGAGGACTAGCCTAGCGCCTTCGGATGCTTGTTGTGCTGGGCTACAATGACGAGTGTTGAACATGGGAAGCACTTCTGTCATATCAACACCATAAGTCGACAACTACATAAGTCAACAACTACATAAGCTGAACATAACTTGTCTATTATTTATATATAACTATGAATTTGGGAGCGGGTACTACGTCTACGAGCATCACTTCGAAGACGACATTCACACAAATAGTTCTTGAATCAAAAGAACGATGCTAAGTCTGTCATGATGAATCCTTTTTATTTTTCTTTTCACTAATGCAAAAGTTGTTGACAAAAATTCCAACATAGTCTAGAACTGCATATTTTGATTTATACTAAAAGTTCTCTCTTCGGTCGTCGCCACTATTTTCTGATGTTGCCGTAATACTAATAGTAATTAATATTTTAGCAGGTTTCTTTTGTATTTTTTTCCCCTCGCCGTGGCTTCATCGGTAAGACGTAAGATAGGGCTCGTGGTTAATTCCATGCACTACCTACGTCGGCTGCCGTGGGTCTGCTCTATCTTTTGGGTCACTAATATCTAGTACTTCTTCTATTATATAAGTAGTTAAGTCCTCCGCATAGCCATGATGTTCTTCATCTGCTTCTGCTCCTTGTCCTCCTACTTTTACAACACTAGTAGTAACAAGTTTATCTTGGATTGACTTGTATATGGCAATGCGTGGTTCGGGGGGGTCAATGTGCGGGATTCCTAACCCAATCTGCTAACCAATGGACTATAGTAACCGGAGATGGCATACTTCTTTAGTTTATGCTATCAACAACGCTCAAGAGGGTTATCAACATCAAAGTCTCGTCTTCAAGAATCCCGAAAAGCAGTAAACGTGGTGCCAAAAGCAGTAGAAGAGACGCTGCCCGCCCAGAGCGGCAGGGCTGCAAGATGTCTCCTGCCGTGAGGACGTCGAACATGGAAACTTCGTTAGGGAGATTATCGTTGAGGAGTGGAGAAAAAAACGATGTTGCTCCATCCACGACTTTTTCAAGTAGCTGCAGCCCAACATCTCTATTGATGGCGCGGACAGATGATGGATCATGTGGGATGTCGCCAACAATTTCTTCCTCTACGTGCCACAATGATCAAGTGGATGAGACCTTGGTACGACGTAAGGCGAAGAGCGGTAGCTCATCTCAGTCGAGTAGCTCTAGTTCTCGTAGTGGCTGGTCCACGACAAGGTCACCTAGCGCTGAAGCAGAAAGAAGTTCAAGTTCCGGTTTCTATCTCTCTCGGGCATCTTCAGTACAAATAATACTCACGACAGCAGCTTCTACTTCTTGTAGAAGACAAGGTACTACTAGTAGTTGCGCTTCAGAAGTACTATCCGGCTCTACCCTCAGCAGCAGGCGATATGTCTGCTGGGACTGTCAGATGAGAAGCAGTAGTATTTGGACTGGACCAGCAAAATCAGCGATGAACAAAAGGTCTCGGCGTTTTCCTGCAAGACGTCGTTTGTGTGCCACATGTGAAAACTACAAGCAACATCCACATACGAAATCGAAAAGAGGAGGACTAAATAAAAGAGCAGGAAGTGTCTTCAGGACGAGGCTAGTTGTTCCTTATGAACAAAAACGGTATGCCGAACTCGAAGTCATCCATGCTCTATCTTCTAGCGTCGAGCATCCTTGCTGGCGGACCAGATCAACGCCGTGGGAAGTTGCTCAGAAACATTGGCTTTCGTGTTACAAGCGGAGTCGCTTGCGGATGCGAAAACGGCAACACGACCTACCTTCGGCACGACGAGACGACACAACTACTATAGGAGGTGGGAGGCGGCATGTTGAAGTCGATGCGTCGTCTGGACCCCTAGGGAACAACGAGGCTTCAGGTCGAGGGAAGAGGAGACGCGCCAGTGCACGAAACGCAACTACACCACCCGATTGGTGTGACAACCTCTGGAATATTATGCCCTTTTGTTTCAGGGGTTGTCCTTGTCTACCAGAGGATAAAGGTGGTAGAAGGTTCGTCTCGAAGTCGAGGCTCGGATTTCGCGATCTCTCAGCTCCGAGAAAGCATTCCACTTGGAAATCATGCTGGTGGGTTCCTCTATTATTCATTGCGCAATTGGCCACAGGCACAGGCAATGCAACTGTCGTAAACAACTCGGCATGGACGATGGGACAGACTGGCAACGGGACATCTTCCATGTCTAGCTCAATGACAGATGCTGGCGGACACGAGGCACTAGGGGCTTCCACTACATCAGAGTCTACTCTTAGTGCTGATTATAGTACGTGCGTTGTCGAGCCTGTTTGCCCGGCTGGCTTTTTCACACTTTCTCGAGTAGCAACTTCTGCGTCGTCGACTACAGAAGTAGGTTCTGCTACCCTCGATACTATGTTTTCTGAACGATGCAAGCAAAGCAGAGTGGAGACGGAACTCCTCAAACACATAAAAGGTTTGTTCTTCCTCGAGACAGGCAGTGCCAGTAGGAGTCCTAATAGGAGAGAAGTTCTGCAGCCGCGGGGAGGCGGCATGTTAGACTTCTCTGGGGAAGAACTACAAGGGTCATCGAGGACAAACAGCAATAGTATATTAAGGGTAAGTAGGTTAAGGGTGCTTTTCTTACCGCTTTTTATGCCTCTCCTAAGGGAGAAAGGCATAACAAGCGGGGTAAGCGAGCACCAATAGCCTACCTCTAAGTATAGTAGTGACCTCCACTGTGACTCCATTGCGGGCGTCACATCATAAGCCAGGTTGGAATGAGGTAGAAACGTTGCGACGGCGCTACGGTCTCACTTATACAGACCTCTTTGCTATTCTGCTTGCCGATGACGAATATTCGTACTCCTTGCCGACTTCTGCTGCAACAGATGGGACAGATGGGACAAGAACTAGTCTCAACACCTCTTCATCTAGTTCCACCAACACGCCTTCGAGAGGAGGTCTTTTGGATTCAAATTCTCTTGATATTCTTGATACGGACCCGACCCACCCCCCGCCCCCTTACACAATATGGACGACGGCAACTACGACGATTTCAGCTCCACCAACAGCAGGAGCAGGACCGACCTTTTTCACACGCTCAGCAGCTCCACAGGAGGTTTTTAATGTGGATTTCGCTGAGCTAAATCCTGCCAATGCATCAACTTCGCTCTTAGAACAAGTAGGTGCAACGGAACGGACTGGAGGAAGCAATGCTACAATGGTGCCATCGAACATCAGCGTTTTGGCTGTGGGGGCTTCCGGAGAAAATAACTACACTGTGTCCACATCAGCCACACACTCACACGCCACACTCTCCGGGTCTTCCCTTTATCGTGGTTACGCCCTTCGCGACGTGAAGGTGGCCTTCATTCTGAATGATGGCCTAGCTGCGCAGCTTCTGCAAACAGAGGAGATTCAAAGGGTTGTTTCTCGCGAATTCTACACGCGATGTTGGCAAGGTTGTGAAGCCGCATGTGATGCCAGCGATGCTTCGGTTCTTGACACTAGGACTACTAGTAGCGCGACGACCACTCAGGGCAGCGCCTCCATGTTGAATGGCAGTAGCAGTCTTGTAGGGGAGGACTACAACAACTCATTAATATTTTCATCGGGCAAGAATGGCAGTAGTAAAAATGAATCTTCCTCCAGCATATCTTCAGGACATCAGATGGCGAGCGCCGGAAACAGCTTGTTAGTGTCCACTAGTCCTAATCGTGTTGCCGATTTCGTGCGGCGAACGTTGGCAACGACAACCTTGTACGACGCGGATGGGCGCCGCATGTACTTGCGAACTGATGCTCTCGAGAGAAGCGCAGACCTCGCTTGTCCAGCACTAATGGCTTCAGTCTACGAATGCTGGACGCAAGAACCAGTCATCACATCAAGTTCACGAGGAGGTACAAGCACTACTACTAGTACAAGCAATAGTGAACAAGAACACATGCTCAACATGCATCTGATCGTGAACTCCACCAACAATGGCAGCGAGCACATGCTGGACGTCGTGCTAAATTCTTCTAGTATCAACGGCACCTTGGGAATGGATATCGATGCAGTAAATGCTACTACCGACACTGCTAACGATTCACTTATGTTGATGCGGCGTGCGCCATCCTCTAGTGGTGATGTTGAGGCAGGACGAGCAATGGGCCCGTTTTCTGTGCGCTATATGAGGGATATGGAAAACGACGCGATGGCTAATAGTACATCCACCTCGTCAATGTTGAGCAATCATGATGTCGATGTCGATGTCGTCGGCACGTCTCCCTCGCGTGGAAAGGTTGATTACGTTAGTGAAATCGCGCCAGAGATGTCGTCGCCCAGTCTCCAGGGAAGTAGTGAGACCGGCGCACCTGCTTCATCCTGTAACTTAAGGGTTCTTTCCGAATGTTT